AAGCCTAAGTCAAAGCTTAAGTCTAAGTCGAAGCTTGAGCCCACACCTAAAAATATATTTTTTACAATTTTTGGCTTATTTGTTTGTTATTTATGAAGCCTACGTTCCGTCTATATTTTTATTTTAAGGCCCAACTAAAAATCGACAATAACTGTTTGCAAATCCTTCAAGTTCGCCAGTTTCAAGATGTTTTTTCTTGCTATTTTCCTCATTCGGCATTTGTGGCCGTTGGCTTTAAATAAATTTAGTTCCGATGCCCCGGATTTGGGATGACTCCGGAACGAAACAGAATCACAAGAAATGCAGAGTCTATTTACATTCTCTGTTACTTTGCAATTTATACTACTATCTATTAGCGAGTGTTTGAGGGGTTCGTTTATGTTACTTGGTTTAAGTTGAGGAGAAAAAAGGGGTAGGGTAGAGAAAAAGGAGAAAGATGGGCTTAAGCTTTAGTTCTACCTTAGAGTTATACTTAAGCTGAGGGTTAGGCCTACGCTTAGGCTTAAGCTAAGGATTAAAATTAGGCTTAAAATTAGGCGTAGGCTCAAGCTTAGGCTTTAGCTTTGGCTCAAGCTCAGGCTCAGACTCTGGCTCAAGCTCAGGCTCAGCCTCAAGCTCAAGCTCAGGCACAAGCTCAGGCTTAGACTCAGGCATAGGCTCAGGCTGAAGCTCAGGCTGAAGCTCAGGCTCAGGCTCAAGCTAAAGCTCAAGCTCAGGCACAAGCTCAGGCTTAGGCTCAGGCATAGGCTCAGGCTCAAGCTCAAGCTCAGGCTCAGGCTCAAGCTCAGGCTCAGGTTCAAGCTTAGGCTCAAAGTTAAACTTAGGATTAAGCTTAGGCTTAGGCTTAGGCTTAAGCTGAGAGTTACTTTAAGAGTACCCTTTTAAGCTTAAGCTTTCTGTGTTTATGGCTACTAAGCCTAATCTTTGGTTTAGTTTTAGAATGAGGCTTAGGCTTAGGTTTAAACTCAAACTTTGGCTTAGGCTTAGGAGGTTTATGCCTAGTAATTTTAGGCTTTATAAGCTGAGGATTAGTAAATTTAGGCTTATTTGATACAGTTGAAGGCTTAAATATGTGATTTCTAGGCTTTGTTTGAAAGTTGTGTAATTTTTCAAGTTTTTTTAGTTTTACGTAGGCTTATTTTTCAATTTTATGTACTTTGTATTTTCCGTAGGCTTATTTTTTTAAAATTTTGTTTCATTTTAGTCATAAATTTAGGCTTATACTAACACATACTTTAACCTCTGTCGCAACAGACGAACAATAATTTTTTTAAACTAATTTCCTTTTCTCTGATCGTTATGTTTACCGTAGTTTTTTTTGTTTTTGCGCAAAAAATGGTCGGTCATGAGCGGCGATTTGCATGCCTTTTTGGACCGATTTCCGGCCCCTGCCCTTTTTAAATCGGCACGGATCAAAAGTTTGGGGATTTACGAAGATATTAACGAGGTTTTGAGGAGCATGTCGGTTACTTTGTCATAACACGAATTTTTCATTTTTTAAAATTTTTTGAAAGATTTAGGCTTATATTAACTTTAGGCTTAACTTTAGGCTTAGGATGAACTTTTTTTGCGTGAGATATGACACTTGAGTTAGATATGACCTTTGTAGCTCATTTTTGAGTATTTCCTTTCCAAAAGTTCATCTTCTGTACCTATACAACAATACTATTATATTTGGTTGCTATGTTCATGTCATCATCCTCAAGAAAAGAGAATTTTTAATGCCATAGTCATTGTTCGAAGTTTGTAAAACTTAAAAAAAAATATTTTCTAAGTATTTTACGTAGAATTTATAAAAGTTAAAGTAAAAAACTTAAGATGATGGTTTAAGAATAAGTTTGAAAAAAGTGGAAGTTGAGTGGAAGATTTGTAATGTGTTTTGCACTGAAAATATTCCACCGAACTTCCACTTTTAATAAGTGTCAAAAACTCATTTTTAAGCAATTTTAAGACATTTTTAAAATGGAATTTCAGTGGAAGATTTTCAGTGCAAATTACATTGCAAATCTTCCACTCAACTTCCATTTTTTCAAACTCTCCATATAACCCATAAATCGACGTTTTTATTTGTAAACAAAGTTCTTGCGTCTCAAAAAAGTATCTTTTTTGTTAAACAAGTTAAGTTTGTAGAAGGTCCTCTTTGTGTTGGGGGGGGGGGTGTTTTTGATGAAATTGAATCTGTTTTGGGGTTTCCGCACTTGCGCCGACCCCCGGAAATTGAGTGGCCATCCTGAATTAAAAAAAGATACCGCTGTTTACCATGATCAATCATAATTTTCGGCATTTTTATATAAGACTGTTATTGATTAATTAATTTTAAATCGAGAGGGGGGGGGAGGAGAGGGTAGGGTTTTAAGATAAGTCTTGGGGGAGAAGGGGGGGGTAGCCAAGGCAAAGTAGGGCAACATTAGACATGCAGAACAGGCCGGGCCGGTCTTGACTGAAATTTAAGTGCGGCCGGGCTTGAAAATCAAGGTCCGGGACGTATAGTCTGGACCGTTTGAATGTAAAAAACTTGGACCGGCCTTAAGCAAAATTTAGATCGGGCCTGAGTGTTAGGCCCGGCCCATTCCTTATGCTTAGTCAAGGTAGGGTAAGTTAAGACGATTTAGGAAAGGATAGGGCAGGGTACGGCTAGTTAAGACCACGTAGGGTAGAATAGGGTAGGGTAGACATGAGGAACGGACCGGGCCTGACCTAAATATATGTCGGGCCGGGCTTGAAATTAAAGCCCGGGCCCGGCCCGTTTCCACAAAAAAAATTGGGCCGGGCCTGGGTGAAAGTTTGACCGAGCCAGACCTGAAAATTGAGCTCGGCCCGTTCCTCATGTCTAGGGTAGGGTAGGGTAAGGTACGATTGAATTTTTGATTTTTTTAGGACTGGCCATAACTGATTATTTTACAAACGCACCCCCCTCCCCCCTCCCCTCCCCTCTCTCTTCCTTACCCTTCTTTCCCCCCCCTCCTCACTAAATAAATGCCAATTGATAGCAAATAAAAAATTAGCGAAAATCCTGCCGAAACCCGAACTGACCTGCAAATTGGAAGAGGAGGTCATTTGATCCTCGTTCCCCTCCCCCCCCTCCCCCTAGGGCCCGTTTTATGACCGGTTCTTTTAACAACATCGATTCATCTTGTTGACAAGTAGTTCATGTCAAACATTCAGGTGCTATAACTGATTAGTTTTCTTTAATTCGTTCGCATTTACCAGTTTTTATAGGCTTGTATTGGGGGGTTAGGGTGTGTTTTGGTGTGAAAAATTAATTTTAGGGGGGGGACATTTTTGAAAGAGGTGGGGGAGGGGGAGGAAAGCGGGTGTTGGAAGAGGACAGGGGGGGGTTGATTTTGGGAGGGGGAGGGGTGATTTGGGGGCGGGGGTGAATTTTTAAATTTTTTTTAAATAAAAAATGTTTGGCCTAAGAAAGTTTAGGCCAAAAACTGCAGACGCTGACGAAGTTGACAAGCCACGCGACACTTCCGGGGGGGGATGTTTTGAAAGTTTTTTGTTTTTTTGTTGCTCTACTCTCATTACCCTACCCTAACCTACTGCTCCCTACCCTACTCTACCCTACCCTACCCTACCCTATCCTACCCTAACCTACTGCTCCCTACCCTACTCTACCCTACCCTACCCTACCCTACCCTACCCTACCCTACCCTACCCTACCCTACCCTACCCTACCCTACCCTACTCTACCCTACACTACACTACACTACACTACACTACCCTACCCTACCCTACTCTACCCTACCCTACCCTACTCTACCCTACCCCTCCCTACCCTACTCTACCCTACCTTATCCTGCCTTAATCTACTCTACTCTTGCCTATATTACCCTATTCCACCTTGACCTACCCTGCCTTGCTATTTTACAAAAAAAATTTTATCGACCGGTCGGTTTTTCAAAAAAATTGAAACCATGGCTTATATTGATCATATCAGTAGGTTAAACTCAAATTTACTAATTTCAACCCCTCAACCCGTTCCCAATATTCACCATAATGGTGAATATAATCCCAATACGATCCCACCCTCCTATTGTTTCGGTAATTACTTATTCGTAAAAATTCTTGCCATAAAAGTTTTTCTCACTTTTCGGCCATACATTAATTAATGTCCGAGTTAATTCGGGCTCATTTTTAATTCCGTGCGGTCATTTTTGAGCGCCCATCTACAACAATATCCATCATTCGGGTGGGGCCAATGGTTTTTTAGAGGTTTGGATAATAGGCGGGTGTTAAGAATGGGGTTAGTATAACGTAAATGATGTGAATTTATCAAAAGGTTCATAAAGATATCGTTTTTGATGGTTTTCCAAAAGTGGAAGTTGGGTGGAAGATTTGTAATTTATTTTGCACTGAAAATCTTCCACCAAATTTCCATCTGTAAAAATTGTCAAAAACGTGTTTTTAGGCAATTCTAAGACATTTTAAAAATGAAAATTTTTTGGAAGATTTTCAATACAAAATACATTACAAATCTTCCACCCAACTTCCACTTTCAATAACTGCCATTATTTATCTCATGTAAACAAAGTTTATGCCATTTTCAAGACAATACCCGTTAAATCAGTTCTAATTCGTGTTGTGCAGTAATTAAATTGGAAAAACAAATTTGGGAAACTCAAAACTTGGCTTGGGAGTAGCCTTTGGGTCAAAAAATGGTCATCTGATTTAATTACCATACCCTTGGGGGTTTTCGACTGGTAAGACGAAACTTTTGGGAAACAAATGTGAATTTCTACGGATTTTAGAGTTTTAGGGCTTTGTTTTTAAAAATTTTGAATTTTTTTGGTCCTACCCTTATCTCTACCCTTCTATACCCTACTTCCTCCCCCCCCTATCCTTTTTTTATTTACCCCTACCCTTAAATTTTTTATTGCAAGGATATATTATAGTACCGCGCGTTTTACCCTAAACTTGCTATAATCAATATAAATTGACTTACTTTTCAGTATTTCCACTAATTATGACAAAATAATCACCATCACATATTGTACATGAACAACATGCTCAACTCGGTTCTACTGTCACTAATCATAGTCGCAAATCAACGACGATACATTAATGCTGCCTGTAAGTATTTGTAAAAGTTTTAAAATGCCTTAAAATAGCCTAAAAAAGGTTTTTGACACTTTTTAAAAGTGGAAGTTGAGTGGAAGATTTGTAATGTAATTTTCACTGAAAATCTTCCACTCAAAATCCATTTTCAAAATGTCTTAAAATGGCTTAAAAATGACTTTTTGACGCTTTTTAGAAGTGGAAGTTCCATTCCTTCCATTCCCTTTTTTGCCTATTTAAACCCAATTTTTTAAATTTTTAGGTAACAAAATTTAAAAACCATTACTTCCAAGCCATTTTGATAAAATATTCATAAAAATTAGCTCAATTTAAAAACTATTATGGTTGATTTCAGCTCCCCCATCCTTCATCTCAGAGCCTCCGGCAACTGTTTGGTTTCAACCGAACGACGATCTGACCGGTCGACAAACTAAAATCGAATTGCCTTGTACTGCCGATGGGGATCCTGAAACGTAGGTTTATTCTTTTTAGGATTTTTGCAAAGATTTGGCTTTTTGACGTAATGTCAATATTGATTTTTTTGAAATTTATAAGTTTTTCTTGTTATTTGGCCATAAAAGTGTTTTATCTTGTTTTAGATTGTTGTTTTTAAGTTAATTTCGTTAAAAAACAAATTTTAAGACCTTGTTCAATATTTTATTAAACTTTAATATTCATTTTCACTCAATTTCCGCATTTTTCAAGCAAAAGATCATGGATAATATCGGATTTTCAGCTTTAAATGGCAAAAAGACGAAGAAGACTTTGCGATTAATGGTGAACATGTAATATGGACAAAACCAGAGCAAAGCGGATCAATTCAGTTCAAAAATCCGACTTTTGAGGACGAAGGTTTCTATCAATGTTTTGTTTCGAACGCGTTTGGAACGGCCGTCTCGAATCGAGTTCACGTCCGGAGGGGATGTAAGTTTTCTTTGGTTTAAATGTTTTGGGACTTTTAGGAAGATTATTTTTGGATATTTATTGGAACAGGAAAACTGCAAAAACTTAATTTACATTTGTTATTTTAAATTTAGGAAGTCAAACAAATTTTAGGTAACAAATCTCAAAAAAATTTGAAATAACGACCAAGTTTTGTTTTAAGGATGTTTTAATTAAAATGTCCGAAAATACGTTTTTGACGTTTTTTTAAAATTGAATGTTTTTAGGTAACAAAATTTCTTAAAAGTGCCATTTTTGATTAAAAAATCAAGAGTTGTTACCTAAAATCTAATAAAATTATTTTTGATATTTTACAGCTTTAAAAATATATTTTGTTACTTAAAATGCTATAAAAATTAATAATTAATTGTGATTTGTTACCTAAAAAGATAACATTTATGGTTTATTACCTAAAAACCAACAAAAAACCGATATTATCCTTAAAACACCCCAAAAATTTTAAAAATAACTCAATATTTTAGTTCTTCAACACTTTTCCGAACGTCCTCTTCGCACGCTACGAGTAAAAGAAGGTAAATCCGTCTCAATTCCGTGTGAAGCGCCTTCTGGAACGCCGAAACCCACCGTGAACTGGGTACTTCGTGATCTTCAAGTCCATTCAGTGCTGGAATCGGTTGGGAAAAACAACAGAATCTCGGTCGATGAAGATGGTACACTACATTTCACGTACGTGGAAAGGAAGGATTCTCAGAGTACGAGAATCTACGAATGTGCCGTGTCTTCACCAGTAATGCGTGGTGAATATCGAGGTGGTGATCGGGTTCAGTTGGTTGTGCTGCCTCAGAAAAGTAAGGTTTCGGAATTGTATTTGGTAAGGTAAGACGGTGGGCATGGTAGGATAATTTAGTGTGGTTTAGGGCGGGGTAATCTAGGGTATGGCAAGAAAATCTCTTTTTCAGACATTCCAATTCTGGAGCCCCACATCCTCTACCGTTCCCCAGAACTAGTTCAAGTACGTGCAGGAGAATCCCTCCGCTTAACCTGTATATACGGCGGTTACCCCTTCCCACGTCCTACTTGGTCCCGAAAAGATGCACCATTACCACTAAATAGGTACCGATCTGACCTGAGCGACGAAGGACGACGTCTGATACTCGAAGACGTGCATCCAGAGGACGCCGGCACTTACGTCTGCGAAATGTACGGTGAAGAACAAGAGTTCCAGGTGGTGGTGGAAGCGGCACCATTTTGGGAACAAGGTCGACCGGTCGATGTTACAGTAGACGAAGGAGAAACCGCTGATTTGAGGTGCAATGCTCATGGAGTACCACGGCCATTGTTAAGGTGGTTCATGAATGGTGTGCCATTACATGAGCTGAGAGATAATAGTACTAGAAGGACCATACTGGAAGATGGGAAGTTGTTGAGGATTCATGATGTTCGGCCGAACATTGATACTGGCGTGTATCAATGTAATGCCTCGAATCCTCTGGGATTTGTTTTTGCTAATGCTTATATCAACGTGTTGTGTAAGTTTTAGGCTTAAAATTGGTTAAAATTTGCTTTAAAAGGTCTAAAAGACAAGTTACGAAAGTGGAAGTTAAGTGGAAGATTTGTAATGTATTTTGCGCTGAAAATCTTCCATTGAACTTCAATTTTTGAAATGTCTTACAATGACCTAAAAATGAGTTTTTGACACTTTTTAGGGGTGAAAGTTGAGTGGAAGATTTGTAATGTATTTTGCACTGAAAATCTTCCACCGAACTTCCACTTTTAAAAAGTGCTAAAAACGCATTTTTAGGCCTTTTAAAGACGTTTTAAAAGTGGAAGTTTAGTGGAAGATTTTCAGTGCAAAACACATTACAAATCTTCCACTCAACTTTCACTTCAAAAATGCCAAAAGTGCTGTAACTTTATTTACAAGTAACAAAATGCTTAAAAATAGCTATAAAAATGTCATTTTTCAGCCCTACCACCAAAGTTCTTGTCTCCAGAACGTAAAATCTGGCGTGTAGCCTTAGGACAGACCGTTGACTTCCCATGTGATGTCGTAGCAGCACCAAAAGCCGACATACGATGGGTTGATGTGAATGATCAGACCATTCCGACAGTCGAAGGAAAGCTGGAAATTCTGGAGAATTACACGATGAGAATCTACAATGTTCATGGTGAAGACGAAGGAGTATATTACTGTAACGTCAGCAACAAATACGGTATCAATCGGGCTGAGAACACACTTGTGGTATATGGTGAGTGGTTTTGATATACTATTATGTTATGCTTTGTATTTACAGTACAATGGGTTTTAGGTATTGTAGGTAATATGCATAGTATGTTAGGTAGTCTGAGGATTACGGTAGGTATTGAGGTACTGTAAGTAACCTTTGAGGTACTGTAAGTAGCCTTTCAGGTACTGTAAGTAAATCTTTGAGGTACTGTAAGTAACCTTTGAGGTACTGTAAGAAACTTTTGAGGTACTATAAGCACCCTTTCAGGTACTGTAAGTAACCTTTGAGGTACTTTAAGTACTCTTTGAGGTACTATAAGTATCCTTTGAGGTACTGTAAGTACTCTTTGAGGTACTATAAGTATCTTTTGAGGTACTGTAAGTAACCTTTGAGGTACTGTAAATAGTCTTTGACGTACTGTAAGTAGCATTTCAGGAATTATAAGTGCCTTTTGACGTACTATAAGTATATAAGTACCCTTTGAGATACTGTAAGTACCCTTTGAGGTACTATAAGTATCTACCTATACCTAATTATACCTCTCCTTTCCAGATCCCATGTACTTTGTGGAAGTCCCAAAGCCAACGAAGCTAGAAGTCGACGCCTTTGCCGATGTAGAACTTCGTTGCCGTGCCAAAGCCGACAAACGCTTGAACATCGACTACATTTGGTCGAGAGAAGGCGAAAAGATCAGAGAAGCGGCCGTGATCGAGGAAGACGTCAGCGTACTACGGCTAGACAACGTCCGCGGCCGTGATACTGGCTATATCAAATGTACAGTATCAACCGAAATCGGCAAAAAGTCATCCGGTATCTATTTGATAGTACGTGACGTACCCGAACCACCATCCGAAATGTCATTGACCTGCCAAGCCAACAGCGCCCTAATCTCGTGGGAACGGCCCAAAGCTCACGGTAGCCCAATCACCGACTACCGTATCGAGTTCAAGACCAATTTCGAGTACGATCAATGGAAAACGGCACTATTAGTACCAAACAACAACAAAACCGAGTACGAAGCTCACGTCCAGCTCTCACCGTGGGTGGTGTACGACTTCAGAATCGTCGCCATCAACTTGTACGGTGAAAGCACGCCAGGCACGTCGAATTCAGCACATTGCGAGACCAGACCCAACATACCGTTCTCGAATCCACAGAACGTTAAGGTCTTCGGCACGGAGCCGGATAATTTGGTTATCAGTTGGGATCCAATGCCAAAGTTTGAATGGAATGCACCTGGATTAAAGTACTATATCAAGTACAGAAGGCAAAAGAAGGGCGCAGCTTGGAAGGATTTTTATGTGGAGGACCCGTTGGCTGTAAGAAACTGTTTACAAGGCTAATATGGTTGAAATAAAAGTAGCGTGACACTTTTTTAGTTGAGCCAGAAGTAGGGGGGGGGGGGACATTTTTTATTTGACAAATAAATGAAAAGTGTCCCGCTACTTTTGGTTCAACCTCAATCTGACAAAAAATTCAATTTCAGGCTAAAAATGACGTTTTTATATCAAAAAAAGCAGTTTGAGGGAAGTGGAAGTAGAGTGGAAGATTTTTAATGTAATTTGCACTGAAAATCTTCCACTCAACTTCCATTTTTAAAATGTCTTGAAATGGCTTAAAAATGAGTTTTTGGCACTTTTTAAAAGTGGAAGTTGGGTGGAAGATCTTCAGTGCAAAATACATTACAATTCTTCCACCAAACTTCCACTTCCAAAAAGTATGTCGCGAAGTTGCGAGTTAAGAAATACAAAAACATGTTTACAAAAATATAGAACCGGTCCAGAACAAAGAAGGTCTTTTTTATTTTACAAAAACTGTTTATAGTTAGGCCGATTTGGCCAAAAAATGAGAAGTCTCTAACCAACTAGACCGCGGATCGGTCGTATTTTATATTTTTGGATAAATAAATATTTTATATACTGTAACTAGCTAATAATACTAATATTTATAATAATCTTATGACATGGGGGCTCAGCCGGTGAGCTAAATTATGATTTATCCTTAAGTACAGGAAAATCATATCCTACTGTAGTATTTATCTGATCTATAAATAAATGACAGTTACTACCGTATGGTAACAGTAAATTACTGTATCGAAACCTATATTAAGCTAAATTACGTATATTTTACTGTCACAAAAACTCCTATAAATAACGGAGGTGACAGAATATTTCAATAATCTAGTGACTAGTGTATTTTACTGTCCTAAGTATTGTTGATATTAGCCCTCTAGGTGAAGGACAAAGATTAGTCTACTTGTTAGACTATTATTCCCGATTTCTTAAAGTTACGGTATTATAGTTAAGAAAAATTTCTAAAATTTTTGCTATTCCGTATTGTTGTTGTCAACCAGTGCAAAACTTCTGGACACTTGGCAATATCAATTTTGTCGGGCTCAATTTATCCAATCAAGAATATCAAAGGGACCTGGATATCTCACCGATACAATCAGGCTAGTTTACCGATCCGCAGGTGAAAATTGTTAAGATTAGTTTTACTATCTGTCTTACAACAGTTGGTTACAAACCGTCCTTTCTAAATCTTCTTTGTTTTGATTTAAGATACCAAAATCATACTTTAAGCTTTTTTGTATCTTTGTATACATAATTTGCTTTAGTAAATCATATTGTTGTTACTTTACAAAAAAAATCCTTTTGTCTTTTGAAATTGTACGTTATTGTACTTTAAAGTATTCTGATTCTGTTCTGATCGGAAAAGACAAAGAATTATACAACAATAATTAACATAAGATCTAAAAAAAGTGCTCAGTCCCGAGGGTTGACAAGATGATGTCAAGTAAAATGAGTCGTTTATACGCCATTGAGCTAAAATGCCATTTAAGAAGTGCCAACAATATGCTTCAGAAGGCGGCGTCATCTGATGAACAACCTGGCAGAGATGACATGAAAATGTCAAACTTCAATCTCACAATGGAAAAAATAAAGAGCTGTCAAGAAAGTTGGGAAAATCTTATCAAAACATTACCAAAAGAAGATAAAGGAGAAGAGCAACAACATTTTGAGGAGTTGCATCTCAAGGTAGATGCACTCTCGATCCAAGTCAATAACATCAAACAACAATTTGACAATCAATTCAAAATAAATGAACCACTTGTTCAAAATAGAGTACGGACAAAGCAAAGACAAACTCAAGGAGTCCGCCAGTCAACGCTCGCTCCAACATCAAATACTCGAAAGAAAGAGGTAGTTGGATGCATCCTATGCTCACGAAGTCACAAAGAATATAATTGTGATGGATACAAAAGCAAAGAAGAAAGATGGCTAAAATTAAAAGCACTACATAAGTGCATTGGTTGTCTAAAGGAAGTTGCTCACAAATGTTCGGTTGTGTGCATAATATGCCACAAGAAAGGACATAATTCAATTCTCTGCAAAAAGAACAAATGCTACTCTAACTTACAAAATTCAAAAAAGAACGTCACAAAAAGATGCTTGAATTTTGAAAGAAAAGATGACAAAAAGGGGAATTGTCTTCAAAAACTACAGTCAACTCCAAAAGCTTCTACAACAATTAAAGTAGAAAATCCTGTCAAATATAGGAGTATTAAAAAAGAGTTGGCAAACGTGAAGATGAATAAAGCCAAAGACAGTACTGAAAAAACTGAAAGATAAAAAAGAGTAAAATTTTATTTGATTGACAGAACATGGCTAACGCATAACTCAAACCTTCCTATGGCCCGAGTGTCGCGAAGTTGCGAGTTAAGAAATACAAAAACATGTTTACAAAAATATAGAACCGGTCCAGAACAAAGAAGGTCTTTTTTATTTTACAAAAACTGTTTATAGTTAGGCCGATTTGGCCAAAAAATGAGAAGTCTCTAACCAACTAGACCGCGGATCGGTCGTATTTTATATTTTTGGATAAATCAATATTTTATATACTGTAATTTTAGCTAATAATACTAATATTCATAATAATTTTATGACAAGTATCAAAAACGTGATTTTAGTTCATTTTAAGATGTTTTGAAAATGGAATTTTAGTGGAAGATTTTTAGTGCAAATTACATTACAAACCTTCCACTCAACTTCCACTTTTTAAAATACCTTAAAATAGCCTAAAAACACGTTTTCAATACTTTTTAGAAGTGGAAGTTGGGTGGAAGATTTGTAATGTATTTTGCACTGAAAATCTTCCATCTGACTTTCATTTTTAAAAAGTTTTCGAAAAATCTCTTTAACAGGTTTTTAAGCTTATTTGTTATCTAAAAAACCTCAAATTTACCTGTTTTTTAAAAAATCATACCTAAAATTCAATTTTGTAACTTTTCAGAATCACACAATCCTTCGTGACATGCCCACCTTCAAGCCGTTCGAAGTGCAAGTACGAGCGGTAAACGAAAAAGGACCTTCCTCATTAGACCCCCAAATCGTAGCCGGCTTCTCGGGCGAAGACATCCCCCTAACACCACCAGCCAATGTTACAGTAACCGAAGTGGCGGACTACGACCGAGCCACCATCGGCTGGAACGCGGTGGATCCGGCCACGTTACGAGGCTTCTTCAAAGGCTACAAAATACTGTATTGGGAGACTGGACACCCGGATACTGTAAACGAGACTAAAGTTGGCCCGGAACGCCTGAAGGCAGAAATTCAAGGGTTGAAGGCGATGACAAACTATACGGTAGAAGTTAGGGCTATCAATGCTAGACATGAAAGTTCATCTAGTTTGACGTCGAGCTTTGTCACGCCTGAAGGACGTGAGTTTTCAAAAATGTTTGGTTTTTATGCAGAAACTTTGGGGGCTACTCTATTTAAGCCACCCACATTAATAGACACACCCACTACCTATTATGACCACCCATTTATTCAAATTTGAGTTTTTACAAATAAAATTGTAAAAACATTTCAAATAATGGAAGCGGTCGTTTTGTCGGGATACGGCTTCGTCCAAGTTGAATTGCATCAGGTTTTCGTGGTCTTCTTTTGGGATGTTTAGTGCCGGTTCATACGTCGATTCTAAAATTACGTACTGAACTATATAGTGCTTCTGATAATGGGTGTGCTAACTAAGAAACGGGTGTGCTAACTAAGAAATGGGTGTGCTAACTAAGAAATGGGTGTGCTAACTAAGAAGTGGGTGTGCTAACTAAGAAGTGGGTGTGCTAACTAAGAAATGGGTGTGCTAACTAAGAAATGGGTGTGCTAACTAAGAAAAGAACTGATACAGGACCGTCAACAATAATAAGTTAAAAGTAATGTAACTTACATAAAATCTATCGCCAAACACCTTCCGTTTACCCAGTTTCATCGGCGATCAACAATTGGCACAAGCAGTTGACATCTCGCGTAGACCATGGTGTTGAAGATACATACGAGCTAGGTTCTGCGCTTAAACTCGTCCATATTTTGAAGATAAAATCTCCGGAGATATTCCAACGACCACTCGGTAGCACAAAAAATTTTCAAAATGAAAGAAGCACAACCGTGCTGGAAACCCGATAAAATATTCAAATTTGGGTGTGTCTAATAAGGCCGAAATTTGGGTGTCTTTAACAGGTTGTGTGGGTGGCTTAAATAGAGTAGCGCCAAACTTTGTTTACAAAACTTAAAATGGCAAAAACTTTGTTTACAAAACTTAAAATGGCAAAAACTTTCTTTACAGAACTTGAAGTGGCAAAATCTTTGTTTACAGACCTTGAAACGGCAAAAACTTTGTTTACAGAGCTTAAAATGGCAAAAACTTTCTTTGCAGACAAATTTTAAAAAATTTTTGTAATTTTAAAGTTTTTTAAGATAAAACGTCGTTTTAGGACCATCACAAGTCACAAAACTAAAGGTAACAGCAGTCGGAGCACAATCAATGTTGGCAACGTGGGACTTGCCAAAACAGCTCAATGGTAACATACGTGGATATTACGTGGCTTTTCAAAGTAAGTTTGACCGTCTAGGACATCAGAAGCTGGTTTCCCTTCATAAATTTGATATTTCAACAAATTTTTAATCAAAAACAAGATTTTGTTATGGTTTTCCTTTGGTATAAAATGGGAACGCAGCCTGCAATATCCGGGCGCATTCTGCGTTTTCTTTCGTTTGATCTTGAAGCCTTTGAAGTTGATTCTCTCTTTGAATACAAGGAATTAAGTGTAAAATACGCATTATAAACTCTAGTTATTCTATTAAATATGTTTAACAACATTTTCTTTCAGATGCATCAGCAAAAGACGAAATTAGCGAGTCTTATGTGATCTATTCGCAACGTTATTACCTAGCTGAACAACTCTCACCGGATACGCAATATATATTCTACGTTTGGGCTGAAACTAATGGAGGAGAAGGTCCAAATGTGTCCAGATCTTTTAGAACATTCGAATTGAGACGTAAGTTTTGTTTCTTTTAGTTTTTATTGTTTTAGGTTGATCAGAGGGTTGATGTTCATATTCGGTCGATTTTGAAGAAGTTTAGGTATAAACCTAAAGTTTTTTTTTGGGAGAAGAGAAAATATACATTAATTTGAGATATAATTAAGTTTTAAATAGTCTAATCAAGTTTAAAGATATTTTTGGGGCTAATTTATCTGACATTGTTGTAGATCCGGACGCGCCAAAATTCTCAGCGATTCCAACGTCTTCAACCAGCTTTAAAATAACTTGGCATCCGAATAATGGATCAGTTTGGTCATTATCAGGCACAACGTTTCATTTAAAATACGGAATTGTTGGTAAGTTGCTGTTTTTGCAGATTTTTGATTTGATACCTAGTGTAATATAAAAAAATTGGAATGTGCTTAGTTTTAAAGCTAAAATTAGGTAAATGGTGTCAGAGGGATAGTAAAATAATATTATAGTTGTTAAGGTGTGTTAAAATATATTATTAACAGATATTATTTTAGGTTCAACAGACTTCAATAGAACAGATGAAATCGCGTTACCTACAAGAAACTTCCAGCTCGATAATCTTCTTCCCGATGCCGATTACTGGATCATAGGAGTAGCAAGAGAAAATGAACGGCAATCGGAGAGCGTGGAGTACCAGCTTCACACAAGTTCAGGCATCAACCTATCTCATCTCAACACGGAAAACCTTCGAGAAGCAGCTTGGTTCATCGTGATATTAATAGTTCTGGCAGTAGCACTATTCATCCTAGTATTATGCTGTTGTTGTGCACAATTCCGCGCACGAAAGTACAGTGTGAAGAAGAGAGAACGCCAGTTTGGCAAGGAGAAGGATTCAGATGAATATCGAAAGTTTTTGGAGTATCATCACTTAAATGATCGTGATGATCCGCCGACGATCAGTGTGTCTTTAGCAGCGGATTCGACGCTGGATTCGAGGAAAAGGGCACCGTCAATCGAGGAGAGTCAGAAGTCACACGGTTCGTTACATTATCCTGAAAGTGCACAGTTGTTACCAAGTAAGAGTTAGATGATTTATTAGTTTTCTGACGAATTTTGTAGTCAAATTATTATGAATTTTACTTTCATGGTAAAGGTAAGGTATATCTTCATGGTAATCTATGATTGAATTGTACATTTGTTCAAATCTTATGTTATGTGTCATACCAGTCCAATCTCAGGAGTTTTTTAATTGTATTTTACTTCAATTCGGTGCTTTTTATCTATATTTTACTCTCTTATCTTCATGAGCTTTATTATTTATTTTAGAAACGAATTTTAACATAATAATAAATATAGTTTTAAGCTGTTAAAGTTGAATTTTTGGCTTGGCGGGATTTTGGAAATTTGAATTTTTAGAGCTGTTTTTGATGTTAAATAATGAAAAATGAAGACAAAGTTAATAGAATAGTGTTTATAGTATCTGGATAATGATTTTATAGTTTTGAAGGCTTGAAACATAATGCCAAGATTTGGCGGGATTTTGAAAATTTAAATTTTCAGTTATTTTTAAAGTTAAATATGGAAAAATGGAAGCCAAAATTAATAAGATAGTGTTTATAGTATCTGGATAATGATTTTATAGTTTTGAAGGCTTGAAACATAATGGCAAGATTTGGCGGGGTTTTGAAAATTTAAATTTTTTATGACGAAAGGCTAACTTGAAAATATTTTTAAAATTTTTATAATGACAGTAACTGTTTGAAAAAGCTTATACTAACATTATTTTGTCGTTTCAGGCACCTAAAATACAATGCCAAGATTTGGCGGTTTTCAAATGAAATTTTTTTCAATTTTTACTTTTTCGAATATTTTTCGATTCGAAATTTGCATAACCCATTTAGCTGGGCCCGCTTTTCCGCAAAACTTCATTCTGACGAAGCGGCGGCGGTGAGGAACGGACGTATCTCTTCAACTGACTCTCGACACGAACAGCAACAATGTCGGAAAGCAACGTGAGCTCAGCGGCACCACCAAGCAGCAGCGGCGGAGGAGACAGGCGTTCCAAGATGATCACCATCTTCAAGACCGCGGCATTTGTAAGTTTGGTGGTTTAGGCTTAGAGTTGGGCTTAAAGTTGGTGTTTTTGAGTTGTGGGTTGTTTTTTGGGTTATTGGTATAGTTTTTGTAGTTTAGGCTTAAAAAGTAATATTTAGGCTTAGAACTTGTCTTAAAATGATTTTTTTAACACTTCAGGCTTAAATTGGCTTTTTAGACGATTTTTTTGCGTTATAGGCTTAAATGTTGGTTTTTAGGCTTAAAATTGGCACTTAAATGATTTTTTTGCATTGTAGGCTTATGTGTTGGTTTTTAGGCCTAAATTAGCCTTTTAAGTGATTTGTTTGCGTTGTAGGCTTAAATATTGCTTTTTAGGCTTAAAATTGGCAATTAAATATTTTTTTTACATTTTAGGCTTACAAATTTTAGGTATGCTTTTGATCGTATAAAATGTCACCAAACATGTTTCTTCGTATAAAATGTCACTAGTAAACTTTTTGATCGTATAAAATGTCACTAAAACATTCTTTTCATATAAAATATCACCAGTCTACTTTTGATCGTATAACTTGTCACCAAGACATTTTTTATCGTATAAAATGTCTTTATATTTCAGGCCTTCTTCTTCGGTGGCATTTTCACGATGCTCGGTGGTATGTTCTACATTTTCCTGACCCTCATTGCCATGCTCGTGTACTATGGCCGTCTGATCTACTGGGCCATTCCGGCCGAGTTGCCTGGTCGTGAACCGAAAGTTGAATTCTTTATTGACTTGTCCTGTTGCATTGCCTGCCTCGTCGACGTGCTGATCGTGTTCCTATTGGGCGGGGTTGGCGGCGTCTTCATGGTTTTCGTGAGTGGATTACTGTAGTTTTTTTGGGATTTGAGGTGGTTATAGCAAGTTATGGTGGTATGAAGTACTATAGTTTTTGGGGAGGGGGTGGGGGTTGAGTAGGTGGAAATGGATAGAGAAGCTTACTAGGATTGGGCTTAGTAGGCTTAGGCTTAGTAGGCTTGGGCTTAGTAGACTTGGGCTTAGTAGTCTTAGGCTTAGTAGGCTTAGGCTTAGTAGGCTTGGGCTTAGTAGACTTGGGCTTAGTAGGCTTAGGCTTAGTAGGCTTAGGCTTAGTAGCTTTAGTCTTAGTGAGCTTTGACTCAACTGGGCCAGGCGTATTAGTTTTAGGCTTACTAGGCTTAAGCTTAATAACCTTAGGTATAGTAGGCTTAGCCTTTGTAGGCTTAGACTTAATAGTCTTAAGCGTAGTAGGCCTAGGCTTGGCAAGCTCAGACTTAGTAGGCTTAGGCTTTGTGAGCCTTACTGTATATCAATGTTGTTTACTGTGTTTTAATGTTGTTGTATTTCAGTTCGGCGATCTATTTCTTGTCGTCTCCCTGGGCGTTCTTAGCTTCCTGGAGTTCAAGAAATGGAAGAGCGGTTGAAGCACCTCGATTTATTGATTCAAGAATAAACTACTGACCTTACTCGGATTGTTTTTTGGTTTTTTAATTGATTTTTGTTGTCAATTTTTTATTTTAAAAAATTTTTTTTTGTTTTTTAAGTTGTAAAGGAAGTTCTTGCCATTTTAGGCTCTGTAAAGGAAGTTATTGCCATTTTATGTTTTGTAAAGAAAGTTCTTGCCATATTCTTATGAAGCACTAATTAAAGTAGCGATTGTAAGAAGTGGTAGTATTTGTATTCGGAATGACTCACATAATGTCCTTTTCGAATCAAAAATCTTTGATCCGAACGAATTTTCTTTGTTGAAAATGACTAGCCATTTTTTATGAGCCATGAGAACAGTTCAGTGTTATTTTGATGGTTTTTCAATTCGAAATGTCCTTTTTTACAGATTTTTTGCTGATTTTTGTTGTTTGGAAAGAAAGTTATTTCATTTTTTGTTGTGTTTGGTAATTTGGAGAAGTGGACGTTGAGTGGAAGATTTGTAATGTATTTTTCACTAGAAATGTTCCACTAAACTTTCATTTTTAAAATGGCTTAAAAATACGTTTTTGACGCTTTTTGGGAGTGGAAGCTTGGTGGAAGATTTTTAGTGCAAATTACATTACAAATCTTCCACTCAACTTCCATTTATTAAAACTTACCTTTTTATGGTTTCTAACGAATTTTTTTGGTATTTTATGCATTGTAAAGAAAGTTTTCGTCATTCTACGTGCTATAAAGGCATTGTTTTCCATTTCGACTTCTGTAAAGAAAGTTTTTGTCATTTTGTGTTTTCTAAAGAAAGTTCTTGCCATTTTACGTTTTGTAAAGAAAGTTTTTGCCATTTTGTGTTTTCTAAAGAAAGTTTTTGCCATTTCAACTTTTGTAAAGAAAGTTTTTGCCATTTCGATTTCTGTAAAGGATGTTTTTGCCATTCTGACTTTTGTAAAGAAAGTTCTTGCCATTTTTTGTTTTGTAAAGAAAGTTCTTGCCAGTTTATGCTTTGTAAAGAAAGTTCTTGCCATTTCGAATGCTGTAAAGAAAGTTCTTGCCATTTTTTGTTTTGTAAAGAAAGTTCTTGCCATTATAACCAAATCTTTTAAAAGTTGCGGTTTTTCACCCAAAAATCCCATTAAATCCCCACAGGTGATTTTTCGAAAAGATTTTCGCCGTCAAATGGAATGAAACATGGCTAGCGAGCGGAAAGAAGAGTGGCGGGCAGGGTAAATGATTGTTTTTTCGGGTCACTTGTCAAATAAAATTGTCGTTGATAGTTTGTTGGCAGCCTTAAATTCAACCAAATTTAATGTATTTGCTGATAAATGTCGGTGATAAGGAACGACCGTTTCGTGGTTTGTTTTGGGTTTAAAATAAAAAATAAAAGTACAAAAGTTAATTTTGGTTTTGTCTTTTTTAAATGTTAATAGGCTTATTAGTCTTGGCAGGGATAGGTTAAGTAGAAGTAGGATTAGTAGGCTTAGGCTTATTGGGTTTAGGTTTTGTAGGCTTAGGTTTAGTAGGCTTAGTCTTAGTAGGCTTAGGCTTAGTAGGCGTGGGCTTTATAAGCTTGGACTGATCAAGGTTTGGCTTGGTCAGTCTGGACTGAATTGGCTTAGACTGGGGAAGCTTAGGCTGATGATTGGTCTTGGTCTTAGTCTCAGACCTAGTCAGCTTTAGCTCTGGTCTTAGTTGTGGCACTAGCCTTAGAAACAGTCGCTGCTCAGAGCCCTAGCGCAGATCCCTAGTCTCGAGCCCGAGCCCTAGCCCCGAGCCCTAGCCCCGAGCCCTAGCCCAGAGCCCTAGCCCAGAGCCCTAGTCCTTAGCCTTATCTTGAGCATTAGACCTAGCTCTAGCTTTTGCTCTTGTCCTTACCTATGGGCTAACTTTATTCTTAGGCTTATGTGTAGGCCTTAGCTCGAGTCTTAGGCTTTTGCTATAAGCTCTGCTAATAAATATGTACCAACTTTGTATACCATGATAGTATACGACGACATATTGACATGTCATCGTATATTTATGGTTATACAAACATGTTCTCACCTCTGACACAAAACAAATATAAATACGCAAAATAAATAATTGGAGTCGTAAAGGCGTTTCCGTTACCATGTAATCTTCGTATTACTTTCGCTTTTCTGATTCTCATTACATTCCCCATCCAAAAACATAAATGGCTAACAAATTTATGTGGAATTTTAATTTTCTCATTATTTTTTTCGAAATTTAAAAAATTTTTTTGTGAAAGAACTTTGTTTACACGTTTTTAATAAAATTGTGGGCTAGTTTTTGCAAAAATGTTTTGTAAAATACGGCAATAGTTAATAAGAAAATGGTTTTTATTTTATGTTAACCCATTTTAAGCTATTTTGAAAGTGGAAGTCGGATGGAAGATTTTCAGTGCAAATTACATTACAAATCTTTCACTCAACTTCCACTTCTAAAAAGTTATAAAAACGTGTTTTTTGCCAATTTTAAGACGTTTTAAAAATGGAAGTTGAGTGGAAGATTTTCAGTGCAAATTATATTAAAAATCTTCCACTTAACTTCCACTTTATAAAAGGCTTGTTTTGGCTTGTTTTTTACTTTGTATTGACTTTTTTGGTATTTTTTTAGGTTTTTGAGAGTTTACTGAAGGTTTTTTGGTTTAAAATTTTAGTTTTTTATTTGAAATTTGAAATTTTTTTTTTAAATTTTTGATTTTTTAAATTTTTACAGCTCCCTCACTATTTATGTTAGCATTATTTTAGCCCCATTCCGTTATTAACCTTGTTTGATCAGTTTTGACCATGTGCGAGCTTATTTTGCGACCGTCTTTCTTTCTTTAATCGAGAGCGGTGGGGGGAGAGGGGCGAGAGTAAAGCTTAATGAGTGGACACCGGTCTTTTTGGTTATAACTTTCGGCGATGTTAATTTTGTCGCGTTTCACGAAAAAAATGCTCGAGGCGGGTTTCGAACCGGGATTTGCGATTGGATTTCGATCCAAAAAATGCCTTCTGAAGTTTGATTTTGCAGGGGAAAAGTGTGAATTTTGGCTGGGAGAAGGAGCTTGGTAGGAGGAGGATGAGGAAGGCTAACAGGAGGTGGAGGAGGGGAGGGGGGCTTGAAAAAACTTTGAAAATTGAAAATTTTAATACTTTACAACTAGAAATATGTTTTTTCCCTCCTTTTTTACATAAAAATGTCATTTTAGTAGATGGAATTTGGGTGGAAGATTTGTAATGTATTTTGCACTAAAAATCTTCCACTCAACTTCCATTTTTAAAAGTCTTAAAACGGCCTAAAAACACGTTTTTGAGCATTTTTGGAAGTGGAAGTTGAATGGAAGATTTGTAATGTAATTTGCACTGAAAATCTTCCACTCAACTTCCACTTTTATAAACCTTTTATTTTTAGTATTCTAAACAAAATTATTGTCATTTTTCAATTTTATAACTATAAAGGAGATAACAATTTTAATTTTTTGTCATTTATAACATTGAAAAATTAAAATTCATAATATGTTTTGATTATACATAGTAATGTAGTGTTTAATGTTTCATATACATACAAATGTATGTATAATATCAATAAGAGGATTGGGAATGTTATCAGTTCTTCATTTTTTTCGATTTTTTTGGTTTCTCTGAAATAACAAATAACGCTAAAAAAAAGTAATGTCAAGTTACAAATTTATGCTTATTATTGCTTTTAAGGTGGGGGGGGGGGCTGTAAATAAAGTTTGCGATACTTTGGAATTTGTAAAGAAAGTTCTTGCCATTTGCTGTTAGGTAAAATACGTTTTGTAATTTAATTTATTGGAAGGGTGAGATATGGCACTTTTAAGATAATGGAAGATTGATGGAAGATTTGTAATGTATTTTGCACTGAAAATCTTCCACTTAACTTCCACTTCCAAAAAGTGTCAAAAACGTGTTTTTAGACCATTTTAACACATTTTAAAAATGGAAGTTTTGTGGAAGATTTTCAGTGCAAATTCCATTACAAATCTTCCACTGAACTTCCACTTTTTAAAAGTCGTATAATTTCTTGATTTTTTTGCATTGTAAACAAAGTTCTTGCCGTTTCCTTTCAAAAAATGTCGTTTTGTATGTTTTGGTATCAGATGTGGGATGTTATTCAGCCGTTTCCTTTCCTGACTTCGTTTACAAAACGATGACACAACCGGCTGACGAAACTTCGCTGCCCTCAGGCAACGGAAGCCGAATCATACAAAATTAGGCGGCTTGTATTACTTTTTCGAATACACAAATGACTTTTGATTTTTTTTAATTTTTATTTTTTGGCAATAACTTTCTTTACAAGGTTTGATAAGGAAGTTTGGTGGAAGATTTGTAATGTAATTTTCACTGAAAATCTTCCACCTAACTTTTATTTTAAAAATGTCTTTAAATGGCCTAAAAATGAATTTTTGACTCTTTTTAGGGGTGGAAGTTGAGTGGAAGATTTTCAGTGCAAAATACATTACAAATCTTCCACCAAACTTTCACTTCTAAAAAGTGTCAAAAACGTGTTTTTAGGCCATTTTAAGATTTTTTTAAAAATGGGAGTTGAGTGGAAGATTTTTATTGTAAAGTACATTACAAATCTTTTACTCAACTTCCACTTTTTTTAATGGGCCGAAGCGTGGGGTTTAGGCCAAAATTTGTTAAAGTATATCTTTCACATGGTCGGAAATATCAAAAATTGTTTTCAGGTAACTCAGAATCGAAAAAAAAATTACACAGTAAAAAACGGCAAAAACTTTCTTTACAACTGTGGTTTTGTCAATTTTTTGATGATAAGTCTTGCGTTTTGATTTTTTTTTGAATTTTTCTTACTTCATTCCAATGATTTTCTTTCTAAAAAAATAATTTTACTTAACTTTAGGTATGAGCGAGACCAGCTCATTGGCCGAGAGCGATCCTCGGCTTCTGCACGATGCTGGTTGGAAGAAGATTCAAGAGAACACATTCACACGTTGGGTGAATCAGAATTTGGCTTTGGATGGTGAGCAAATCGAGAATCTGGCTACGGATTTGTCGGATGGTATCAATTTGATCAAGCTGGTGCAGATTTTGGCACAGCGAGTGGTGGGACAGAGGTATAACAAGAAGCCGTCGTTGAGGCAACAGAAGCTGGACAATGTTCAACAGGCCTTGAATTTTATTGAGAATGATGAGGGGATCAAGCTGGTTACTATTGGTAAGAAATGTTGCTATTTGGGCACATTTTATACGATGGAAAGTGTTTTGTAGACAGGTTACACGATTGAAAGTGTTTGGGGACAAGTTATACGATAGAAAGTGTTTGGGGACTTTTTATACGATGAAAAGTGTTTAGAGAAATATTTTTTTAGGCTTATTGTAAGCCTAAAAATACCTTTAAAACTAATTTTTTATAAGAAAAAACTTTTTTAAAATTTTTAAAATATTTTTAAAATATTTTTTCAATTTTTTAATTTGTAAAATTTTTTTTCAGACGGCACTCACATCGTAGACGGCAACCTAAAGCTGATCCTAGGCCTAATCTGGACCCTAATCTATCACTACTCGATTGGCCAACACATTGATGGTGACAAAAAGAAGGGCCAGACCCCAAAGCAACGTCTGATGGCATGGATCAAGTCCAAACTACCTCAAGATGTACCAGTAACCAACTTTACCAGCGATTGGAACGACGGGATGGCACTTGGCGCACTTGTCGACGCATTAGCACCGGGAAGCTGCTCGGGCTGGAGGCAATGGAGACCTGATGAAGCACTCGACAACACACTTAAGGCTATGAAGGCCGCTGAAGGGAATTTGGGCGTGGGGAGGGTAAGGGTTTGATGTTTTTTATGTTGTTGAGTGTACATATTTTTAATGGTTTATGGAGGGGTAGGGGACACTTCAGAGTAGGGTAGGGAAAAAATTATGACAGGGTATGGCGTTTTTATGGTAGGGCTTGGGGGTAGGTATGGCAAAGTATGTCAAGGTAGGGAAGTTTAAGACTATGTAGAACAAGATAGGGCAGTGTAGTGTAGGGTCACTTAGGGTGGGGCAGTATAGAATAGGATAGGGTTGCGTAGACCAGGGTAGGGTGAAGCGGGTTAGAGTAGGGAACTTTATAGTATGACTGCCTGAAAATTGTCCCCAAAAAAATTTTGATATTTGAAAAATCAACCGGTCGATAAAAGCTTTCTTGTAAAATAGACCAAGGCAGATTAACATACACGGTAGGGTAGGGTAAGGTTGGGTAGGGTAAGGTAGAACATGGTAGGATAGGGTAGGGTAGGGTATGATTGGGTAGGGTATGATTGGGTAGGGTAGGGTAGGGTAAGGTAAGGTAGGACATGGTAGGATAGGGTAGGGTAGGGTATGATTGGGTAGGGTAGGGTAGGGAGGGTATGACTGGGTAGGGTAGGGTAGAGTAGAGTAGGATAGGGTACGGTACGGTAGGGCCGTTTAAAATGTTTTACAAAGCTTAATCTTTCAGCTGATAGCACCAGAAGAACTGATCAACCCGAACGTAGACGAGAAGTCAGTGATGACGTTCTTATCACAATTCCCTCGAGCTCAAGCCAAAACTGCTCCGAAAGGTCGAATCAGTGGAGTCGATGCGGAACCAGTGGTCGGTCGAGAAACTCATTTTACGGTCGAAGTCGACAAAGAAGATACAAATGCTGTCGTCGAGATCTTTGATCCGGAAAACAAAGAAGTTGAAGCTACAATTCGACCGGTCGAAGGATCAAAAACCGCTTTCAACGTTTCGTACGAACCAAAAGTTGTTGGGAAACATGAGGTAGGTGATTTTGATAATGAAAATTTTATAAATTTTAAATTTTGTAAGAATTTAGGTTTAGTAGGCTTAGGCATTAAATTAGTAGGCTCAGTTGGTCAAGTTTGGTAGGCTTAGGTTTAGAATGAATAGTTTTATTAGACATACGCTTTTGATTGGTTGGTTTAGGTTTAGTAGGCTTATTCTCAGTAGGCTTAGGTTTAGTAGGCTTAGGCTTAGAAGGCTTAGGCTTAGTAGGCTTAGGTTTAGTAAGCTTAGTTTTAGAACAGAAAAGGGCTTAGTCCTAGACTCAAGCTTAAGCATTAGGCTTAGGTTTTGTAGGATTAGGCTTATTAGGCTTACGCTTAGTAGGCTTGGTTTAGTAGGCTTAGGATTAGTAGGGTTAGACTTAGTAGGCTCAGGCTTATTTGGTTTAGGCTTAGTAGGCTTAGGCTTAGTAGGCTTAGGCTTAGTAGGCTTTGGCTTAGTAGGCTTAAGCTTAGTAGGCTTAGGCTTAGTAGTCTTAGACTCAGACTTAGTAGAATTTACCTATTTGTCAGGCTAGTAAAATTTTTATCTTAAAAATAAAAATTTGGGTCTCACCACGAAAACTTGAATTTGTATTTTTTGCGTTTTTATAGCCAAAATAAGTTGAAAATTGAAAATTTGATGTTGTTTTGTTTACTCAATCTTTAAATTCGCTTTTCCGGAAGCCAAAACAAGTTTTTTTCCTTCACGGAGCTACCACAAGATCAATATCAATATTCACGTTTATTTAAATCATTAATCCGAGCTTAAATTTGTTTTTAATTACCCTAAGGCTGTGAATCTTGTTTTGACAGTAGTTTTTTGTTAACACTAAAATGGAGTTTTATAATCGACCGGTCAAATATGTGAAAATCTGTGATACGGTAGGATTATTGTTTTTCTTTGTGGTGTACTGTAGAATTAAAGCAACTTGATTTTTGTGTCAGGATTTTGATAGGATACTGTATTTTTTTAAGGAAGGGTACAGTTTTGTAAACGTACAGTATGGGGACTTAGATAGGGTAGGGTTACTGTAGTTTTTTGGGGGTACTGTAGGATTAATGTGACTGGACTTGTGAATTGTTATTTTGATAGGTTACTGTATTTTTATACTAGTAAGGTAGTATAGTGTTCTGTAGATTTTTAGTATGGTGACTAAGATACGGTAGGGTTACTGTAGTTTTTTGTGGGGCGTTGTAGGATTAAAGCAGCATGATTTTTATAGTTATTTTGTTAGGTTACCGTATTTTTTATAAGGTAGAGTAGAGTTCTGTAAAGTTTCAGCTTGGTGACTTGGATACGGTTGGGTTACTGTATTTTTAATGGGGTACTGTGAAGTAAATTTTGGTAGTTTTTTTTGCAAAAATGTTAAGTTCTTTTTGTTATGATTACAGTGTACGGTACTTTTTTTTCAGATCACAGTCTACGGCGCATCAGAATCCCTGAACACGAAGCTTGGCAACTTCTCAGTACGAGTGATCCCAGCACCGTACTTGGTCGATTTCAAGCCAGAAATTGAGGTCGGTGAATCCCAAAAGTTCCGTGTAGCCAATCTGACCGACAAAAACCATACCGAAGTACTGGTGCTAGACCCCCGAGGCAAACAGTCTCAAATCGAGCCGGGACCAAAGATTGGTGCTTCGCTAGCCTTCACCCACCGACCTGACGTACCAGGCCTGCACTCGGTGAACGTGTTCGTGGACAAACGGCACATTCCCGGCTCACCGTTCGCACTTCACGCAACGGCTGGTGCCACCGCGACAGCATTGGTCTGGGGCCGAGGATTGAGTCGGAAAGGGCCGAGAGTTGGAGATCATCTACCAGTTCATGTCGATGGTTGTGACAAGCCTATTAAGGTCGAGGTCAGGAACAAAGACGGACTTATGGTACATTGTGCACCTGTTTTTGATGGATTAGTACCGGTTACTCCGAATTCTAAAGGTAAGAGTAGGGTACAGTTTTTTATAAACTATGGTAGCGTACTGTAGGTAATGAGTACGGTAGGGTAAATAAGAGAATTCTAGAGTAACGCATGGTCGATTAGGCAAAGTATAGTAAGGTCGAGTAGAGTAGGTTAGCTTTCATTACGATATATTATTGAACGGTAGGATAGGGCAGGGTAAAGTAGGACAGAGTATGATAGGGTAGGGTAGCGTAGGCTGGATTTCATTAGGGTGGATTAGTGAACGGTAGGGTAGGGCAGGGTAAAGTAGGCAGGCTTGGACACAGGGCAGGGCATTGGCAAATTTCCATGCCATGCCCTGCAATGCCCTGCCCTGTACAGGGCCTTCGACTTTCATGCCTTGCCCTACCATGCCCTTGCCCTGCAGGGCATCAGGGCATTTACAGGGTATTTACAGGGCGTTTGGGTATATTTCGGCGGACGCCTTCGCCGAGCGGTCAATAATCGGCGGACGCCGTAATTTGGTTAGTTTAGTAGCTAGAAACATGTAGTCAAGTGCAATATTTGTTATCTGTTATAATCTACACATTAAGGCAGTAATTAATGTTTTTGAAAGCAATATTGTTATCGACCGGTCGATAATTTACAAATTAATTTGTACAAAAAAACAACGTTTTTCGCTAAGAATTGTACCTAATTTAATTTCTATACGATTTAAAACACCAGAGCGATAAAAATATATATGAAATTTGCAATTAATATATACTAAAAATTATCAACCGGTCGATAACAATACTACTTTTAAAATCTTAAACTTATGCTTTTATTTGTAGCCTAAGACATATAATAACTTCTGAATTTAAATACATGTTTATAGCTACTAAACTAACCACGTTATGGCGTCCGCCGATTATCGACCGCTCGGCGAAGACGTCCGCCAAAACTTACACATGGCACAAACAGGGCATTTGCAGGGTAACGCAGGGCATATGCTTCGCCCTGCCCTGTTCCAAGCTATACCATGCCCTACCATGCCCTGTAACAGGGCATGGTACAGGGTACCCTGCCCTGCGTCCAAGCCTGAAAGTAGGGCAGAGTATGATAGTGTAAACTACGGTAGTGGAGGGTAGGGTAAAGTAAGGTAGGGTACGATAGGGTAAGGTAGGGTAGAGTAGGGTAGAGTAGGGTAGGGTAAGGTAAGGTAGGGTAGGGTAGGGTAGGGTAGGGTAGGGTAGGGTAGGGTAGGGTAGGGTAGGGTAGGGTAGGGTAGGGTAGGGTAGGGTAGGGTAGGGTAGGGTAGGGTAGGGTAGGGTAGGGTAGGGTAGGGTAGGGTAGGGTAGGGTAGGGTAGGGTACGGTAGGGTAGGGTACGGTAGGGTACGGTGGGGGTAGGGTACGGTACGGTAGAGTAGGGTATGATAGGGTAGTGAAGGCTACAGTATGGTACATTACACTACAGGCGAGGTCCTAATATAAAAAGTTACAGTAGCAAAGCCAACATTTTCAGAATCAAAATCTCGAAAGACTTTTGAATACGCACCACTTGGCACAGGACCTCATACTGTCGAAGTGACATGTAATGGACAACATCTAGGTCAAAGTCCGTACGAAATCGACGTGATGCCGAAAGCAGCATCACCAGTACGAGCGGTAGGACCTGGATTGGAAGGTGGTGTCAGCAATGAACCGGCTGTCTTCTATGTCGATACTAAAGGCGATGCTAATGTTTTAGGTATGGTTTTGTTTTTGGGTATAGGTGGATCTTTAGGTAACATTTAGTGTTTTAGGCAGTGTGTTTTGCCGGACCGGCCCTGTCGGCGGACTGATCCAACAAAAATTTTTGCGGACCGGACTGGACCCAAAAATTTAGTTTGGACCGGACTGGACCGGATTCAAAAATTTAAAGGTTGAACCGGACTTGACCTGACCCATAACTTTGAAGTTTGGCCCGAACTGGACTGGACTTAAAAATTTAAAATTTGGATCGGACAGGCCTAAAATTTTGAAGTTTGGGCTCCATCCCCACCCCTATAGCCAATTTTTTCAGAATTCTCAACAGAAGGCCCCTCCCAAGCTGACATCAAGTCGATCGACAATGGTGATAACACCGCCATCGTATCGTACACTCCTCAGAAGGCAGGTGTCTACAAGGTGAATGTCATGAAGAACGGACAACATATCAAGGACTCCCCATTCGTCGTTATGATCGACCCTGAGGGCGAGAAGCAAGTCAACAAGCCTAAACTGCTACCGTTGAGTGATACTGAAGTCAAGGTGGGAAAGAAGTTCGAATTTACTGTGGAATGTAAGTATCTCTTGGTAGTACTGTATAGTACGAAGAATTAGACATGTTGTGGTTTGTATATACTGTAAAATGTATCTACAGTACCCAATGGGACAGTATTTTATCTCTTGGATACTAGACAGATTTGGTACTGTAGGTAGATATTGAGGTACTATAGGTTGATATTGGGGTACTGTAAGTAACTTTTGATGTACTGTAAGTAACCTTTGAGGTACTGTAAGTAACCGTTGAGGCACTGTGAGTAACCTTTGAGGCACTGTAAGTAACCTTTGAGGTACTGTAAGTAAGACAGATTTAGTACTGTAAGTACTTTTTGAGATACCGTAAGTAACTTTTGAGGTACTGAAACTAGCCTTTGAGTTACTGTAACTAACCTTTGAGGTACTGTAGGTACTATTATTTAAAATTTTAGTACTAATGATACTATTTTTAGCACAAAGCACTCCAGAAGTCAAGGTATACGATCCCAACTTCAATCCAGTCACAGTGAAATCAGCCGACAGTGGTAATCAATCGTTACATACATACGAATTCATACCACGAAGTCAAGGTAAATACGTCATATGCACGAGTGTGGACAAGGTAGCTGTTGATGGTACACCAGTAGGCGTAGAAGCAGTGGTGCCAACCGATTTCTCAAAACTTCATGTCTACGGACCTGGGGTTGGAAGTCAGGTAGGTTAATATGAAATGGCAAGAACTTTCTTTACAAAGCACAAAATGACAAGAGCTTTCTTTACAAAACCAAAAGGCAAGAACTTTCTTTACAAAACAAAAATGGCATGAATTTTTTTACAAGAGATATAATTGCAGGAACTTTCTTTACAAAACAGAAAATGGCAAAAACTTTCTTTACAAAACAAGAATTGGCAAGAACTTTGTTTACAAACCATAAATAGCAAGAACTTTCTTTACAAACAAAAATGGCTAGAACTTTCTTTACAAAGTTTAATATGCCATAATATTTTAGGTAGTAACCAACAAGCCGGTCATCTTTAACGTAGACACTCGTGACGTAATCTGTAAAAAGTTGGAAGTTGAGGTTACTGACCCATTTGGAGCACCATTGGACATTGAACTTGTTCAGGATGACCCGGCCAAACCAATTCAAGTAACTTATACTCCAAAGAACACTGGTAATCACTACGCCAAGATATATGTCGATGGCGTTTTGGCATTTGATGTTAATGTTGATGTCACTGATACTGGACGGAAATGTAATGGTTTTAGCTGTGCCGTACTCTATTGTACTTTATCTACCCCTACCTTACCCTATCCTACTTTATCCTACCCTACCCTACCCTACCCTACCCTACCCTACCCTACCCTACCCTATCCTACCCTACCCTACCCTACCATATCTTACCCTACCTTACTCTACCATATCCTACCCTACCCTACTCTGCCCTACCGTACCCTTACCCCTACTACCTTAACCTTACATTTACCCTTACTACTATCTCTCTACTACCGTAACCCTACTCCTACCCATACTACCGTACCCTTATCTTCACCCCTACTACCATAGCCTTACATTCACCCATACTATCGTACGCCTACTACCGTACTCCTACTACTGTAACCCTACCCATACACCTAATACTACCGTAACTTTCCTTTTCCTACCGTATCTTCCTTTAAAACAAACTTTTATTTTTCAGTCTCAACCTCCTCATCCTCGACCACCACAGCAACAACAACATCAGCCACAGCGTCGGAACGTGGTATCCCTCGCCGCCAATACAGTAACCCACAGCATCAACAAGATGCCAGTCTCCACCTAATGCTGAAAGACGTCGAGCCACGCCATCTAACCGCCCGCATCCAATGCCCGGACGGTCGTGTCGAGAACGTACCACTGGTGCACAGTGGCAACAACCACTTCACCATCAACTTCCAACCCAAAATCGACGGAGTTCACGTCATCGACGTCTTCCATCGCGGCCAACGAGTTCAAGGTGCTTACCGCTAAATCGCTTTCTCGCTTCCTTAAGTTCGCTTCCAAGCCTACGGTGTGGGGTACACGGTGACGCGAAGGGGTACGGTGAGGGCGTAGGGTGTCATACATTATGCTAACACTTGTGTACTAACCTGGTCAAAAAGTTTGTAGAAAATATGATTCTTGGTCAAAACGTCTATAGAAACTTTGGTTTTCGGTCAAAAAGTTTGTAGAAATCAAGATTTTTGGGTCAAAAAGTTAATAGAAATCGTTTTAAATAAATTTTTGAGACAAGTTATACGATCAAAAGTGTTTTTTGGACAAGTTATACGATCAAAGTGGTTTTGAATAAAAAAAAATTTTTTTTGTCAAAATAAAATGTTTTACAATACCCCAATAACATCTAACTAGCTTAACTTGACTAATTTTAAAGTATTTCACTTCACTCTCTAACACAACCACTTTTTTATATTACACTAGACCTATCACTTCCTAATCCACTAAATTTTAAAATTTGCAGCCATAACAAATATTATTCCAGGCTCCCCCTTCCGAATGCCAGTTACCCTATCAGGCGAAAGCAAAGCCCATCTAGTCCGAGCCGAAGGCACTGGACTACAACATGGCGTCGTCGGCGAACAGCAATCCTTTGCCATTTTGGTCGGCGAAGCCGGTGGCGGCGAACTCAAAGCCTCGATTAATGGGCCCTCCAAAGCTGATATCACATTGACAGACTTTAAAGATGGTATATGTAGAGCAGAGTACACGACAGATGAACCAGGATTATACACGATCAGCTTGAGCTTGGATGAACAGCCAATTCATGGATCACCGTTCAAGGTAGGATAATGTTGGGTGTGGAGATTTTTAATGGATTTTTTATAAGTTTGAAATGCTTTACCTGAGGGGGTTTGGGCTTAAAATGACCACAGGAGTTTTGTGAGTATTTTAAGTACAAACAACCTTATATCGTGTTCAGTTACTAGTCGAAAAAAAGAACAGTTTGAACAAGCAAGCAAAGATAATATCAGGTGCTCCGGCTTTGATTGGATTTTTTTGAAATTTTTAAAAGTTTTACTTGAGGGATATTGGGCTAGAAATGACGACGAAGGAATTTGTGAGTAATATGCGTACAAATAACTTTATATTGTGTTCATTTACCAGTCGAAAAAAAAGAAAAGATTGAGCAAGGATGGATAATATCAGGTGCTCCGACTTTGCATGGATTTTTTTGGAATTTTTAAGGATTTTACCTGCGGGAGTTTGCGCTTAAAATGACCGCATAACCCTACTGAACATTTTGATTACAAGCTTTATTAGTACCACTAAGTTATCAACCAAAAAAACGTCAAAAAACCACGTAAACACACGTTTTTTGATATTATTCATAACTTTTTCAGGTGTTTATATCCCCAAAGAGCCAAAGCAACTCCCCACCGACGAAACGCCCATTCACTGGTGAATCATCTACCTCTCAAACTGAACACGATCGACATACAGTAGGGCAGAAGTCATTTGAGAACCATCGAAACTCGTATGAATCATCGGCGGACGACGTGAGAAGCGTGAATCCGCTACAGGCAAGTTGTCTTAAAGGTTATAATTAGTTTAAAATGTTTCTAAATGAGCTGTATGAGGTATATATCTGAATGGTATACCTAAAATGGCATAAAAATTGACTTGAAACAGAATGCCAAAGTTGGCGGGAAATTTAAAATTTAAAAATTAAGCCCATTTTCAGGAAGTAAACCGTGACGAATACGACAATAACCGTTATCAAGGGTACACAGAGAAGTCCAGTAGCCAAAAACATGAATTTGCTTCGAAATACGATGACACAAATTCTGGACGCTACACCAAAGCCTACGGTATTCACAACTCAAAAGTCGGCGATACGAAGTACCATGGTAATGGAGAGAGATACGATCATGGAAAAGGTGAATTTGAAGGTAGTGCGAGATATGACAGTACTGGTGCAAGATATGATAGTACTGGTGCTAGATACGAAGGACAGTACGAAAATGACAAAACAGAAGACGTATACCAAAAACTACTGTCAGAATCCACCGAATACGATCAAAAACACCGTCAGAATTTCCTCACGGCTACAGCAGCCGACGTGAGGAAGGTCGTAGCCGAGGGTAGCGGCCTATATGAATATATACCAGGCGAGACCGCCAATTTTACTGTAAATACCAGTAAAGCTGGCCGTAGTTACCTATTTATTGGCGTGGTAACGTCGAAGGGACCTTCAGAAGAAGTGAATATACATCATCGTGGCGAGGGCGTGTATAACGTTTCGTACAAGATACCTGATCGTACTCGTGCTGTGGTGATTGTCAAGTACGGTGATCGGGAAGTTATGGGATCGCCGTTCACCGTTAGGCCACGGTAAAAGTGGTACGAAATGGTACTAATTGGTACTGTATCTTGATTTAAATGGTACAGCTTGGTACCAGGATGGTACTTTTTGACTCAAAATGGTACTTTTTGGATTAAAATGGTACCTTGTCGTTTCAAGGCGGTACTTCAGCAAGGTAGTACTATTTTGGATCAAAATAATACTATTTTCGATTACAATGGTACTGTTTTTAATCAAATTTTCAATTTGAAGTCGAAGTGGTACTCTTTTTTAAAACAGTACCAGTTTGATACGAAAGTACTGTTACCACACATATATTGTACTGCCTAACTTTATATAGTCATTTTTCATAGTCATACTCATTTTTTAATATAACATTCTTGATTTAAAAAAATTTTTTTTTTAATTTTGCTCAAAAATTTTTGTCGCTTTGGTACTAAAACAACGTCTTTTTGCCATCCCCAATAGTACGGTGCTATATTCTAGAAGATTGTTCAAGTATTTTCCCCCGAAATGCCTCTATTTTTATGAAAACTCGCCATATCATCGCAAAAATAAACATATTTTTATCATTTTCAGCAAGAACTTTGTTTACAACAGCCCGAATGGCAAGAACTTTCTTTACAAAAGTAAAATGGCAAAAACTTTCTTTACAAAAACTAAAATGGCAAGAAATTTCTTTAAAAAAACTAAAAATGTCATTTCATGTTTTATTATCAAAAACGAACTTTTCATGATATTCGCAATGCCTACCGTAGTAGCCATCTTCGCACTTACAATACACATCGTGTGGTAATGCGAAGCTACAGTAATCCATGGCTTCAGCGTACATTAAATTCGTGCAAGTACCATGAGAATTGCAGTTTTGTATTGAACATCTGAAATCTTGACGTTTACAGGCTTTTTGGGATGACATGTTTTTTAGACATTTTGTCTGGAAAATATGTCATCTTGACATGTTTACATTTATTAAAAATTTGGTTTTTATAGTTATTTGAATATCAGAGATGCCATGAAAAATAATTTTTTTTATTTTTAGAAACTGTAACCGCATGTTAGGATGACACATTTTTTATACAAAACGTCTATAAAATGTGTTATCAAGAAATTGCAAAAACTTAGAAATGAGCAAAAGATTGTATTAAATAATCTCAATTAAACATTTCAAGCTAAAAATTTTTAAAAAATATATCTCGATGATGAACTTTAAGTCATAGAAACCTGTCATCATGACATGTTTAAAACCTACTGTTTTGCCAATTGTAAAAATGCTTGAGTATAAGGTCCCAACATGTTCGAAATGTAATTCTCAATCGAATTACATCTGTAAATCATTCGATTACTGGTCGACCATATGATTACACCATCAGCACCAAGCAGCATTGGTATGTTGTAGGAGTTACAGATGTCGTCCTGAAGGTAAAATACGATTTCCTCACCTAAAGTGTTCATAACTGGCACATAAGCCCAAAATGGCAAAAATCTTGTTGTTTTTTTATTATAGGTGCCGGCATAAAGAAGCCGCCATGTTTTACAGGAAATTACAGGTAAAGTATGGCGGGTTCTTTATGTCGGCACTTAATAGTTTATGCAAAAACTTTGTTTCCACTTACAGCCTCATAATATTGGTCTTCACCATCCTTCCAATATTCGAATGCAATATACGGATAGATAGGCTTATTAACTTGAAATGATAAGGTGTTGAGCCTAAGAGCTTCTTTAATCCTAGCTATGGATTGCCTTGTATGGGTACTGTAGTCATTATGGCGTTTTGAGGTGAAATAAACTCGGGGGTAGAGGGCATCTTGCAGCGATAGTAGGTCTATAAGTCTAAAATGGCAAGAACTTTGTTTACAGAATTTAAAATGGCAAGAACTTTATTTACAAAATATAAAATGGCAAGAACTTTCTTTACAAAACAGAAAATGGCAAGAACTTTCTTTAAAAATCATAAAATGGCAAGAACTTTTTTTAAAAAACAGAAAATGGCAAGAACTTTCTTTACAAAACTCATTATTGTAAGAACTTTCTTTACAAAGCTCAGACGGCAAAACTTATCAGTGATAAACCTACTGTTCATTATAGACCCTATACTGTAGCCAGCAATCGATTCTACCGTCGTATCCAGCATCATAGTTGCATATTGGGTACTCCCAAAAGCCCCACTTGGCAAATGGTCTCATTTGCTTGGCCAAACGCAAGGTTTCCATGAACAACTTTCTGAAATTGAAAAAATAAGTAAAAAGATGGCAAGAACTTTTTTACAAAACGACAAATGGCAAGAACTTTCTTTACAAAACATAAAATAGCAAGAAATTTCTTTACAAAACAAAAAATGGCAAAAACTTTCTTTACAAAACATAAAATAGCAAGAAATTTCTTTACAATTCAAAGAAAAGCAAGATTTTAAAAGTGGAAGTTCAGTGGAAGATTTGTAATGTATTTTGCACTGAAAAAAATCCACCAAACTTCCAATTTTAAAATGTCTTAAAATGCCCTAAAAACACGTTTTCAAAGGTTTTTAGAAATGGAAGTTTGGTGGAAGAGTTGTAATGTATTTTGCACTGAAAATCTTCCACTCAAATTCCAACTTACTTAGCAGCCGAATTAAATTCATATCGAGCTACATTCTCCGCCGAAGAATCATTTATACCATATTTTTGACGTGCCAACTCTATCGAGTACTTTTTATAAACATTACGGTTACTGTAATTGTATTCGTATAATGGTCGCCAACATTCGTAGTCGATAATCGCTAGGCCGTCGAAAGATACGCTGGGTATGAGAAGGTTGATATCGAATACTACTTTGGCTAAATGTGCTGTGAGGTTGGCGTTCTGAAATTGGGGCTGGGTACTGTAGAAGGATGGGGTTATGGTAAGGTTACAGTACATTAATTAGTCTCAATACCTTAGTTTTGATACTCTACCGTACTGTACCCTACCCTAGCTTACCCTACCCTACCCCACCCTACCCTACCCTATTCTACCCTACCCTACCCTACCCTACCCTACCCTAACCTACCCTACTCTAACCTACCCTACCCTACTTTACCATACTTTAACTTACCGTGCTCTAACCTACTCTGCCTGCCTTACCTTGCTTTACCCTACCCTACCCTACCCTACCCTACCCTACTCTAACCTACCCTACCCTAACCTAACCTAACCTAACCTAACCTAACCTAACCTAACCTAGACGGAAATGTAATGGTTTTAGCTGTGCCGTACTCTATTGTACTTTATCTACCCCTACCTTACCCTATCCTACTGTACCCTACCGTACCCTACCCTACCGTACCCTACCCTACCCTACCCTACCCTACCTTACCTTACCCTACCCCACCCTACCCCACACTACCTCTACCTGTACCCTACCAACATTAAAGTCATTTACATTACTCTACCCTCCCCTGCCCCCAAAAATACTTACTTGAGGTACTCCACCGTTCCTTGGATACCTACATTCAGTAGCTTTCATATAGCACTTCTTGTCAAACTTGTCATCAGCACAGAATGGAAATAAGCCTAATTGTTCCTCATAAAAGATGACAATCTTATCACCGTGAAAGTTGTGCCCTTGGTTTACTGTAATACCGTAATCTTCGGGATGAGTACGGTTGTTGCATATATGGTCGGGGACGTTCCAGTACACCTGAATATTATTGAACCTTACACAACAAAAAATGGCAAGAACTTTCTTTACAAAACGTAAACTGGCAAGAACTTTCTTTACATAACTTAAAATGGCAAGTACTCTCTTTACAAAACGTAAAATGGCAATAACTTTGCCAAAGCAAATTTTTTTCACAAATTTCAAAAATACTTACTTTGAACTCAGAATTTGCATAAACCTCACGAACAACAAGATATATCAACAATTTTATCGTGGCGTACATCCGTTTTACCATAGTAAAAAACCAGAAATGCCGCGTTAAAAAGTGCCTTCTCTGATGGTATGTCAAAAGAATAAAAGTGAAAAAAACCGTTCGTAACATTGTTATGATGTTTCTTTTTGACTCATGCTGGTTTCATTTTTGTTCAATTCATTTTCGGAATTCTCAATTTCTTGAATTATAAATTAAAATTTTAAAAAAATTTTTAAAAATGTTTAAAACCCAAGGTCAACCTCTTGCTATCTATTTGGCATCAACAATTTTCTTTGAAGTTCGAACCCTCGAAACATCTTCGACAACCGATAACACCAACGACGAAGTGTCACAAATTGATCCGAAAACCGAAAACGACTGAAATTTCATTCTCTGGCTACTCTTGGGAACAAATTCTGAGTGTAAAATACGGAAGCTCTTTGGCCCGAGTACTATTATATGGACATTATCAATTGGAAAAGAAGGATGTTTACCTATAATACGTGTCAAGTAAGTATTTTTCGATTTTTTCGTTGATTTTTAGGCATTTTTTCAAGGATTTGCAGTGGATTTTGGAAAGAAAAGGCTATTTTGTTGGTGGATCAACAAGTTTTGATAGTTGAAATCTGTTTATAACATGAAATGAAGATAATTTTTATACTTTTCAGTTAATAGAAACATTTTCTGAGGTTTATATGGCTATTTTTTGAAATATTGGGCTGGATTTTCAAGTTTTCCTCGATGAAAGAGCAGGTTTTGGTAGTTTAGCAATGTTTATAACTAGACGAGAAAGATAAAATCAATTTTTTGGACAGTAAAAACATTTTTTAAAGTTTATGTGGCAATTCAAAGCGATTTTAGATTAGAAAAATTGAATTATAAGGGTTTTTGGGCTTTTATATCAGTCGTGGTCAAGTGTAATATTATTTTTAATTTTTTGGCTTCAAATTCTTACAGGATGAGGTCTTCTGAAGGGCTCTAAAACAATATTATTTTAGAAAAATTGATTCAAATTAGTTTTGCGAGGTTTCACATTAATGGGTGTCAAGTGTAATATAATTTTTTGGATTTTCGGCCGCTTTTTTTATCGGTCGATAGCCGGAAATTTTGAAACGATTCAAAAAGATATTGTACTTGTTTTATTTATTTTTAGAAGACTAAAATTTGAAATTTTACTTTTGGGTTTACGTAATCAACTATCACCGAAATGAAATTTCGATAAAAATTAGCATAAAATTTCAAAAAAATTTGATCAATTTACAGGAAAAGTACAGTAATTATGCGGAGTATAAAAGCGTGTGGACCCGTCGATTTCGCCCATTTACTGATTCCGACCGCTTTACTGACTGGTTGACTGATCGTGGACAGTCATGTCGAGCCGTCGTACTCCAACTCGTCGTGCCCCCGTGCCTCGTGCTCCGCCCAACACTCCGCAGACGCCGAGAAGAGGAGCCGCCCCGGCTGCTGCCGCCCCTGCCAGAAGGTAAGAGTTGTTTTTTGATGGAAAGAAAGTTTTTACAGTTTTGGAATTTTTTGAATTTTTTGTTTTGTAAACAAAGTTTTTGCATTTTTTTATTTTTTCTTTTTCAGAAGTGTTCGCTTCCGTGACGAGGTGGACATTATTCCGGACGAGCCAACACCGCGCAGAGGAAGAGCCGCAGCTCCAGCTAGAGCAGGACCATCTCCAAGACGTCAGGCCTTAGCTCGTGCTCGTCCCCGTGATGCTCGTGGTCGTTTTGTAGCCGCTGGTGGTGGTGGGTAAGTATTGTTTTTTGAGTACTTGGTACTGTTTAGGACTATGGCACTTTTGACAATTTTTTTAGTTGTGGTGGTACTATATAGTATAGTGCAGTATAGAATCAAGTACCAGAACTGTACTTTCTTGATTGATGTTTTTTATTTTAGTGGAGCTGCCCGCGGAGGTGGTGCTCGCCGTGCTCGTAGTGCATCAGCACGAGTCAGTTACGAGATGAACCGTGACGATCTGAACAATGCTCGATATCTCAGTGACAGCGAGTTGAGTGATGATGATGCGTAAGTTTATTTTCACATTGTGTGTTGCTATATACGGGGATATAGTTTTTTGATTTTGGTGCTATATAGCACTAGTATCCATATAAATGATACTTTATAGCACTAGTACTCTTATAGATGGTACTATATATCACTAGTAAGCTTGTAACCATTTCTTGAAAAGGTGCCAGTATGAAAGTAAATTACTATGACAATACTGTTATGATCTCTTAAATTTTAGTCCAGGCCCAAGTCGTCGTAGGTCATCGTCTCGTCGTCGTGATTCATCGCCTAACTCGGCCAGCTCGGACGAAGAGACTCCTCGTCGCGGTGGAATGCAAAGTACTCCCAAGTCTTCGAGGTCTGCTCGTGCTCGTCCCAACCCCGACGGAACACCACGGTAAGCTTACTGTATTATTGTGTTTAGTAAAGGTTTAGGCCTAGTTTTAGTTGTTTTAGGCTTGGTACGCTTAGTGTAAGATTGGTTTTGTAGCTTAGGGTTAACTTAGGCTTAGCTTAAGTTTTGGTTTTATAGCATAGACAGGCTTAGCTTAGGTTTATTACGAATAGTTAGATTAGGCTTAACATATTAAAGTTTTGTCGTTTCTACGTCAATACTAATACTAATGTCACCATTTTCAGCCCACCCCCTCGTCGCCGCGGCTAGGCCTTCAGTTGATACCTCGACTCGACATTTCTGCTCACATTTACTGAATAAACTTACTGACTTGATATTGGATTGATTTTTTATTTAAATTTTGTTTTTGATTGTTTGTAAATAAAGTTTTTACTCGTTTGTATTATTTTATGTTGTGTAAAGATTGTTTTCATGTTTTACCTTGCTATTTTATTGTTTGGAAAGAAAGTTCTTGCTGTTTTATTGTTTGTAAAGAAAGTTCTTATTATTTTATGTTCTGTAAAGAAAGTGCTTGCCATTTTATTATTTGGAAAGAAAGTTCTTGCCATTTTATGTTTTGGAAAGGAAGTTCTTGCTATTTTATTGTTTGGAAAGAAGGTTTCTGCTATTTTATTGTTTGGAAAGAATGTTCTTGCCGTTTTATTGTTTGTAAAGAAAGTTCTTGCCATTTTATTATTTGGAAAGGAAGTTCTTGCTATTTTATGTTTTGGAAATAAAGTTCTTGCAATTTTTTGTTTTGTAAAGAAAGTTCTTACCATTTTTTGTTCTGTAAAGAAAGTTTTTGCCATTTTTTCCTTTGTGTCAAGGTTGTATTATAACATCATATGTATCATTCTTTGTATTATTTGTAGTACCAAACAAAAGAACTATCTGTCATTGTTTACGATTGTAACCGAATTTACTATAATATAATGTAAACAGCTTTATGTAAAGTCAACATGTAATGACAAATAATGTTGTTTTCAATATTGTTTTCCGAGTTCGTGTGAGAACTTTGCGTGAGATTAGGTACATTTTTTTCGCATTTTATAGATTCAAATGACATTTTCATGCTGCACAACCACAGCTGAAAACTCAGTTTTTATGCATACAAAGTAAAAAAAACTGCATGAATATTGTTTACATTGTTGAAAAAAAAGGTTAAACTTTGATTTTTGTGACATACAGTAGTTGGTTAGGCTTAGTAGTTTAAGTTTAGTGGACTTAGGCTTCATGGGTTTATACGTAGGAAGCTAATCTTTAGTAGGCTTAGCTTAGGCTTAGTTTCTCTTAGCTTAGGCTTATATTTATTAGAACTGCACAGTAGAGTAGCTTAGCTTTAGGCTTCGTTTAGGCTCAGCTTAGGCTTTTGACCGCACAGTAGAGTAGCTTAGTTTTAGGCTTAGCTTTAGATTAGGACTACACAGTAGAGTAAATAAATGTAATAATGACGTTTTAAATGGAATAGCGAGGGCTTATATACTCTTACAATATGGCAGGTAAAAAACGCTGCCCCGCAGAAAATTACTCCGAGAGTCTCATACTCGAGGTAATTTGTTGCGTTTAGCTTAGGCTTAGCTTAGGCTTAGCTTAGGATTAGATTAGGCTTAGCTTAGGCTTAGCTTAGGATTAGCTTAGGCTTAGCTTAGGCTTAGCTTAGGCTTAGCTTAGGCTTAGCTTAGGCTTAGGCTTAGCTTACGCTTAGCTTACGCTTAGCTTAGGCTTAGCTTAGGCTTAGCTTAGGATTAGCTTAGGCTTAGATTAGGCTTAGCATAGGCTTAGATTAGGCTTAGCTTAGGCTTAGCTTAGGATTAGCTTAGGACCGTACTGTAGAGTAAATAAATTAAATAATGACGCTTATAATAGAATATGCAAAGGCTTATATACTAAATTATGGCAGGTAAAAAACGCTGCCGCGCAGAAAGTTACTCCGAGAGTGTCATACTCGAGGTAATTTGTTGGGTCGTTTTACATCGAGGCACATGTTATATAAAAAAATAAAATTGCATAATGATATGTTACGCAATACGATTTCTTGCAATTTCTTTAAGGCTATATTGTTATACCATCAATATTAGGTAATGTCGCAGAAATTTTCGGAATAGTAATGCTGATGCAATTTTTGGAGGCATAATGGTAAAAATAGTAGTGGTTGAAAAGGTAAGCTTACTAGTGGTTCTAAAAAGGTAAGTTTAGGTTTAGTAGGCTTAGGGTTAGTAGATCTAGGCTTAGTAGGCTTAGGCTTAGCTGTAGGCTTAGCTTTAGGCTTAGCTCTAGGCTTAGCTTTAGGCTTATCGTTAGGCTTATTTTCAGGTTTAGCTTCAGGCTTAGCTTTAGGCTTAACTTGAGGCTTACCTTTAGGCTTATCTTTAGGTTTAGCTTTAATGGTACAATCTTTTTTTTTTACGTTATAATAAGGCTGGATAAAATTTTTATTAGCCATAGTTTTATTAGTCATAGTTGGTACCTATATATGTACCTCAAAATAAAGTGTACACATTCAAATAACTGCCTGAAAGTTGTAAATATAATCTCATTAGGTTATATGTGTGGTTCTGAGACCAAAAAGTAAAAATTTCTTACAAACTTAATTATATTATGCCTTTCTGGCACTCAAAATTACTCTTTTTTTGGATAGCGTGAGAGACAGGAAGTGTGAACCCATTCACACCAATAGGAACAATAATGTTATTGTACCTCTTATTCATTATGGTTTTTGCGTGATTAGGTATGGCAGAACGTAATTGTACTAAGATTTTTTGGTTTTTATTATTTTTTCGACAATTTTATGGCTTGTAAAGAAAGTTTTTGGCATTTCATAGGTTAAAAAAAAGTTTTGGGATTTATTCAAAAATGGAAGCTAAGTGGAAGATTTGTAATGTATTTTGCACTGAAAATCCACCACTGAATTTCCATTTTTAAAATGTCTTAAAATGACCGAAAAACACGTTTTTGGCACTTTTTAAAAATGGAAGTTTGGTGGAAGATTTTCAGTGCAAATTACATTGAAAATCTTCCACTCAATTTCCACTTCTAAAAAGTGTCAAAAACGCGTTTTTAAGTCATTTTAAGACTTTTTGAAAGTGGAATTTAAGTGGAAGATTTTCAGTGCAAAATACATTACAAATCTTCCACTTGACTTCCATTTTTTTAAAGTGATTTTTAAATCTTTTTTTCAAATTTTTAGTTAAAAAATGACATATTAAGATAAAAAAGGCTTTTTTTATCACTTGTAAAGAAAGTTTTTGTCATTTTAAGCTATTTCAAGTCAGTTTTTGCCATTTTAAGCCACGTAAAGTCCGTTTTTGTCATTGTGTTTCCGTGTACCTAACCTCATTACCATCTTATGTCATAGAACAGTGTTATCAAGTTGGGGTAATTAATAACCGCATTAGCCTCAGACTTTTAAATTTTAATTAAAAAAGGCATTTGTCAGGTGAAAAACACTTGTGCCACCACCCTCACACGAACATGAACATTAAAACGGCTGTAAATGGGCGTGATACGACGATAAACGAACATACGAAAGGGTCTGGAAAAGGCATTACTACTAGCGTCAATATTGTAAATACTGGCAGTCGTACTGCTTTGATATTGGGTAGGGCTACTGATAAAGAAGGTCGATGTGCTAGTTCTACTGATAAGAGGCTTAAAGATACTATTAGGACTACTACTACTACTTCTAGTAAATTTGTCGATACTACGGTTAGAAAAACTTTATATTCTACTGCTAAACGGCAAGATACGCCTATTGTACTAAATAAGCCTACTGTAGACAATAAGGTGCTTTCTTCTAGAGCACGAGGTAATCACAGTACTAATAAAAGTGTATCAGGCACTCCTACTGCTCTTTTAAAGAGCTCTACTGTTATAAAAAGTCAAGGTAAGACTACTATTACCACAGCTGTACCAAAGATTCAAAGTGCAGGTCCTACGGCATTAAAGAGCCAAACTACTACAGTACGCAGACTTGGTCTACCTACAACTTTTACGAAGCTTACCGTACAGAGAAGCCAAGATACAAAGTTTAGTCCGCGGTTTCAGAAAGGGTATAATACTGGCTCTATTGTACCTAAAAACCAAGATACGATCATCAGCCCAAGAAAGGTAAACAACAATTCTACTGTACTACAAAGCCAAGGTACGAAACCTATTATATCTACAAGGAAGCCTGCAGATACGAAGCTTCAGTTGACAGAAAGCGAGAAAATTCAGAAGCCAGAAGATACGAAGATAGCTAATCTTCAACATACCAAGATTCAGTCTTCATCGGATACGGCTATACCTAATTCTCAACGTACCATAGTGTCAAATTCAAAAGATACGACTATACAGAGCTTTCAAAGTACTAAAATTTCAAATCAATCTGGCACGGTCTCCCAAGATCAACATATCAAAATTCCGTCTTCAACTGACCTACCAGCTCAGAATACACCCCCTAAAGCAATTGGAACTTCACCCTCTACAGCATTTGGAAAGCCATCCCTTACAGCAATTGCAACTCCACCCTCTACCGCAATTGGCAATTCACCCTCTACAACAAGAAGCAATCCACAGCCTACAACAATAAACAATTTACAACCTTCGACGATAAAGAAACCATTCTTCAATATAGGCAGAAGTCAAGATACGTCAAGCAAAGCTTATATTGATATAACGAAGAAACCCCCAAACATACCACCACAAGATACGAACATCGAAGGCAAACGAAGTGCTAGCTTCCCTGACGTTTCAAATATGCTGAAGCGACAACGTTCAGATCTGGAAAGAAAACTGAGGAACTTACACTTTGTTCATTGTGTGGAGAAGGTGGAACTTATCGATCAGTATGATCCCAATTGCTGGGTTTGTCAGGTAAGTTAAGATTTTTTAGGCGAAGTAAAGTTTAGGTAACATGAAAAGTGGCATTTTGTTTCATTTGTGCTATGAAAACATAAGTTTGAGAGAAAAATATGGAAAGAAGTCCAATTTTGTATACCTATATCAACATTGATTTTGCTGTATCTCTAAAGCCATTTGTCGTAAAATCCTGATACTTGGCAAAAATAATCTTTATTTTATCTCTATTAATTCTGTAATATTCCCCTTTTTTAAAAATGTCATAAACATGCTAAATTTCAGAAAGAATCCAACCTAGTCCAAGATCTGAAATCCACGTTGGATGAACATCGAAAACTCGGAATCCTGGATGATGAACTTGAACTCCTGAACACAGGCTACAAGAAGTGGATCCTGTCTCTCGAATCCGGTCACGATAAGTGTTCTACAAAGGCCGTCACTATTTCAAATGCCATCAAAAAGGCGTTGTCCAACAAATCGACAGATTCATTGACTGGAAAGTTGGAAAAGGAGGAGAAGGAAGCGTTAATCGGGAAGATATGATACTGAAAAAGTTTTTCTATATAGTGTGTGTTAATATGTTTGAAAATTTGCATTGAAGTTTTTACCTTTTTAGCCGTAAAAACTGTAAAAAACTAGATTTTTGTTAATAAACCAGTAACTTAATCAATTTTCTAATCTTTTAAATGTTTATAATTAATAAATAAGTCAGATGTTAATTTATATTGATTGAAAACATTACTTTAATGTGATTTTACTCCAAATGATAAGGTTTACCACTGTTAAAGTCACCAAACTTCATCGTTTTCGCAGCTCGCAGCCATCTAATCGCGGTTCGCCTCCACCCTTTGGCATTCCGCTAAAATGCGCTACATTTACGCGCGAAATTTTTATTGGAATCTGACTGACCACAAGCTCTTCTTGTTTTTGTAAGCTGCGGTGGAAGCTAGATTAATCTTATTTATTATGTTTAATTCATTTAATTACAAATTTTTGACAAAAACTCTGAAAGATAAGGTGCTTAAGCGCTGTTATTGAAGTTTTTTCTGGTTGATCTTGTTAATATAGGTAGTAAAGGACTTTCTTCAACTTATTTTGCATTTTTGTTGTTTTACAAACACAATTTGTTATCTTATTTTAAGTTTAACATTGATTTACTATCAATTTTTACAATGCATTGTGGCTTATGTATAGGTCTTGATTTTAGTACGTATTTTTGCTTATATGACACATCCATGTGGATAATAACATTCTCGATCTAGTTTTCTATATTTCGATATTAATTTCATGCTTTTTTAGTGCTATAAAACCTTCAATTTTAATTATTTTTCTAACATTACTCATATTGTTTTAGTGTAAAAATTGGTTCGCAACAGAGTCACGAAGAGCAGCCTGAGCCTGCTGTTGAACAAGAACGTCCAGAAGAACAGCCTGCAGCTTTGAATCAACCTATTGTTGATCCGGCTATTAAACGTCCATCGAGAAGGCTGGTATTTTCTGATTTGGACACCAGTGACGGTACGTGGTTTAATTTTTGATTTTTTTGTTTTAGATCGGATTGAATAGATTGGGAAGAATTTTCTAGACTTTTAAAGCTGCGTTTGTTATTTTTGGGTCGCTTTGTCAACTTTTATGTTGTTTACGGTTTTATTTAGCATAATATCGCAGATTTTGTAAAATAAAATTTTAATCTTTAGAAGAACCCGAAAAAATGCCTCCAAAGAAGCGTCAACGTACAAGCGAAGCCGGTGTCATGATTCGTGATGAAGATTCGATATCCGAGTACTTCAAGCCAGTAACTCCACCTTCTGTGAAGAGGATGCGTCTCACCGAACGTCAACGCGAAGTCATGTCGGCCAAGAAGGATAAATTGCCGTTTATGGACGACGAAACTCAGGAATCCGCGTCTGATTCAATTGCCATTTTGAAGAAACGATTACCAATGGAATACTTGATCGATTCTCAAACTGGAGATGACAATATGTCCCAAAATGCTATGGATGCACCAGCTAAGCCGGGCACTGGTGACAAGGAGAATGTCAAGGACGACCAAGATTCTGATGTAAGTTTTTCGAATAGTTTATGGTTTTATAGGTAAAAATATAATGTTTTGGATGTTTTTGTCATGTTCTACATATTTTTGAAGTCTGTGATTCAATAGTTTACTCATTTTTAGAAATCTATCGGTCCAATCGATTTCTCATCGATTGTCAACGAAAAGAGTCCTTCTCGATCTCCAGCACGATCTTCATCACGTAAAATTAATACACCAACAAAATACGATAACTCACCTTCAAGAAATGCAAAATCGCCGTCTAGAAGCCAAGAAACTAAGAATTCTGATGCGAAATCTAATGGTAACACTCTAAAAACTCATAGTATTACTTCTAAAAGTAATGGTACTGCAAAGAACACTGGTACTACTACGACTCCAACTTGTAATACTACAGAAACCCCAAAGCGACGCAGTGAAAAACGGTCGATTTTTGCTGAAAGTTCTGGCAAGAAGGATATAACGCCATTCAGAAGTGGAAGAATTGATAGTTTTTTCAAAAAAGAAGTCAAAAAGGATCAGAAAGAAGATGGGAACTCAAAGAATGATGAAAAAGTGGATAATAAATCAGAAAAAGATGTTAAGGATGGTAAAGACAAGAAGGAGCAGGATTCTGAAGGCAAAAGCAAGAAAAATTTATATTCTGAAGGAAAGAACAAGAAAGAAAAGAATAAGTTACAGGATTCCGACGTCAAGTCGGATAGCCAAAAGAAAAAGCCTGGTTCTGAAGTCAAGAATAAAGGTGAAAAGGCAAAGCTGATGGATTCTGAAGCTAAAAACACGAAAAAAGCATATGAATCAGAAGTCAAAACTAGAAAACCCAATAGCCAACACAAGCAGGCATCAGAGACCAAGGACGAGCAGTCGGATTCAGATGATTCTGAGGATGATAAAGAACGGAAACCAACCAGAAAGTCGCCAAGATCTTTGAAGCCAAAAGCTTCTGTAGTTACATATCTCGAGGATGAGGATTCTGATTCTACTGATGAAGATGATATTATCTTGAAGCCGACTAGCCAAGAAAAGAAGGGGAAGAACGATGAGAAAGAAGAAAAGAAAGCGAAGAGTGAAGGTGAAGAGGAAAAGAAGGCAAAGAAGGGTAATAAAGAAGTAAAGGAGAAAGATAACAAAGATTCTGGAAGTAGCAGTAAAGAGGATTCTGATGAAAATGATAAGAAATATTCTGGAAAGAAGCGAGGTAGAAAGTCAAAAACTTCTCAGAACGTTCAAGAAGACAACAAAGCCAGAAGGAAAAGTAAAGTTGTGTCAGATAACAATGTAGATTCAAGCCAGGAAGATGAAGATTCGGATAAGTCGAAGGAAAAGACGTTGAAAAAGGATTCTGAAGCCAAACCCGGTTCAACGAAGGGTTCTGACGTCAAAACGGGCTCAACGAAAGGTTCTGAAGCCAAAACCGGTTCAACGAAAGATTCTGAAGTTAACAATGGCTCAAAGAAGGATTCAGGAGCTTCGAAGAAAGAAAAACTGCGTAAACGGAACAGCGATGAAGATACTGTACCTAAAAAGCCAGTAGATGATGAAGCTACGAAGCAAAGGAAGGAAAAAATCAGAGAAATGTTGAGGAAGAACAAGAAAGAAGAGGTAACACCATTTTCTTTATAAAATTTTGTTTTTTTTACACATGCAAAAACTTTCTTTACAGTATTTTAAACCTTTATTTCAGCCAAAGACAAGTCCTTGGAAAACTCCTGAACTCACTTCTAAAACGGATTTGAAGAAGGAAAACGCTTCAGAAGTCGACAAAGATGCTAAAGCTGATGATAAGGTCGAGGAATCATCAAAAATTGATTATTGTTCTGAAGTCAACGACAATCTTAACAATGGATTGGAGTCTGTGGAGAAACTTAAGGGTGATCTAGAAGATGAAGAACAAGATAAAAATGGTGAAGAATCAGAAGAGAAAAATGGTGAAGAATCGGAAGATAAAATTGATAATAGTTTAGAATCAGAAGTACAGAGCCAAATTGTCCCAGAATCTGCTGAATCAACACAAGATATATCTGACGATGATAATGTAAAAGTTACGGGTGCTGATACTGAGGATTCGGAAGCTGAATCAAGCACAAATGTAATGGAAGAATCTGTGGAGGAACCTATGGAAGTTAGCGAGAGTGATTCTGGCGTTTGTTCTGAAGCTAGTTTGTCAAAATCAACGGAGTCGGAAGGTAAGAGCAGGGGAACGTTGGTTGATATTGAGAGTCAAGGACAAGGAATTTAAATTTTTATATTATCCATGGTTGAAAATGGCAATTAAACTCTGATATTGCTTATCATAGATCATAGCTAATAATGATTAAAATTTAACTGTTTTAGAAGCTAAAAACGCTCAAACATCTTCAGAACCAGCTGAAAAGCCGCTAGAATTAGCATCAGAGCCAAAACCAGAGTCTTCCAAAAAGGTTGATGTCAATAATGACTCTGTTGAATTCATCGCTGAAGTTCCACGCACTCCAGAACGAAACCCAAAACCTAAACAAGAAGGAACTCCACAAAGTATTCTGAGGAAACAAGAAACCCCAAAGAGCAAAAGATCAGAGAGACGGGTCACTTTCAGTGCGGATTCTGAAAAACGACGGAGATTCGTAAGGTTTTGGGAGTTTTAGAAAATGGCAAGAACTTTGTTTACAAATCAAAAAATGGCAAGAACTTTCTTTACAAAACGTAAAATGGCAAGAACTTTCTTTAAAAAACGTAAAATGGCAAAAACTTTCTTTACAAAACGTAAAATGGCATGAACTTTCTTGACAAAACAAAAAATCGCTAAAACTTTTTTTACAACCCATAAAATATAACATTTCAGCGTCGAATGCCAGCCTCAGACTGTGTAGCACCTGACCTGGTCTTCTGTAACGACCCCATCACTTCAATGTGTATGAAACTGGCACAACGAAAGCAAGGCCTTCGCATGGACAGCGTTTTGAAGAAGAATGGCATTTGGACGGTGGGTGACTTTGCTGGCTTACCACCGTCGTCCATCACCGGCATGGTCTATTTGAAGGAACCAAAGTTGGAGAATGTCACCAACTTTTTGAATTTTTATAAACCGGTAGGTTAAATTTTGAGTTATTTTTTGGAATGAAGAGGGGGGGGGGGGATATGGCGATATTTTTTTACATAATGTAAAATGGCAAGAACTTTCTTTACATACTTTGTTTTCAACAATGAAATTTGAAAATTTTATCTTATTTAATATGCTTTAGGCCTCAATGGGATCTCCAGGAGATCAAACGCTGTTCAGAAACGTTGACGATGCTGGAAATACACCTAGAAGACCAGCTGCTGTATCCTCATTCATGGAGCAGATTCTGAAGGCCGAGGAAAAGGAGAAGGCTGAAAAAGAAAAGAGCCCAGAGAACGATGGTATTCAGAAGAACGGTGATGAGCATCTAAAAGAGAAAGCCAACGTTCAGAAGGCTGAAAAGGATAGTATCAAGACAAAGTCTGATGAAAAAGAAGCTACGGTAACTAAGAATGGTGAAGATGTTTCTCTTGGTGAGGCTCACGATGGTGAAAAAGCTTTTGAAGCCGTTGGGCGGACTGAAAATATTAAAGATGCTTCAGCGGATTCTAAAATTGACGCTACAGTGGCACGGTGCATTGCTTCACAGAATCCAGGATCTTCTGCAGCCGCTTCGGACGTGGATGACGTTGAAATGATGGATGTGACTTCTGAAGCTTCGACTGGAAGAAATATGTTTTCAAATGAAGACGAGGCGGACTTAAGGCGACAGATCTTGGCTACAATGAATGGTGTGACAGCTACACCCAATAATTCACCTACGGTATCTAATGCTTCTATTACGCCTGGGGTTTCACCCACAGTATCGTATGCCCCTACTGTTCTTGGCAGTTTACCTACAGTATCTTATAACTTACCTACAGTATCTCAGGAACCTACTGTATCAAATACTTCTCAGGAACCTACCGTATCCAATAATTCACCTACAGTCTCTAAAAGCTCATCTACCGTGCCAGATAGTGGACCAACAGTAATTCATGGTACACCAACTAATGTTAACGGCACGCCAACGATTCTTCACGGCACTCCTACGCAAGGTACACCAAGGACAGGATCTATAAACGATCAAATCCGCCAGCTACACTTTAAGTTCATGAGCTCAGAAATGTCTCAAGAAGAGTACGCTACAGTGTCCACGACGTTGTGCCAATTTCTAACCGATGTGAATAGAAAGCAGTTGCTGACGATACAAATGAATCAGATCTGAGTTTTTTGAATTTTTTTCGAAATTTTAAACTGATTTTGTTCGTATTTCAATATTCTTAACAGTTTTGCAATGTACGAGTCTCACAAGTAATTTCGTATTACATAGTAATGTATTTTTGTAGTATACTAACATATAATGTTGCTCATCATAGTTTGAAAGTATGTCAATAAATTGAGATTAATATAAAAGTTGGCTTTGATGAAGTTATGTTGGTAATAACGACCGACTGATGTTTTTGAAGGTGTAAGGATAATTTTTTGTATTTTTATGAATTGGAAAGAAAGTTTTTGCTTTTTTAAGTCATATAGAGAAAGTTGACGCTATCAGTTCTTGTTATTTTATGCATTGGAAAGAAAATTTTTGCCATTTTTTGTTTGTCAAGAAAGTTATTGCGATTTTATGTTTTGTAAATAAAGTTCTTGCCATTATATGTTTTGTAAACAAAGTACTTGCCACTTTTTGTTTTGTAAAGAAAGTTCTAACCATTTTTTGTTTTGGAAAGAAAATTCTTGACATTTCATGTTTTGTAAAGAAAGTTCTTGCCATTTTATTCTTTGTAAACAAAGTTTTTACCATTTATGAAAAAATATTTAAAATAATATTTATTTTGCAAACTATAATATAAAGTATTCACAGTAGATAATAACAACCAGAGAACAAAAAAGCCAGCAGCACGAACATGATAATCAGTAGGTATAGGTGAATTGTGGTAAAGCTAGACGTTTTGTGTGTGCTTTGTGGAGTACTGGCGTCGCGTTCTCTCATTGAGATACGAATGGCGTTCTTCATGTTGGCTGGGGTACGGAACTGAAAAAGGGAAAATTAGCATTAAATAGTGAGAACTTTCTTTACAAAATAAAAAACGGCAGGAACTTTCTTTACAAAACTTCGAATGGCAAGAACTTTCTTTACAAAACATAAAACGGCAAGAACTTTCTTTACAAATCATAAAACGGCAAGAACTTTCTTTACAAAACATAAAATGGCAAGAATTTTCTTTTAAAATAGCAAAAACTTTCTTTGCAGAACATAATACAGCAGAAATTTTATTTACAAAGCGCAATATAAGGCCAAAAGTTCATTATTAATAATTCTTAAATTTCAGTACTACACCTACTTCAATCTTGACATCGTTGCTCTGAAGGTCTCCAACATCTACAGTTTCATTCAATGGATGGTCCAGGTTGGTTATCTCATCAATATTCATCAGTTTCTCATTCAAACTAGTGTCGTTACACGACATAATAATAATAGTGTCGTTTTGAGCCATTTTGTAGATATTATACACGAAAAGGGCAGTACTATGTAGTATGGAAAAAGGGTATTTGGTAGTAGTACTATGTAGTATCAGTTAGATACTTGAACTTTTAGGACTGTGCTAATGGTACTAGTATAATAGATATATATTAGAGTACGTACTAGGCAGTATTTTAGTACTATTGCAGAATTGAAGAGCTCGTACTATTTAGTATCAAAAAATATTAAATTTATCTTTACAAGATAGCTTATCTAAGTACAAACCACTGCTGAACACGTAGAACAATATGAATGACCTGATGGTAGAATAATGTTGTTTTACAACGATAAAAAACCTTAAACCGCACAAATATATCTTTTACATAGTTCAAAGATTAAGCAAAGTAACTTCTCAATGCGTAGATATTAATATAGGTCTTTGCTTAAATCCCTTTTATGGTTGGCAGACGCTCAGCTTACGTCAATATTATTGATATTTAGTTGATTCAAACTGTTTCTTTACGATAAATAATTTAGAAAAGCGCCAAAACTTTCTTTACAAAAGCAAATTGACTATAATTTTGTTTCTGAAACATGTTTATCAGAATTAAGTTTAGTGGACTTAAACTTAGCGCGCTTAAGCTTTGCAGGCTTAGGCTCAGTATTTATGGGCTTAGAACGCTTCAGAGGCCTAGGCTTACGCTTATAACGCTTAAAATTTGCAGGCTTTGAATTAACAAGCTTGGGCTTAGAAGGCTTAGGCTTAGAAGGCTTAATAGGCTTAGGCTTAGAAGGCTTATAGGCTTAGGCTTAGAAGGCTTAGGCTCAGAAGGCTCAAGCTTGGGAATGTTAGGCTTAGCAGGCTTAGGCTTATTCTGAAAAACAATCTAAATCAGTCAGTCAGTTTATTGCACCAAAAAGCAGCATACAAGATTGGTACTCGGCATCAGCCTTGTTTGGGTGGGGTTCTGGCAGGCGTACGGGCTTGTGGCTGATAGCTGACACTACACGACACACTTTTGACTTCCGACATGAGCGAGCGATTCGACCGGTTTCGGGCCGTTCGGCAGGTTGCCACTTTGATTTCATCGTCGCCTTTGTACAGGTTCGGATTGTATTCCTAAAAATTTAAATTTAAAAAATTTAGAAATTGCGTCATAGTTTTAAAAAATGTCCAGAAAATGTGTCATCATTTTAAAAACGTCTGGAAATAATGTCATCTTTTTTTAAAATGTCTTAAAATTGTGTCAGCTCTTTTTAAAAATGTCCAAAAATTCTGCCACCTTTTTAAAAAAATTATGGAAATAATGCCACCTTTTGAAAAAAAAATTCAGAATTAATGACACCTTTTATGGAAATGTTTAAAAATTCTGTCATACTAACCTTGTTCACCTCCTCGAGCATCTGCCTAACCGTAGAAGCCGGCGGTCTCGTATCAGCCTCCTGAGCCCACGCCAACCTCATAACCGAAGCCATCTGATCGGGCATTATGTCGTTCGGAGACATACGGAACCCATTCATCACCTTCTCCTTGACCGTAATCGCACGCCATTCCGAGTACGGTGACTTGTACGGCTCCTCGAACAGCTCCCAGATCATGATGCCAAAGGCATACACGTCGGTGGTGAAGTTGGTCTCACCCGTCTTCCACACCTCCGGCGCTAGCCATCTGACGTTCTGCGGCTTGGACAGGTCGACTTTGAAGATTTCGGTCGCGCGACACATTCCAAAGTCGGCTAGCTTCAGGTTCGGGCCGGCTAGGAGGCAATTGCGGGTAGCAATGTCACGGTGAATGCACTTGATCGTATGTAGATACTCGAGGCCACGGGCTGCTTGTGTTGCCAGGTCGATTCGACGGTTGATCATGATGGAAGCGCCTTTTTTGCGAAGTACATCTTCTACTGATCCGTCCTGAAATAAAAAAAGATGAAAATCGGGTTTGGGGGGGGAGGTTTTTGAGTGGGGGAATAGGTGAGAAAAACCGATGTTATCGTAGGTTCAAATGAGCATTTTAAAAATAATTTTTGAATTTAGCGTAAGTTCTTACTTGGCACAACTCCATGACCAACAAGTACGGGGTACGGTCGATGACATATCCATAGAATTTGACAATGTTCACGTGTTCACACTGAAAAAAAAGTTAGTAAGTACCTTGAACAAGTTTGATTTCATGAATTTTTGGAGCTCTGACTACCCTGCCCTACCCCTTCGAAAATCTAGTACCGGACTCTATAATACTTTAAACCTTTCACAAATACTCAAAATTACAGTATAAAACAGTACCATTTGCATCACCCTGGCCTCGATCATCATTTCTGTCAGTCCTTGCTCGTCTTTTCCAGACGAATCCAGCCGCTTTGTCGCCACTTTTATGACTTTTGCAGTGTTCTTCTCCTTGTCACGGATAGTCAAGTAGCCCTGGTAAACCGTACCATATGCACCACTTCCAATCTGAATTTTATGATGTTATTTATGACATTTTGAGTGGTTATGACATTTTTTATCATTTTCATGACATTTTTTGTCATTTCATGACATTTTTTATCATTTTATGACTTTTTTTTGTCATTTTATGACATTTTTTATCATTTTATGACTTTTTTTTGTCATTTTATGACATTTTTTATCATTTATGACATTTTTAGTATTTGTTGAAGTTTTTTCCCATTTTATGACATTTTTATCAGTTAATGCCATTTTTATCATTTCATGACATTTTTTATCATTTTATGACGTTTTTCGTCATTTCATGACATTTTTTATCATTGTATGACTTTTTTTTGTCATTTTATGACATTTTTTATCATTTTATGATATTTTTATGAAATTATAAAGTAATTAGCAAAAATAGTTACCTTGCACCGCATACGAACATCCCGATGAGTGATAGACCATTTACTTTTGGGTATTGCCCGACGAAGTACCACACCATCACCATTCAAGTCCGTTTGGTTTTTGATGAGATTGGTGGTCAGGATCTTCACATTCGGAAACTGTTTCCCCTAAAAATTGGGAATTTAGGCTTGTTACAGTATATTATTAGGTGCCGACATAAAGAGCCCGCCATTTTTCACAGGAAATTACAGGCAAAGTATGGCGGGTTCTTTATGTCGGCATATAGGTAACAAAAAAATTACCCCTCCCAATTTTTTTTCTCTCCCCAGGCTATATTTTCAAGTTTCAGGCTTCCACCATACTTACTGATAGTATGACAGCCGCCGACCCGCGTACACGCTCCATTTTGAACCGATGTACCGTAGTCCGCTTCTTGACTGCCATCACTAGTGACGGTACGTTCGAGTCGCGTTGTGGTCGAAATTGGATGAGAAAGTCGCCATCTTTCAGCAACATTTTGTCCGCATCTTCGTCGGGCAACGCACCATGGCAGTACGGCGTATCCTGGAGTTCATCTTTTTGGGCCATCAGTGGGTACTGTAATTATTTTAGTTGGGGTTATAGCATTTATATATGGGTTTATATTTACTATCTATGTATATGTTAGTGCAATGACTATGTCATAGCATATCAAAAGACTACTGTAACTTTATAAAGACTATTGTAGTTTTTCAAAAGTTACAGTAACTCTAATGCAATATATCAAACTTAGAGTAAGCCTAATGTAATATAGCAAAATTACAGTAACCCTAATGTAATATAGCAAAATTACAGTAACCCTAATGTAGCCTAACAAAATTACAGTAACTCTAATGTAATATGGCAAAATTACAGTAACCCTACAGTAATCCATAAAAAAACTTACAAAGTCAGTAGAAGCGGAGCCAGTGTGCCGGATTTATGTCCAACCGACCGCAAAGTTAGTTTTGATCAGAATAAGTATTTTCAATTTTAAAATGAGCATTTTTTGAAAATGAACTCAAAATTATTGTGTTTTCCATCTTCAGTTGAAGCTTTCAATAAATTTCGTACTGTAACTTCATAATTATGTATTATAGGCCTGGCAGGTTTTATATTATTATAGGCCTGGCAGTTGTTGAGGGCTTAAAGGTGGCAGGTCAGTAAAATTTTTCTGGGCCGCAGGCATGGCCGGTCATTAAAGAAATTAACAACGTGGCAGTACATTTTTCCTTTTCTCTAAAAATAGTTGGTTTTGATGCATCGTGACTCAAGTACTGCGAGTACAACATCTTACTCTATTTTACTGCGAGCAATCGCTTTTTATCTGCCATATATTATGAGTATAAAAGCCTCGCTTTGCCGTTCAAAACGTCATTATTAAATTTATTGACCCTACCGAGTGGTCTTAAGCTAAGACTAAGCTAAGCCTAAGCTAAGCCTAAGCTAAGCCTAAGCTAAGCCTAAGCTAAGCCTAAGCTAAGCCTAAGCTGAGCCTAAGCTAAGCCTAAGCTAAGCCTAAGCTAAGCCTAAGCTGAGCCTAAGCTAAGTCTAAGCTAAGCCTAAGCTAAGCCTAAGCTAAGCCTAAGCTAAGCCTAAGCTAAGCTTAAACTAAGCCTAAGCTAAGTCTAAGCTAAACCTAAGCTAAGCCTAAGCTAAGCCTAAACTAAGCCTAAGCTAAGCCTAAGCTTAAGCTAAGCCTAAGCCAAGCCTAAGCTTAGCCTAAGCTAAGCCTAACCTAAGCCTAAGCTAAGTCTAAGCTAAACCTAAGCTAAGCCTAAACTAAGCCTATGCCAAGCCTAAACTAAGCCTAACCTAAGCCTAAGCTAAGTCTAAGCTAAACCTAAGCTAAGCCTAAAGCTACTCCTAAGCTAAACCGTAGCTAAGCCTAAAGCTAATCCTAAGCTAAGCTTAAAGATAATCCTAATCTAATCCTAAGCTAAGTTTAAGCTAAGCCTAATAAATATGGGTTGTCCCATTTTATGTGCGGAACTAACCCTTTCAAAAACAGTTGTTTCCTGAAGCTATGGGCGGGTTGTTACGTATTTTTTTTTCCAATATATCTTTGTGGCTTTCTGTCTTGCCTTTCGATAAAATTTGTGGCGTCTAATCTTATGTGTTCGCTTTTATTTTTCGATTTATAAATAGACTAACATTGTAAGTAAAGAATTGTAATGGATAAGGGTACATTAAACACAAGTAAGGATACTGAGCCAGGTACGTTTAGTATATTTAACCTTCTTGATAGACGGCAGCTTGAAGAAGTAACTAGATGAAAAAAATAAAATTAGTTGCCGACATAAAGAACCAGCCATAGTTTGCGTCTAACTTCTTGTAAAAAATGGCGGGTTCTTTCTGTCGGCACCTAATATTTTTAAGATTTTTGTTTTTTAAACTTTATTTTTTAAATTTATTAATTTTTTTAAATTTATCAATTAAAACATAACCTTAGGGCCCATTTGCATCGTTTGATCTCAGTACCATTAGCACTGGCAATTGGACAAAACTTCATTTCTCAAAAGATGGAAAGTCGATCTTGTTAGCAACATCCAATACTAATCATTATATTGTTGACGCCTTTAATGGTGAACTCAAAACTGTATTGACAGGACATTCGAACAAAAATGGCACTCGTTTGGATGCTTGTTTTTCAGCAAATTCAGAATTTATTTTTGGAGGCGGTGATGACGGCAAAGTAATAGCATGGAGCCGAGAAGATGGAAATGTAGTGCACGAGATGGCTACGGATTCGGATGATAAGATACTGCACTGTGTATACAACCCAACGTATCATGTTTTGGCGACAGCTGGGAGGCATACTGTAAGTTATTGTATATTTCTAAAAGTTTTCAATATATTTGTTAGCAAGAAAAAAGAATAACATATGTCTAACGGAACAAAATACTTTTAAAATAACGAAACAATTATAGAAATTATGGACCTTGGCATAATCAACATATTACTCATATAATACTGGTTGATGGAGCTTTAAAAATTTCAATATTTAATATTATAGCATTGTTAATGATAATATACTAATTTTTGTTTATAAAATGTTATTTTTTTCGGATTTCATGTTAATAAACTTTTATTGTTACTAATTATTCGTACTTTACGTGGTTTAGATTTCATCGTATAAAATGGTTTCGGCGGCAATTTGCGCCCTGGTTCTATAGTCTTTTTCCATTTAGGGTCAAAGTAAGGTCTTCTTGTGTAATATTAATGCCTTCCGGGTCTAATTGGGGTTAAAATCTTTGTAAAATTAGTTAAAATTATTAAATATGCGTGGCTTTATTATGTTTTGATAACTTTTTGACCTTTTAAGGTTGTTTTAGCGTTGTTTTGACCTATAACATTATTTTTGTTCCATTCTCAATAAATTTATGTTTTTTGGAGCGAATTTTATTTCGATACCATTGTTTACGTGTTTTTTACCTTTTTTTGCTGATTTGAACTGGCATTTTGAATTGCATTTTAGGTTTTCTCGGTGGGTTCATCATCGGTTATCGAAATGGGTAAGTTTTTCGCTTTATTTGGCATGTTTAGGCTTATATGATAGCTTATTGGCATGGTAACAGCTGTATTATAGTGCTAGAGGCTTAATAACGTGGATTATTTACCCTGGGGATTTGCTGTTGATGAAGTTCAACGGTTTTTTGAAAGCTTGATGGATAATATAATTTTAGACAATTTTTATTGTTGAAATTGCTTTCAGGATCAAACACTGTTGAATTTGGAAGCGGCAAATACTACGCTTTATGCGGTTTGGGTGGAGTATTGTCATGTGGTATCACACACACTGCCATTGTACCATTAGACATGGTCAAGTGCCGAATTCAGGTAATACGCTTTTTTGTTTTTAGGTCACAATGTAGCTTGGTAATGTTAGTGTCATATTAAAATGACATTTTGCTTTTTAAAAATGACTTTAAATTGTTTGAGGATGTCTAGGCATAAATTTCAAGTTAATCTTGTAGAATTATATTTTAAATTGCTGAAGAATAACATGATTATTTAGGTAAACCCAGAGAAGTACAAGGGTATCGTGGGAGGATTCAGAACTAGTATTGCTGAAGAAGGAATTCGAGGTTTGGCCAAGGGATGGGCTCCAACTGCCATCGGCTATTCGCTCCAAGGATTGGGCAAGTTCGGCTTCTACGAGTTGTTCAAGGTGGTCTACTCTGATGCCATTGGCCCTGTAAGTTTATTTTTATTACTGGGTTTTTTGATTTCATTACTATTTTACGTTGACGTTTAAAATTTCAGGAGATGAGCTACACCTGGCGTACCTCTCTCTACCTGGCTTCCTCCGCCTCGGCCGAACTTTTCGCCGACATTCTTCTGGCTCCAATGGAAGCTACTAAAGTCAGAATCCAGACCGCCGTAGGAGCTCCACCAACTCTTCGTGGCTGTGTTCCATACATCTACAAGAGCGAGGGCATCAAGGGCTTCTACAAGGGTTTGCCACCACTCTGGCTGCGTCAGATTCCTTACACGATGATGAAGTTCGCCTGCTTCGAAAGGACCGTGGAATTGTTGTACAAGCACGTCGTACCAAAACCAAGAGCCGACTGCACCAAGGGAGAACAACTGATCGTCACTTTCGTAGCTGGCTACATCGCTGGAGTCTTCTGTGCCGTGGTATCTCATCCAGCCGACACTATCGTCTCCAAGTTGAATCAAGATGCCAACGCTTCGGCCGGTGACATTTTAAGAAAATTGGGCCCAGTCGGTAGGTTTTATGGTTAAAAAAATTTCGATTAAAGTACTTTTATATACTTTGAGAATATAATTCATGTACGTTCAGGTGTTTGGGGAGGTTTGATGCCGCGTATCATCATGATCGGTACCCTGACTGCCCTTCAATGGTTCATCTACGACTCGGTGAAGGTGGCCTTCAACCTGCCCCGCCCTCCACCACCAGAGATGCCAGCTTCCCTCAAGGCCAAACTCGCGGCCCAAGGAAAGACCGCCTAATCTCATAGCAGTTTAGTCCAGTTTCACTTGTCCCCCATCATCCATTCCCAGTTTGTCTAACTTTCTTTGCTAGGATAAAGTGTTGAAACTAGTGGTGGTTTTTTTGAGTATTTATGGTGGATATTAGGTTAAAATATTGTGGTTTCGTTGATCCTGTTAGCATTTTGGTGTAATATCTTAATTTTTAATAAAAAAATTTAATAAACAAAGAACAACAACAACAATATGAATGAAAACAAGTAACAATAATAAAATGACAGCTTTATTCTTCATCCTCTTCATCGTCATCTTTACCCATCAATTCGCCAACGACCTTCTTGCACTGTTCCAACGTTTCTTCTGTGCCGTCCTTCTTTTCCATTTCGATCCATTTCTTGATCATGGAGTTCTTCTTGTTCAACTGAATCTCATGTAGCTTCACGAAACGTTCAAACAGTCTTCTGGCTTCGCGTACGCCTTCATATTTTAACGAAAAATCGGCGTAGACATGCCAAATGTCCAACCTTTTGGGGTAAGTTGATAATATCTTCTCGAAAATAGTCTTGCCCTTCTCGGCGTCGCCATGTTTGTATTCTAGTTGGGCAAAACGTGACATTATGGTAACGTGATGTTTTTTGGCTTGGGAATCCAGTGCTCGTTTCATTAGATTTCGAGCCTTCTCTGGGGCCGACTGTTCGTAGAGGAAGGTGCCGTAGTCGAACCATAGGTCCAGGTCGTCGTGTTTGAAGCGTTTGATCATTGAGTCGTACAGTTCTTGTGCTTCCTAAAACGATAGGTATTACAATAAATATTTTAAAAAGGGTTCCCTACATAGTATATTTATAACACCTTATATGTAACTTGTCATTTGTAAAATGGACTTTCTGTTAACTTCTCGTCGTATAAAATGTCCTTTTGACCTAAAGTATCCAACTAAACGCACTTACCGTATTTTTATCGTGATGTTTGTAGATTTCGATCATCTTCTTGTGAACTTTGAGTGAATCCATTGACGCTGTCGCTCTCTCAAACACTTGTTTGAAGCTTTCTGGAGTACCATACAACAATTCCAGGTTTAGGTATGCCGTCCATACGTTGAAGAGCTCCGTTTGTTCTTTGTACGAAATCACATCCAGAGCTCTTTTCACGATGTCACGGGCTTCCTTGAGTTTGTTTTGGCTTGCAAACAGTGTCATGTACCTAAAATCAGATTTTTTTTATTTTAGGTATAAAAATTCAATTTTTTTACAAGTTACAAGTTTAAAAATATTTTTTTAACTCTTTGACTTCACGCTATGTTACGAAAAAATAACATTTCTAAACAAATACTATAGCAAAAAGCTTACTTAATCCAAAGTTCAGACGAATTTGGTGACATTGTTAACAATCTATCAAAATCGGCTGAATTTTCGGCTACAGCTTCGTTCAACTTCTTTGTACGGTCTTCGGCCTCTGTGGTGTCGTACTCTAGAATAATTAAATTCATTTTTTACGAAAAAATCACATTTTTTGGTTAAAACATGAACAGGTGACACCAACGTCTCTAATCCGCGCTAAAGATGAATTTTTACCTTCATCATCGTCCTCCTCTTCTTTTATTTCCACTTCCTGTTGTACCTCTTCTTTGTCATCTTCTTCGCCTTCTTTTCGGCCGACTTTGGCCAAGCTTTGCATTGAAAATTCGCCCAGATCCCAGTCCAATGAGTCTTCAACCTTCACCTTTTTCGTTACTTTCTTCTCTTCTTTTGCTTGTTTTTGGGCTTCTCTGGCCTTTACCTTCTCGGCTTTTCGCTTTTCTTTCAATGATTCTTTCTGTTTTTGAACCTGAACATGGATATATTGTTTTAACATGTTTGATTTTTTTGAACTAATACCTTTTGAACAATAATTTTTTGTTATATTAAGGTAGACCAAACAGTTTCAGTGTACTTTCCAATATTTTACGTTAATTTAATGTCATAAAAACTTACTTTCTCCTCTTTTTTAATCTCCCTCTCCCTTCTGGCCGCATTTTCTTCTCCCAAACTCAACAAAATCTTTTCATTTTGCTCGTCCACATTGACAATCCGGCATTTTACCACCTGATTCTGTTCCAATCGATCTGAGGACATACGAACTTCCGGAGCCGGTAATAATCCACATACTTTGTTGTAGAATGCGACCAGGAATGCGCCTGAGGCGATTTGTTTTAGCAAATGCCCAGTTGTGACTTCACCAACAAATTTTTTGCTAAATTCGTTGATTACTGGTAGATTGGATTGGACTAGGGAGGGTCGGGCGGTGAGGAAAAGACGTTCGTGCTCCGAGTCGTAGAACAATACTCGGCAGGTTATGCGTTGACCGGGCTGGAAAATGAAGTTTAAAAATTAAAAAAATTATTGAAATATTTACCCCAACAACTAAAATTTGAAGATTTTACCACACCCAAATATTTTTTGTTGTCACCCCTCAATCAGGAATACGATTTTAAACCCCAGCCAAAATTTTAAATTTTACATCTCCCTACCCTAAAATTAAACTGGCAACTCCAAAAAACTGCCTACCTCAACATGTTCCATCCAGTTTTTGTGTTTTTTATCAAAAATATGTTCAGCCTGGACAAATCCAATGATCTCTGTTTCTCCTTTAGCTCCGAATCTGACCATAATCCCCTTGGGTTTCACGGATTTAACAAAGCCAATGATCCGCCTTCCTGGTTCCATATGTTTCATTTCCATCACTACCTGCTTCTTGACGTCCTTCTTGTTTGACAAGATTAGGCAACGCTCCAGCCATTGGTACCCTATCACCTTCATCGTATGTGTGGAGCCGGATGCGAATTCGACGACTGAAAAATGTTATTTTAGTGACAGAACTTATTGGAATTTCTAGTATAGCAAGCTATTATCATTTTTTACAGTGTAAATGCTTTTTCAACCCCTAGTAAATCAAGTTCCTCCCAAAAAACCTACTATCTTTTTCATAATCATCAAAGCCAGACTGAAACGCCTTCGCAGTCACAAACTCGGGCTTTTCCGGATTATCACCAAGATAAAAGTACACATTTCCAGCTTTGTCAATTTCGTATGCTGTAGCTTCGACTGTAGACCCAACCTTATGTTCCTCTTTCAAAACCTTCTTGGCTGCATTACTTGTAGCAATAATATCAGCCTGAGCTGATAAGATGAATAATGGCGAGTTTGGCAGAATGGCAGTAACAACAACTCGCAGCGATTTGCCCAGTCTTGTGGGATCTAGTCGGATTCGAGGGGGTAATGCGTTTTTATGAACAAATGCTCTTGTGTCTAAAGTAATATAGGTAATAAGTGACAAAAATCAAATTGAAAATAAATAAAAACTAAAATTAAGTTCAAGAGTAGTATATAATCACGAAATCACTCACTTGCATTCAATTTAACAAAAACGCCAGTAGAAACCACTTTTTCCGGCTCTGATAATATCACAGTGCCAGGCAATAGCTGATTCTTATCCAAACTTTGCTCGTCGTATGTATCAGCATCAGCAAAAGCTGACAATTGTATAACTCTTTCTGCTTTCTTCGACACTTTCCTCACTCTGAACAACAAAACTTGACCAACCCTCAATGGTTTAAAAGCATCTGGCACATCTAAATTCTGAACAAAGCCGGCTGTCTTTCCTGTTCCCAAATCAACCACTGCACCTTTTTCCTCTAGCGATTGAATGGTACCATTAAGAACTAGAGCGTTTTTCAAAGAAGCAGCGACAAGATGACTGTTTACCACCATTGGATCAATGGAGCCTATCGCTTTGTCGTCTAAAACAATATTTTACTGTTTTGTTAACTTAAAAACCAAAAGTTAGCTCTACAATCAATAAAATAATCAAAAATGGCAAAAATTTTGCTGATGAAGAAAGCTCTTTTCCATAAAATAATCCAAATTTAAGTTAAAGCAATATTAATATAAGCCTAAAATCTTACTTTTATTTGGCCCGGCGGCTTTTTCAACCTTAAAAGCCAGAGATTGACCCACAGAGTACACATCGCTTAATTCAACATCTCCAAAAGTCTTGGCAAAGATTTTAGGCATCTGTTTCACAGCCACCTTCGCTGTCAATCCACTAGCTGTTTCCAAGGATATTTCTGTGTCTTTGACCTAAACATTAATAAAAACAAATTCCGAACTTACTTCTTTAACTATTCCAAGAGCCCTGACATCTGTAGAAAATAATTCCTTCTTTAATCGTTGAATAAACACACCTTGATATTGTTCTTCTACTTCACGCTTTTTTGCTGGCTAAAATATAATATTTTTACTTATTTTATTAAAATGGAATCAAAAATTAAAGTTATAAAACTTGAAAAACAATTAAAGATATAGAAAAAACCACAAAATACCTGATCTCCATCATCTGTAGCTTTACGTTTAGGATTCTTAGCTCGTTTGTTTTCTAACGGAGCCAATTCACCCCCTCTGGGGAAGTCAACGTTGGTCATTTTTCATAAAACAAATAACAAAACTATAAAAAATTAGTTAACTATAATTTGAATCTCTATTTTGGTCGTTATGTACCAATATATCTTCACAATTTATCCGTTTTCTCCCAAAAATAATATGAAACGTTACGCCAATAGTGTCTTTGCAACTGTTTGATTTCGTCTCAGAACCCACATAAGCATACACGGTTAATTTTTAATCTGGTATTACAGCTATTTTTACAAAACAACGTTCATTTTTTTTTAGTTTTTAGATTGTTTCGAATACCAATAGTACCAAAATACCAATGCAAAATTTATTTCACAAAAAATGTCATGTTTAATATCCGGGAGCAGTTCGTGGGGGTGGACAATGGTCACAACTTCCTTTACGACCTTGTTCTCCGGAACTTCCTGGCAATCCAGCGCCACCTGGACGTCCAGGAGCTCCAGGCGAGCCAGGTTCACCAGATTCTCCGGGTTGGCCTGGTCTACCTGGTTCTCCTGGCTGACCTCCGTTTCCTTGTGGTCCTGGCGGACCAGGTGGGCCGGGAGGACCAGCTGGTCCCACATTTGTTGGTCCGTCACGTAAGACTCCTGGCGCTCCTGGAGCACCAGGTTCACCCGGACGACCAGCTTCTCCTGGCGCCCCGGGTGGACCTGGTGGCCCCGCTGGTCCTGGTGCTGCTGGACTGCCACTTTCACCTGGAGATCCTGGACGGCCTGGTGAACCGGGGCTTCCGCCTTGACCTGGTGGTCCAGGAGGGCCGGGATTGCAATCGTAGCACCATTGTGGCGCGGCTTGGGCAGGTCTTGCTGGTCCGTCGGAACCGGGACTACCACTGTTGCCTGGTACACCATCTTCGCCTGGCATTCCTGGAGCTCCAGGTGGGCCTGGAGGACCACCTGGGGAATGGCCACAACCACAACAGCCATTTGAAGCTTGACGACGGATCATGTGGGCTTTGAGGATTTGGCCGGCTTTGGATTTGGCCTGTTCGGCTGAGCGTGCGGTACGAGGATTGGCTTCAGAGAGGAACTAAAATTAGAAAGTAGTACTAAAAATTTTATGTATACGGTACTCTAAGAGTATATCATACTGTTGTACTCAAGATTTACTTACTTGTGTTGTAGTGACCTCTTTCCACAGGTTATTGGCCGTGCTTTTACAGTACTCAACCTCCTCCTGCATGTGAGATTGAGCATTTTGTACGTAGTGGTACATTAATGGTACTGACAATACTGTAACCATTATTGTGGTAGTGGCCATTAGTACTCCGCCAATGGCCAGTTTTCGCACTAAATCACATTCGGCTAGCAGTTGTTTTTGGTCTGCCATGATTTAAAGCTACAGTAGACGTTACAGCTGCAGTAACAGCCTGCTGATGCTACTATGACACAGATTTTGATAGAGCGCTTTTCCTTTATATACCTAGGTTGTTTTACAATGTGCCTGTTGGTATTTTGTTTACCGAGTTTTGTCGATTTACAAAAGAAGTAGGTGGAAACTGTACGATTTTTAAATTTTTAAACCATTTACAGACATTTCAATTGTTTTTTGAGCCACAAAACCGGTTTTGATTTGACCTTATTTAAGGTTTATCAATTAAAAATGACATTGCTAGCTAAAACTATGCTTTGTAAAGAACTTTTTTGCCATTTTATAACTTCTTTTTAGCGTCAAATCAGTAAAAATAACCAAAAGTTAGCGAACATCAGCGAATGTCACAATAAGCTAGCCCAAAATCAACCAAAATCACTGCAAAACTTCAAAAAACGCTACCAAAATCTAATTTCAACACTTTATCCTAGCAAAGAAAGTTAGACAAACTGGGAATGGATGATGGGGGACAAGTGATACTGGACTAAACTGCTATGAGATTAGGCGGTCTTTCCTTCGGCCGCGAGTTTGGCCTTGAGGGAAGCTGGCATCTCTGGTGGTGGAGGGCGGGGCAGGTTGAAGGCCACCTTCACCGAGTCGTAGATGAACCATTGAAGGGCAGTCAGGGTACCGATCATGATGATACGCGGCATCAAACCTCCCCAAACACCTGAAAGTACATGAATTATATTCTCAAAGTATATAAAAGTACTTTAATCGAAATTTTTTTTAACCATAAAACCTACCGACTGGGCCCAATTTTCTTAAAATGTCACCGGCCGAAGCGTTGGCATCTTGATTCAACTTGGAGACGATAGTGTCGGCTGGATGAGATACCACGGCACAGAAGACTCCAGCGATGTAGCCAGCTACGAAAGTGACGATCAGTTGTTCTCCCTTGGTGCAGTCGGCTCTTGGTTTTGGTACGACGTGCTTGTACAACAATTCCACGGTCCTTTCGAAGCAGGCGAACTTCATCATCGTGTAAGGAATCTGACGCAGCCAGAGTGGTGGCAAACCCTTGTAGAAGCCCTTGATGCCCTCGCTCTTGTAGATGTATGGAACACAGCCACGAAGAGTTGGTGGAGCTCCTACGGCGGTCTGGATTCTGACTTTAGTAGCTTCCATTGGAGCCAGAAGAATGTCGGCGAAAAGTTCGGCCGAGGCGGAGGAAGCCAGGTAGAGAGAGGTACGCCAGGTGTAGCTCATCTCCTGAAATTTTAAACGTCAACGTAAAATAGTAATGAAATCAAAAAACCCAGTAATAAAAATAAACTTGCAGGACCAATAGCATCGGAGTAGACCACTTTGAACAGCTCGTAGAATCCGAACTTGCCTAGACCTTGGAGCGAATAGCCGATGGCAGTGGGAGCCCATCCCTTGGCTAAACCTCGTACTCCTTCTTCAGCAACACTAGTTCTGAATCCACCAATGATGCCCTTGTATTTTTCTGGGTTCACCTAAACAACGTACTCTTCTACAATATAAGCCTTATTTTCTAAAATTTAAGTCGAAAGTAAAACTTAAACACTTTTAAAATGATTTTAAGCGGTTTTAGCAACCAAAATTAAATTAAAAGCATAAAAATAAGTTAAAGATATTACCTGAATTCGGCACTTGACCATGTCCAATGGTACAATAGCAGTATGTGTGATACCACATGACAATACTCCACCCAAACCGCACAAAGCGTAGTATTTACCACTTCCAAATTCAACAGTGTTTGATCCTGGAAATAATGTTAATATCAGTGCATTGACTTTGCCAAAATTTAATGGCATAACAACAAATGTTTCATTTTGTAGCTGTTGTTCGGTTAAGTAAACGTAAAAGTTATGTTTGTATCAACAAAAAAAAGCTTTTAAACTATAAAAAACGAAAGTTTTCCTAGTTTTAAGCAAAAGCCATAAAAAGCTTATGAAAGTAATATTTTTCATGACACTCTCCATATAATACGCTGTATTTCGTGAGAAATTAATCCCAAGAGAAAACAATCAACATAATCAGGTCCACAAAACTCTGATACATCTTTTACTATGCTAGCAACTTCTACTTTAAGCCTAAACACACCAAATAAACCAAAAAAACTTACCCATTTCGTCAACCGGTGATGAACCCGCCGAGAAAGCCTAAAAATTCAATCAAATTATCAAAATCCTAATCACAAACTAGGTAACATAAATTTAAAGTAAAACCTTTAGCATCGCAAATTAAGACGCAAAGATTTACAAAAGGAACGAAAAACTGTCATAACAAAGTTATACATGATAAAAGTCTAGACAAAATGTAAGATGAAAAGGATTAGATAGAATTGGGCGGAATAAAAATATATTTCTGCAGAATAACTACTGCTTAAATAAAAAGAAGACATTACACACAAATACACCTTCTCCACGACCTAAAGGAAGAGACAAAAAAGGAATATGGGCGCGAATCGGCGCTTTACTTCCTTTTATGAACTGCGCAGGCTGCAGAAAGGCAAAAGCTTGGAGACAATGAATGTGAATGAGTTTGGACCTGTAACCGTGCTGTAGGAACACTATTTATGACAAAAAATTGAAAATAAGAAACCTGTATCAATTTGAATACAAAAAATTTATTTTTCTTCTAAAAAACGCTATATAATGGTTTCATCGTCCAAAAGTAGTATAATATCGTGTCGCGTTTCAATTTGCCAGCGGCTCGTGATTGCCATAAATCTTGGTCATAATATGTTTTCCATTGTCGTCAAAATAATAGATTCCGCCGTATCCATACCAATGACCCGCGAACTTCAATACGGCCGGAATCGTTTGTTCAAAGCCTTCCTTTGGTACACGATAGTATGGTGCCATGGTGTCGCCTGGAAGTCGTTTGCGCTGTGGGGCTGCTAAAATTAGGTTTGTATTATAATTTTTTTAAATTAATACAAAATTCCGCTTTGGTTTAGGTGCCGACATAAAGAACCCGCCATATTTTGCCTGTAATTTCCTGTATAAAATGGCGGGTTCTTTATGTTGGCATCTAATATTGTAATTAAAAAACCATTTTGAGTTCCTAGATGTCAATATAATGCTACTTACTCTTTATAATGTGATATACTCGCGCTTTATCGTTCTTCTTTGGATCTCCTTTCGTAATGCTTGGGTATCCATATTCTTCCAAGACCTTCACCATGGTTTGGCTAAAGACAGAGGGTTGGAAATCTGGTACGATATCTCCGCCTTTGTACGTTGGCAAGTTACTATAATATAGCCCGTTGTGTGGTACTACCACAGGTGCTTGTGGTGCTGCAGCTCCTGCCTCTCCTTGTGGTTCTTCCTCTCCTCCTTGTGGTGCTGCATCTCCTGCTTCTGGCGCTGCGTCTCCGTCTTGTTGTGCCGTGCCGCCTGCTTGTCTTACTGATTCACTTGACGAGCTTGTTTCAGTTTCGTCCGTTGCCTTTGTAATCAGGTAACGAATAAACCAAACAATCAGACATCCAACCAGCCATATGATGGAGCCAATCGATACGATATATACCCACCACATTATAGAGAACCTCTCCGGAGTGGTTACATTACCAAAGATTTGAGTTGCATTGCCTGAGAGTTGGGATGCATTGCCCAAGTTTTGGGGTAGATGGCCTAGGCTTTGGGGTGTGTAACCAATTCTGGCAGATCGAGGAACGAGAATCTTAGGCTTTGTAGGTGTGGCTTTTCTAGTCGTTCTCTTGGTGGTCGATGTAGTTGTTGGAATTGTAGTCGTCGTAGTTGGAACAGGTCTAAAATTGATCATCAAATGACGTTGCTTTAAATAAAATTTAAATATTTTAAGTAAAATTTGAACCAAAGTTCATTTTATTAGGCACCGACATAAAGAACCCGCCATTTTTTACAGGAAATTGCAGGTAAAGTATGGCGGGTTCTTTATGTCAACACACAATAAATTTTAAAAATTAAAACTTACTCATAGTAAAACAACCCAAAAATTGTATTGGTTTCAAGGGGATGAATTCGCCATCTTTCGGCGCCCAATGAAATCAAAGCCTCCTGAAGTTATATCAATAAGCAAACAATGGCCTGCTCTATTTTTCCTTACTCTACCGTACCCCTATGTCTGCTTCTGTAGGCTTATGCAACTGCTTTTGGCTCGAGTAGACATGAGGAACGGGACGGACCTTGACCCAAATATAAATCTCGGGTCTGAGCAAAATTTTGATCGGGCCGGGCTTGAAAATTGGGCACCAGTACACAATTTTAGGCTTCCGTACACGGCTTTGTAATACCCTACTCTACTACTCCGAGCATACTCTACCAACTACCCCGAACATACCCTACCTATAGTGCCGACATAAAGAACCCGCCATAGTTTGCTTGTAATTTCCTGTAAATAATGGCGGGTTGTTTATGTCGGCACCTAATAACTAACCCAAACATGTCCTACCCAACTACCGCGAACAAATCCTACCACGCTACCCCAAACATACCATAGAAAATAGAAGTTTATCAGAATCGTAGCCACAGTCCGTGTCAAAAAGCTTTCCAACCTCATACTTCTTGCATTTTCCGGGAGAAAACCACAAGTCACCATTGCTAGCATAGCCAACTGCTTCACGACAGTAGTAGTCGTTCTCGCCAAAAACGCCAAGATGCCCTTTTGTGTAGTAATACAGAACATTTGAAGCGTCACAAGCTTGTTGTAGAAGAATGTCATCGCTCAGAAAAAATTTAAAGCTACCAGCAGTTTCATAATACAATTGTATCTCTTCCTCTTGTCTGTTGTACTTAAAAACTTTAGATCTAAAAACAAGCAAAATAAAAAAAATATGAACCTACCCTACCCTACCCTACCCTACCCTACCCCACGAAAAGAACATACATATCAGAATTGACCGTTCCGACAACATACAAAAGATCGATATTGTTTGGAGTGAACAAGTACTTAGGATATTCCAGATCAAAGCTAGCGTCGGTATCGTACTCCCTAAAAAATCAAATTTATTGTATGTATGACAACTTAAGATGAAAAGATATTAACCAGTACTGTAACCAGGGCCGGGCGAGCACTTTTGGTCTGAAGCAGGGCCGGGCGGGGACTTTTGGTCTGGGGGCAGGGGTCCAAAAAATCCACAGGGGGACCACGTTCAAATTTTTCAGAAAATTTTTTTTCTGGGTACCCCCCCCTCGCACCCGGCCCTGGACTGAAGGTATAAAAAATCGGCAAAAAAATTTTTACCAAAAATCCACGACGACGTTCAACTTTTTTCAATTTTTTTTTTCTGTGGAAGGGGGGGAGGTAAAAAATTAAAAACTTACTTCGTATTACGTTGTGAAATACGGTCTGGACACACTTTTGTATCGTAACGGTTGATTGTATCAACACCCCTTTTGAATTCAAAGAATTGAACGCAAACAACATAACCCTCTTTCTCAGGTAGTATACTACGGCCATGCACCCTGGCTTTGAGCACGTTGTTCCGCCACCCGTACTCAAAATCGTTAGGCATTTAATGGCTCTTGACAAAAATAAGAACAACCGTTCGATGTTGAGGTGAGACCGACTCAAATGAGCCGAAATTCAAAATTCGTCTTGGATTTGAAAATTAAAAAAAAAAACGAAAAATATTTTTTATTTTTTTTATTTTTTAAAAAAATTTTTGACCATTTTTTACTTTTAAAAAATTTTTTGCCATTTTGAACTTTTTAAAGAATGTTCTTGACATTTTTGCTTTGTAAAGAAAGTTCTTGCATGTCTTTTAACGGTTAAATTCTCTCCATTTCAGCCAGTTTAATAAAACCCGAAAAATGTTTTTCTAACTTTTCTGATAGTTAAAATATTTTAAAAAAGCAAAAACCGTATGTTCAACACTTATTTACTGCAAAAGTGTGCTCAGCAGTAAATAAAGGTATCTTCAGTATTCATGCAGAAGAACGAAAGTCAATTCTGACATTCATCGCACGCGGGGTCCGAACCTGCCGCCTTTTTCCCCAAAAGCAGGAACTTAACCAATAAACTAAAAGATCACTCGCCGCGCTCTCTTGTTTTCCTGCTGACTTCGAATGTTATACCATTTGAGCGCCAAGATGAGTTGGAAAAAGATGAAAAAGACGATTAAACTTTGATTTTTATCAAAATTTTAGGTCAAAGTTGAAAAATTTTAAACAAAAAAATTATTTTTCTATTATTTTATCGTTTCGTGGTGGTCGAAATGGGTGATACAAGATGGAAAAAACGCAAAATGGGCCAACTTTTAATGAATGTTCTCAAAACAAATTATACGGATTTGGTTGATGAAACGAATACTAGTGTAAGTTAATTTTGTAAACATTATTACACATTATTGAAACTGTCATTTTTGGACTTTTTGTCTATAATGCTCAAAAATTTGCCAAAAAAGCGATTTTTTGCGGGTTTTTAGGTAATAATTTTGAAATTTTAGGTAATTATGACCAATTTTTAAATGTTGCCCTAAAAACATGTATAATTTGTCACATTTAGGACGAAGACTTGTTGAGATCAGTAGCCGTGTCAGGTATCGTGCTAATGCAATGTCTTTTGGTACTGGAGGTTTATGCTGAAAGAAATGTGGAAAAAGAGTTGTTGAAAGAAAAAAAAGAAGTTGTTTAACATTAATGTCAAATGGGAAGACATTCTATCCAATTTCTGGGAGAGTAAGTGTGCAAAAACTTTCTTTACATAACTCAAAACGGCAAAAACTTTATTTACAAAGCTTAAAACGGCAAAAACTTTCTTTACAGAACTTAAAATGGCAAGAACTTTTTTACAAAGCATAAAATGGCAAAAACTTTCTTTAAAAGCCCAAAACGGCAAAAACTTTCTTTACAGCCTTAAGTTTTAATTTCTTACAGTGGTGAAAGATAGAACAGTCAAAAGAGAGCACCTGAAGATATTCTACAAGCAAGAGGAAGCTCTCATCTCTAATATTGAAAAGAATGCTCAACTCAGACACAGAATGGGAATAGAGGTACCAGTGTCCGTTATAGAAGGTCTGAATTTTGTGGTCGATCCAACTGGCGAATATATTCGACATTTGTTGGATAAACAGTTTTTGGTAAGTTATATTACGAAAATTGCAATAACTTTCTTTACAAAACATAAAATGGCAAGAACTTTCTTTACAAAACGAAACATTGTAAGAACTTTCTTTACAAAACAAGAAATGACAAAAACTTTCTTTACATACTATCAATTTTAAAAAATTTTGACTTTTCAGGCAAAAACCAAAGCTAAAGTGGTACCACGACCAGTGAAAATCCGCTCCTCGGCCAGATTCCTTGCCGCCTCTGCCATTCATTGTGAGTTGTATTGGGGAATGGAATTGAACGAATGTGACATTCAATTTCAATACCCATATACGGGCAGAGAACGACCAAGACCAGCGGCTGGAGCAGAGGAACCACCAAGTGATCCAGTACAACCTGTTATAACTCAATCAATTGGCGTGAAAGGCGTGGAATTCAGAATATTGGCTTCAGTAAGTCATGAACAAGCGTGTACGGCTGTTTATTTTACTGCGTATGAGGATAAGATTGAGGCATTGGTGGTACAACCGAAAATGGGCAAAGCGAGACTGGAAGACTTTGGGTACGAGGATCTGTACCGCCTGAATGAGAGCTGTAAAAAGGTAAAAATTTGAATGCAATTTAATTTTTTTTGATTTTATTGGCCACAAAAAACATTTTTTTTATTTTATAATATGTAGAAGCAACGCGACCAAATGACCATCCGCCTACCGCAGCCGTCGTGCGCCGAGCCCGTATCACTTCGCCGAATCAATCAACGACCGCCAAAAAAGGAAAACCAAGTTTGTGGACTCAAATTCATCAATCATTTAGTACGGTTTTTGTTTTTTTTTTCGTTTTGAGAATATGTGACGTAATGTAAAAACCAATAATTTTTGTTGCATTTTGTCAACTTTTAGTAAAATTGCGGATATTGATGTAAAATAGGGTTGTAGTAAAGAAATTTGGTTTATAGTGTAATTTAAATTATTTTTCTTTTATTTTTTTAGTTTTTGAGAAGATGTGACGAAATTTAAAAATCAATAATTTTTGTGACATTTCGTTATTTTTTAAATTTTGGTTTAAAATAGGGTTGCAATAAAGAAATTTGTTTTATAATGCAATTTAAATTATTTTACTTTTATTTTTTTTAGTTTTGAAAATATGTCGCGAAATTTAAAAACCAATAATTTTTGTGACATTTCGTCAACTTTTAGAAAAATTGCGGATATTAGTGTAAAATAGGGTGTCAATAAAGAAAGTTGGTTTATAGTGTAATTTAAATTTATTTTTTAAAATTTTTTAGTATAATTGAAATTCATTTCTCATTAATTTTAATTTTTCAGAAGTACTTTTTCCGTACCAAGAACAAGCAAAAGTTCACACGTTGCTTCTCCCCAAACAAAGCCGACTTTTGTCCATTCGAGACGAAAAAGAAGTTTGGAATGGAGAATGCCTTCCCATTGTACGACTGCTTCATGAATTCCAATTTTCAACCGAAAATCCACTATCCGAGCGCACCGACTGAGAAGTTTACCTTCCCGGAGGTCAGAATTTCGAGGAAAAAATCGAAAAAAGAATTTCGTCACAACCGTTCAATGGAAAGATTTTTCAGTCTAAGGACAAGGTCTGCATCGTGGCTGAGGTAAGATTTTTTTTTATGTTTTGTAAAGAAAGTTCTTGCTATTTTATGTTTTGTAAAGAAAGTTTTTGCTATTTTATGTTTTGTAAAGAAAGTTATTGCTATTTTGGCTTTTGTAAAGAAAATTTTTGACATTTTATGTTTTGTAAAGAAAGTTCTTACTATTTTATGTTTTGTAAAGAAAGTTCTTGCCATTTTAACTTTTGTAAAGAAAGTTCTTGCTTTTTTTCTGTAAAGGTTATTTTCCCTAGTTTAATATTATCTTTTATGCCATATCTAATATTACCTATAACGCCATTGCCATTTTCAGACAGCACCACGTCAAGAGAACGAGGGCGGCAGAACAGCTGGGCGTTCTCGCTCGCGTTCTCGCTCCAGGTCTAGAAGAAGAGAAGGGGAAAGTGGTACAGACCGTCAAGGGTCAGGAATGGATAGTAAGTTACTACTTTATAATACTATTTTTTAGTATTTATGACAATTTCTGATTGAAAGTTTCATTTATTTTGGAAAATGCAATAACTTTCTTTACAAAGCATAAAATGCAAGAACTTTCTTTACAAAACAAAAAATGGCAAAAACTTTCTTTACAAACTATAAAATGACAAGAACTTTCTTTACAAAATGTAAAATGGCAAGAACTTTCTTTACAAAACAAAAAAGGGCAAGAACTTTCTTTGCAAAACAAAAAATGGCAAGAACTTTCTTTACAAAACCTAAAACCTTCGTTTCAGATCCACAATCAGCTGCATCAGTCTCATCGTTGCCCGTCTCAGCAGGACCAGCAGGAGCCGTTGTCGAGGCTCATACCGTCGACTCGCCCTATATTATGTTCATCAACTATGACACGGGCCTTGGAAGGGTCCCAGTCGAAATTTCGTACAATAATGTGTTTTGAAATGTTGGTTGATATAGGAAATAAAGTAAAGGAAAGATAGCACGTTATAATTGCATTTCAAATTAAATTTTTGGTATTAAATGGTTCTGAAAGTCCAAAATGGTACTGTTTTTATAGTTTTTGGTACGAAATGGTACTAAAAGTCCAAATCGGTACTGTTTTTATAGTTTTTAGTAATAAATGGTACTAAATTTTAAATTGGTACTGTTTTAATAGTTTTTGGTACTAATTGGTACTAAAAGTCCAAAGTGGTACAGTTTTAATTTCTTTTGGTACAAAATGGCACTAAAAGTCCAAATTGGTACTGTTTTTATTGTTTTCGGTACTAAATGGTACTAAAGGTCCAAATTGATACTGTTTTAATAGATTTTGGTACTAATTGGTACTAAAAGTCCAAAGTGGTACAGTTTTAATTTCTTTTGGTACGAAATGGCACTAAAAGTCCGAAATGGTAATTTTTTGTAGTTTTTGGTTCTAAATTGTACTAAAAGTTTAATAAGAACTTTTAGTACCATTTAGCCCAAAACCATATTGAAAATAGTACCAATTGAAACTTTAGTACCATTTAGTACCAAAAAAATATAAAAATAGGACCAACTTGGACTTTTAGTACTATTTTGTACTAAAAACTATTTTAACAGTATCAATTTGAACCTTTAGTAGCATTATGTACTATACTACGACTACATTAACCGAAAAATAAAAAAACTTCCGATGGTACTTTTAAAAGTGTATTCTTTAGCATAATATATATTTTTGAAAGAAAACCAATTAAAATTTTTAATGATTTGTCTGTGAAAAGTATCTGCCCGGTCAAAAACCCTATTTGTTTATTTATTTACATCATTTGTGGGTCTGGTTTTATCAAAATTTCTTGTCCAAATGAACTGTTTTCGGCGGTTTTTACTATTTTCAACAGTTTTAGTAATACTGTGTAACTGTGTTATTGCCGTAGCTGATGATAAGGACGAAGGTAATGCATACTGGTTTGGTTTAGCAGTTTAACAGTTTATTTACTTATATATATAATTTCAAGTACCGACATAAAGAACCCGCCATACTTTGCCTGTAATTTCCTGTAAAAAATGGCGTGTTCTTTATGTCGGCAATTAATAATTGTATATATTGGTATGAATGATAACGTTTTTAGTGTAGTATATGTTATATTTATGTCGAAATTTAGGTTTTGAACACAATTATGATTATCCAAAGCGCAAGTATTCTACTGTGCATCATCATAACTACCTTGGTAAAGTTTTTGATACGAAAATTTACTTATACTTACACTTAGCTTAGGCTTATCTCAGGCTTAGCGTAGGCTTAGCTTTGGCTTAGCTTAGGCTTAGCTTAGGTTTATCTTAGGCTTAGCTTAGGCTTAGCTTAGGCTTAGCTTAGGCTTAGCTTAGGCTTAGCTTAGGCTTAGCTTAGGCGTAGCTTAAGCTTATCTTAGGCTTAGATTAGACTTAGCTTAGGCTTGGCTTAGACTTAGACTTAGTCTTATTATTCTTGTACTTTGTTTGTTTAGGCTTCGGAAACTTAGGCTTAATTAAGCTTAAGATGCATTTAATAAAAACATTGACACATTATGTAAGGCAACGTTAGCAGAAGATGCTGTGCCTCGTAGAAATGTGTAGTAAGACTGTCGTACTCGCAGTAATTTGTTGGGTCGTTTTACATCGAGGCAATTGTTGTATAAAGCCATCAATATTACATAAGAAACGTTACGTAATATCATTTTTTGCAATTTCTCTAAGGCTATATTTGTATGTAATGGTATTAAGTAATTCTGCGCATTTTTATTTAAGTTTTTATTAATATTAGGTGCCAACATAAAGGACCCGCCATTTTTTGCACTAAATTACAGGAAAAGTATGGCGGGTTCTTTATGACGGCACCTAATAATACCTTTGATAACGTGATTTACACAACTAAAGTAACCTTATTAGGCTAAGTTTAGGTTTCTCAGGATTAGTGAATTTAGACGTAGTAAGAATAGGCTTATGAGGATTTACTTTATTAAGTCTTTATATATTTATAGCGAAGGAAAACAATGACAATGGAGACGAAGTTATCACTTCTTTGGCCAATAACGATAAGGCTGAAAATTTGTTGAAAGAAGAAAAATCACTATCATTAAAGATCAATAAATGGGTGGGAACACACCTTCGTATCATGACGTTTAATACTTGGAACATGGGCAGATATGTACATGATGGTCGTCAGAAAATTGCGAAACATATTAAGCTAAACAATGTGGATGTCGTTGGATTACAGGTGGGCTTATTTATTTTTTAAGGTCAAGTAAGTTTGATACGCTGAGTTTTTTTAGGCGTAGGTCTTGTAAGGTTGTGATTAAGTGGCTTAGGCTTAGTAGGTTTAGGCTCAATAGGCTTAGGCTTAAGCTTAAACTTAGGCTTAGGCTTAGGCTTAGAACTAGGCTTAGGTTTAGGACTAGTCTTAGTTGGCTTAGGCTTAGTAGGCTTAGGCTTGGTAGTATTCTTAGGCTTACGCTTAGGCCTAGGCTTATGCTTAGGCTTAGAACTAGGCTTAGGACTAGGCTTAGTTGGCTTAGGCTTATTAGGCTTAGGCTTAATAGTATTCCTACGCTCACGCTTAGGCCTAGGCTTATGCTTAGGCTTAGTAGACTTAGACTTAGTAGGCTTTAGCTTAGTAAGCTTAAGTTTAGTAAGTTTAGGTTTAGTATTCTTAGGCTAAATAGGCTTAGCCTTAGTAGGTTCAAGTTTAGTAAGATTTAGCTTAGTAAGCTTATATCTAGGAAGCTTATTCTTAGTAACATACTGAAATGTTATAGTAGATTTTTAGGAAGTACGTGCGACAGAAGAAATAGAAGAAGTAGTGAAACACCTTAATACCGATTCTACTGAAACTTGGAGCTACATCTATTATGGGAACTGTGCTATTGTTACAAAGCATACCGTAAGTAATACATTTGTATCTAGTGTCAATTTTGATTACTATCACATTTTATTGTCATATAATGACACGTTGAAACTTTTTTTTGTATTGGCACGTTGAAAATTTTTTTTATAATAGCACGTTCAAACTTGAAATTCCAGATTAATTTAAAATCCGTAGCAAAGACGACCTCAGGAGTTGGTGTGCAAATCTTACTAGACAGCAAAAGGAAGTTGATGTTATATTCTCTACACATGGCTTATACCAACTATGCACCATATGCCTTGATGTATCGTCAAAGCAATGTTAAAGCACTACTAGATTACGGTGAATGCTCAGATCAGCATTGTAGGTGTTATGGTTGATTTGTTTGCACTTTTTCATTATTTTGTACTATTATATAATGGGCACTTACAGTGGAACTCCTGTATAACGAATCGTTCGGGGACTGGAAATTTGTTCGTTATAAAGGAGTTTCGTTATAGAGGAGTTTTAAATGCACTGTGTAGTCGTAGACGGGGATTTAAAAGTTGTTTGTTATACAGGATTTTCGTTATAGAGGAGTTCTTTATACAGGAGTTCCACTGTAATTATGTATGGATGTGCATGTATTAGTACTTATGGATCATGGATCATAGTATATGAAACATTATGTTTAGGCCGCTGTGGAAACGCCAAAGACTTGGTAAAGAGCCAGGAGTTTCAAGACGCTTTGGGAAGAACAAAAACTGAACCATTATTCGTCTTGGGCGACTTTAATTCACCATCACATTTGGACTATGCTGAGAATTTAAAGTACGTTTACGTACTCGGTTAAGCCTATCATAATACGTTTATTCATTTTGGGCTTACTAAGCTTAGGCTTAGGCTTAGGCATAGGCATAGGCTTAGGCTTAGACTTAGGCTTAGGCTTAGGCTTAGGCTTAGGCTTAGGCTTAGGCTTAGGCTTAGGCTTAGGCTTAGGCTTAGGCTTAGGCTTAGGCTTAGGCATAGGCTTAGGCATAGGCTTAGGCATAGGCTTAGGCTTAAATTGTTCACTCACGTGAGTTGCCACAAGTAAGCTAGCTTAAGCCTACAATGACTTGTTTACCAATTTGAAAATATTATGTGCCGACATAAGGAACCCGCCTTTTTTTACAGGAAATTAGAGGCAAAGTATGGCGGGTTCTTTATGTCGGCACCAGGGCCGGGCGGGGACTTTTGGTCTGGGGGCAGGGGTCCAAAAAATCCACAGGGGGCCACGTTCAAATTTTTTTCGAAAATTTTTTTTCTGGGGGGGTACCCCCCTTCCCCCCCCTCCCCGTCCCCCCCCTTCCCCCCCCTCACGCCCGGCCCTGGTCGGCACCTAATAAGAAGTTAAATCTCACTAAGCTTTAGCCTACTAAGTCTATCTTTACTCATCTTACGCTTATTAAGCCTTAGCGCGCTATAATTTAACTTTTGTTAAATTAAAACCTTACGTTAACTTTTTTTAACTTGACTATTATGTATTAGGTGCCGACATAAAGACTCCGCCATACTTTTTCTGTAATTTTCTGTAAAACATGGCGGTTTCTTCATGTCGGCACCTAATATTATATTCATCTTCACCACTTTATTACAGACATCTTCACTACGGCTATTCGTACCAATTCCCCTCAACCTTCATAATCCAGAACGCCACAGGCATGGTAGACTCATACCGTGAACTGTATCCAGATGTGGAAAAGTATCCCGGAGCATCATGGTCTACAGTAAACGTTGTCATGAACACTGTCGATTTCAACTACATGATTCGCGAACCTCAGGACCGTATCGACTTCATTTTATACAAAAGTTCAAGTGTCAAAGCGGTCAAAAGTGGCAGATATGCGGGAGATTTTGTCACTTATCCAAAAGACATTGTCAACAACGATTGGCCTTCAGATCATTATGCTTATATATCGGAGTTTAAGGGGTACTAATCACAATAAATTTGCATAATTTTGGTCAAAACTGTTAATATTAGGCGCCGACATAAAAAACCCGCCATACTTTTCTCGTAATTTACTGTAAAAAATGGCGGGTTCTTTGTGTCGGCACCTGATATCGTTAATATCATACGTTATGTACCCTTTGACTGTATACGTGACATACGGAAATGCACTTGCAACATTAAGTTTATGAAAAGCAATCAAAAGATACCACAGTGCAAACAAACTGTCGTATTTAAAACGCCAATTACTTTGGTTTTTGTCATTGCTATGAAAGGCAGGATTGGTGGAAGGTATGAGCTGAGGGGCGGTTGAGGTTTTTCAAAGAACGTTTTTGCTATTTAGGTTTGAGTAAGACTAGGCTTAAAAGAAGTGTGAGCTAAGCCTACAGAAAATTAGATCTAAGCCTAAGCTAAGCCTAAGCCAAGACTATGCTAAGACTAAGCTAAGCCTAAGCTAAGCCTAAGCTAAGCCTAAGCTAAGCCTAAGTGAAGCCTAAAGTCGAATTCAATCTAAGATTAAGGTTTTATGCGTTATAAAGAATTTTTTTGCCATTTCACATATGCAGACCAAATCAAAGTAATTTAGGCTTGAAAAACAAATTAAGTTGTTTGTAACTCAACTCACCCAACCCAAAAAACACTAGTTTGTAGCGTGTTACGTAACGCATGACGTTGTAACCGCAGTGGATTAATGAGTGCGTTCTCGATGCGAAACCAGCCAAGAAACCGGTTCGGCGGCGGCTCGCGGCACTTAAAAAACAATTTGATTGCCCGTGGCGTCAATGATGTTCTAGGTTCTACCAGGATGTAAAAACATAACTTTGATGGTTTTGACCACAATCTTAAGGTTTATGACATTTTTAATGATTTTTAAAATTTTTTTGATGTTTTTGGCTTTTGATGACAGTTTCATAAAATATGGCACGGTTTTGTTTTTTTAGGTATTTTGTTTTTGGGTTGTTTTATAATAGATCTGATAATGGTCAATTTTTTGCTTTTTAACTATGTTTACCTTGTTTTAAGTGCATTTTCGGTTTGTTATGCAAATGTTTGCACTCTTATCGTCATTTCATCAAAAAAAGTTTTTTTATATTCTTACTTGTGGCAATTCACGTGAGAGAATAAATTAAGCCTAAATCTAAACCTAAAGGTTAAGCATAAGCATAAGCTTAAGCCTAAGCCTAAGCCTAAGCCTAAGCCTAAGCCTAAGCCTAAGCCTAAGCCTAAGCCTAAGCCTAAGCCTAAGCCTAAGCCTAAGCCTAAGCCTAAGCCTAAGCCTAAGCCTATGCCTAAGCCTAAGCCTAAGCCTAAGCATATATTTAAATCAACTGGTTTTTTTCTAGCTTTTTAGGCTTATCGTCAAATTTTTAATATGTTGTTGATAATCACAATACATAAAATTTAAAAATCTACCAGTATATTTCAAATTTATTTCCAAATTTGTTGACACTAAATACGATTCATTGTAATCTCTTTTTTTATGATACATTACCCATAACAACCGGCTGTGTTTGTTTTCTTAACCAGTAATTATAAACAACACTATTAGTAACATAATTCTCACTTTTGACCATTATTTCAAAATTGTAAAGTGAAGGTCAGTGTTTAGTAGATTAGGTAATACACTGTTACTTCAAATCACAAAGTTCACTTTTGAGTATAAAAAGTGGTAGCAAAACATATTCTAAGCTTATGTTTACTTTAGACTTTACCTAGACTTAGGCTTACCTTAGGCGTAAGCTTAGCTTAGGCTTAGCTTAGGTTTACCTTAGGCTTAGCTTAGGCTTAGCTTAGGCTTAGCTTAGGCTTAGCTTAGGTTTAGCTTAGGCTTAGCTTAGGCTTAGCTTAGGCTTAGCTTAGGCTTAGCTTAGGCTTAGCTTAGGCTTAGCTTAGGCTTAGCTTAGGCTTAGCTTAGGCTTAGCTTAGGCTTAGCTTAGGCTTAGCTTAGGCTTAGCTTAGGCTTAGCTTAGGCTTAGCTTAGGCTTCGATTAGGCTTAGCTTAGGCTTAGCTTAAGTATAGCTTACGCTGTGTTTATGATTAGTCTATGCATTTAGGCTTAGTTTGGGTCTGGCTTAGGCGTGACTCTTTTTTTCTTTGAACTTAGATTAAGCTTAGCTTAGGCTTAAATTTAGTTTAACCTTGTGTTAGGTCTATGCTATATGCGTTTAGGCTTACGTTTAGGTTATTTTTATTTTTAGGCTCTTAGCTTTTAATACAATGCTTGTATCGAAAAATTGAAAACTATTTTTTACGTACTGTAACATTGTACTGTCTGGAATGAACAGAATTAAAAAGCCTTAAAGTACAACTTACTTTTTCTACTATAACTTTTTTTTCAAGTTTACAACGCAATTTCGCTGAATTTTGAGAAGCAATTTACGTGTTTAAAACGTTTCGTAAACATCGATCGGCTATAAATGATTGTAAGAAATTTGTTAAACTTTGTTACCGATGTTAGTTTCGCGGTTTTAGAATTGGGTCGAAACTATAGTCTTGGGTAATGTTAGCTGTGTTTATGTAGGTTTAATTACGGTGTGTATGGCTTTAAACTATTAGGTATTGATTATGTTTTTTGGGCTTTGGATTACTTGTAAACTTAAGTTTAGGTTTAGTTTAGTCTTAGGCTTAAGCTTAGGCATGGGCTTAGGCCTAGTCTTAGGCTTAAGCTTAGGCATGGGCTTAGGCCTAGGCTTATGCTTAGGCTTAGGCTTAGGCTTAGGCTTAGGCTTAGGCTTAGGCTAAGGCTTAGGCTTAGGCTTAGGATTAGGCTTAGCTAAGGTTCATGTTGAGTCTTAATTTTGAATCTTGGTCTTATTTAAGCTCAGCATTATTTAGGCTTAGGCTTTCTTTAGGCTTGGCTGTTCTATTTGTTCGTTATATTATCGATATGAGAATTCACAAACTTACGTCTTTTTCGAAATCACACTTTACAAAATTAACAATGATGAACCGTGATTACTAAACCGTGACCACTCAATTTCACCATTATATTGTGACCACGATAGCTATATAAATCATCAGTTGTAACCACTATACTTGTATACGTCACTTAGCTTGATTTTTCTGACCATGGTTGACGTGTAATTTACTAAACTAAAGTCGAGCTCTCAATGTGAGAAAAGACTTCCTTATAGGTAATAAGTAGTTATTTCTTTATTACAACCGAGTATTACTTAATGTTACAAAAATGTCTCACTTATCAATCCATGGTTACAACGTGATTTAACGTGCTTTTCGTCAATGTTTGTATTTCCTAAGACTTTACAACTGCCTGAGCAGCTTTTGTATATTGCTAATGAAGTAGTACTAGTTTGGACGGTTAGGCTTGTAGTGGAGAGGGAGAGGGGGGGGTGAGGGAGTTGGAGGTGGAGGTAGAGGAAGAAGGAGGTGAAAGACATCCTTTTTTTGTACTCGTACTGTAAGTGTTATCATAATATCTTAAAAAATTGTTTTTGTTGTTTAAAAATATCGTAGTATGTCTGTGGTATGTGTTTTTGAAAAACGTGAGTATGTCTGTAGAATTGATAACAAAAAAAATGTTGTTGATGATTAAGAAGCACGTCTTGAAAAACACGGTTACCGATACCCTTTTATCAAGTTTGGCTACCGTTTTGCATGATAACGTAGATTTTAGGTCAAAAACAATTTTTAAAAATAAAAAATTTATTATATAAGACTAAGACTAGTAAGCGGAAGCTTGCTAAGATTGAAAGCTACTAACAAATTGTAAGTTCGAGACTATTAAGCCTACGCCTACTAAGCCTAAGCCCAAGTCTACTAAGCCTAAGCCTACTTTACGTAAGCCTACTAAGCCTAAGCTTAAGTCTACTAATCCTAAACCTACTAAACCTAAGCCTACTAAGCCTAAGCCTAAGTCCACTAAGCCTAAGCCTACTAAACCTAAGCCTACTAAGCCTAAGCTTAAGTCTACTAATCCTAAGCCTACTAAACCTAAGCTTACTAAGCCTAAGCTTAAGTCTACTAATCCTAAGCCCACTAAACCTAAGCCTACTAAGCCTAAGCCTACTTAGCCTAAGCCTAAGTCTACTAAGCCTAAGTCTACTAAACCTAAGCCTACTAAGCCTAAGGCTACTAAACTTAAGCCTACTAAGCCTACTAAGCCTAAGCCTACTAAGCCTAAGCCTATTAAGCATAAGCTTACTAAGCATAAGAATACTACATTTAAGCTTAAGCCTTCAAAATTTAAGTTTATCAACTCTAAATCTACAAAATGTTATATAAGCCTTTTGGTTTTTAATGTTTTATAATAAATTTTACATAATTTTCAAAAATTTCAAATAAAATTGATTTTGCATATTTAAAAATTTCCAAAAAACGGAGATTTTACATAGTTTATGTCTGCATTTGATAAACCTAATCAGTTGTTTTTCCCCTCTGGAAATACCTTTTCAAACCCGCTGATAACGTAAAACGTAGGGTAGATGATATGCGTATTATCGTCATGTCAGTTGTTTTTTTCCATATTTATGTTACGAAATGTGCTGTTTAGTAATGAGGTTGTTTTTTGGTTCTTCGCGAACAACAACATGTTATACGTTAGGGTTGTGTGTTACGTTACATGTTTGGTTGTTGGTGAATTAGCACGGCTTTTAAGGTTAGTTTTGTAATATTTGTAGGAGGTTTTGCAGCTTGTTAGGTTTGTTTATAGTATTGATATTATGAGGAGATACTAATTTCAAAAAAAATTTTAAATACTTTTAGGCTTATAATTTGTTTTTTTAATGTGCCTATGTCTGCTAAGCCTATATCTACTAAGCTTAAGCCTATGTCTGCAAAGCCTAAGCCTGCTAAGCCTATATCTACTAAGCCTAAGCCTAAGCCTAAGTTTCACCCTGAGCGTAAGCTTAAGCCTAGACCAAGATGAAATTTTATAAATCTTTGTTATTTTAGGCTTATTTTTGCAAATAATTAGCCTTTTTATAATAATTATTGAATGACTTTGCTAATTACTTATAGATAACTTTGGAAAAAGCACTTTGAATGATATATTTTGATCGCTCACTTCATTTACTTTACAATAAAACCTTTATTGAGTAAATTACTTTTACTCGACAACATACTTAATATTGTCTTTTTCAAGACATTTTTGGCTCAAATTTTGATTTTTTAATAATATAATGTGTACTTTTTTGACTTTTTAGGCTTAGCTCTTAATTTTGAAGGTTTTCAGGCCTATTTTTTTGGTTTTTAGGCTTGTATTTTACTTTTCAGATTTTTCAGGCTTATAACGCAATTTTATGTTTTTAGGCTTAGTTTTTTAATTTTTAGGCTTTTCAGTCTTATTTTTATAGTTTTTAGGCTTATATTTTACTTTAGATTTTTAAGTTTATAACGCAATTTTTACTTTTTAGGTTTAGTTTTGAATTTTCAGTATGGGTTTAAGGCTTATATATTGTTTTTTTAAATTTTAGGCTTATAAAACGCTTTTAATGTTTTTTAGGCTTAACTAACAGATTGTTTGAGATATTTGATAATTTTTTGATTTTTTACAAGTTTTAAGCTTAATTTTAAAAAATTTCAATATTTTAGGCTTATTAATTTTTTTAGTATTTTTGGCTTATTTTTGGTTTTTACACACTTTTTTGAAAGTTGACCTTAAATATATATAACATATCACTATACGAACCCATATGCCTTCAAAAATTTGGCCAATTTGCGAAAAGCGAGGCCAATTTTCCGTATTTCGTGTCGTATTTCGAAAAGAAAGACGAATTTTCACTTTTTCGTTAAATTTCCGGCTTTTTATCCTCAAATTTCATATATTCGCGCGAACGACCTTCATAAATACATTATAATGCATTATATATCCTCAAAAGCCCTTCGTTTTCTTTATACGTGAGGAATTGGGTAAAGATGGTGTTGTTTATTTCTTGTGGGGTAAACTGGAATGTTTTTAGGGGTTTGGGCTTGATTTTAAGTGTTTTTAAAGGGGGGGGGGAATAAAAAAAAGTGAAGGGGAGGGGGAAGAGAAAAACAAAAAAAAGCGAAGATAGCAGGAGGAAAACAAAAAAGTGAGGGGGGGGAGAGTAATACAAAAAAATGTGATGGGGGGCGGAGACAAAAGAATTGAAGGAGGAGGGAATGAGAACTATTTTTACGTATAAAGACTAGTTTTAGGCTTATACGTTGATTTTAGGCTTAAAACTTTACTTCTAGTTAAAAGTGCAAAACCTTTTTTTCAAAAATTTATAATGGCAGGAACTTTCTTTACAATGCATAAAATGGCGAGAACTTTCTTTACAAACTACAAAATGGCAAGAACTTTATTTCCAAACTTCATTTTTTAAAAAATAGAGGAAAACCTTAAGTAGTACTATTTTTGTCTCGCCCTGCAGCCCAAATCACACGAACTGTTGCTTATCAATGTGAAAAAGTGTATTTTGTCCTTTTATTCACCACTCTCAGCTGACAGCCGTCTGTTCGATAAGCATAGTGAATAACGTGTTCGATAAGCCAAGTGTATAAGTTGCTCGATAAGCCTAATAAAACACTTGTTCGATAAGCCTAATTATGAAGTGTAGTGGAAGATTTGTAATGTAATTTGCACTAAAAATCTTCCACCATACTTCCATTTTTTAAATGTCTTAAAATAGCTTAAAAACACGTTTTCAACACTTTTTAGAAGTGGAAGTTGAGTGGAAGATTTTTAGTGTAATTTTCACTGAAAATCTTCTACTTAACTTTCATTTTCTCAAAGCCGTCAATAAATTAACTTTTGTTAAAATACTTGTCTAACGCAATTTATGAGTGTAATCCCCCCATTATATGGCCTGTATGCGTCACTGACAGCCGTTTAGTTTTTAACTTTCGCGCGTTAAAACCTAAATTTACGCGGTATTTTGTTTTTTACATAAATGTAAAGCTTTACAAGGGTTTTTAGGTTTTCTATTCAAGGGTTTTACATTTCAATTTCAGTTTAACGAGCGATGGGCCAAGTCGGATCACTTTTGTTTGGCCCAACCTGGGAGCCAAGTCGACAAGTTCGCGTGAAGACCGGTCTTGTTGGTGGCAAAACTTTTACATTCGAAAACGGACGACAAATCGACGCATTTTTGAATATACCATTTGCTAAAGCACCATCTGGAACTTTGAGGTTTAGAGTAAGTGGTAGATTTTTCGAACTTTTGAAAAAATTTTTTGAATTTTGATTTTCCCGCCAAAACTAAAACTTCAATTTAGGCTGAATATCGACCAAAAATGTTGTAACTTGATAAAAAAAATTTAAAATTCTTTTTATTTCTAAAAAATTTTACAATGCAAATCATGCTTTTTACACAGTAACTCCTACTGTAACATTCCAGAAACCCCTACCTCCAGAAAGCTGGTCGGGAGTACGAGATTGTACTAAATTCGGACCCAGATGCCCACATGAAGATGTCTCAATTGAGAAATTTACTACGTTTCAAACGAAAAGTGAAGATTGTCTGATTTTAAACGTATTTGCACCAACTTACGCTGGTCCTAACACCCCAGTCATGTTCTTCATCCATGGCGGAGGTTTCGCTATGCACTCTAGTGCTCACTATGGGGATCATGGGATCTGTCGGTAAGTATTATTACTGTACAAATGTAGTTATTTTCAATTTACATTGTTTATGTGAAGTATTGACAGTACCAAAGTCTAGTACGCCTGAACATGGCCCAATATTTGTAAACTTATTAGGTGCCGACATAAAGAACCCGCCATATTTTACAGGAAATTACAGGCAAAGTATGGCGAGTTCTTTATGTCGGCACCTAATACACTATACTTCTAACGTTCAACTACACCTTTTCAGAAACCTCTGCTTAAAAGACGTCATCGTGGTCACCGTGCAATACCGTCTCGGCTTCTTTGGCTTCTTATCGACCGGCGACGAGAACTGCCCCGGTAACATGGGCCTCTGGGACATGACTATGGCTCTAAAATGGGTAAATGTGAACATTGAAGCCTTCAACGGCGATCCCAACAATGTTACAGTATTTGGCCAAAGTGCTGGCGGCGCTTCTACTGATTATTTAAGCCTAAGTCCTCATTCTAACAAGTACTTTCACAAAATGATACCAATGAGTGGTACTGCATTGAACGGGTTCGCTATGAACGATTCGAGTCATATTAGGGAGAAAGCTTGGAATTATGCTATACAACAAGGTTTCATACCTCCGAGGAGTGGTAAGAAAGCAGTTTAAAAATGGAAGTTAGGTGGAAGATTTTCAGTGCAAAATACATTACAAATCTTCCACCAAACTTCCACTTCTAAAAATGTCAAAAACGTGTTTTTAGGCTATTTTAAGACATTTGAAAAATGGAAGGTAGGTGGAAGATTTTCAGTGCGAAATACATTATAAATCTTCCACGGAAATTCCACTTTTTTAACCTTTGGCGCACCCTGTATTTCATCCACTTCGATTTTTAAATAAAAAATTCATTTTTATTACCTAAAAACCTGTTTTTCAGCCTCAAAATTCGATCAAAACAAAGCCCTAGTCGAATATATGCAACGTTTACCAGCTTCGGCGGTCGAAATTGGTATGCTCGGACGTGCTGGCGTGAACGAAGGCGGTCGGTTAGATCTGACTCCAGTATACGATGGAGACTTCTTTCCTGAACCTTTTGATATTTTACGCCAAAAAGCACCGGCGAAACCTTTGATGACAGGGATTACGGAAGTGGAGGGGCTACTGTTCAGTACGTTGCTTTACCTCTTCATGCGCACCAGAATCCGGCGTCTAACAAGTCAGCGGTTGATTTTTTTCGTTTGAACTTGACCCCCGAGTGACAAGCTTTGCTGTGTGTTTTTGTGGTATAGGAAGTGTTTTAGTATTAGTACTAAAGTACTATGAAGTATTAGGTGCCGACATAAAGAACCCGCCATTTTTTACAGGAAATTACATGCAAAGTATGGCGGGTTCTTTATGTCGGCACCTAATATTTTAGTATTAGTACTAAGGTACTATGAAGTATTCTAGCATTAGCAATGTGGCCTTGGTACTAAAAGTATCGCAGTCGTAATACTAGGGAGTACTGTAGCTTTGGCCTTATGAATCACTGCACCTTCACCTATTAACAAGTCATCCGCTGCTTGCTAGCCGATTCTGAAGCTCAAATCTTACCCAAGCCTTAAATTTTTAAAATTTAATAACGTTGTACTTTTAGCGGCCATAAAACCGCCTCGAGGCAGCTTCAAAGAGGAAATTCGACGGCAAATTGTTTTTGATTTTCAAAAACGTAAAATTCATGATCCAGCCAGGGAGAAAATGATCTTTGACATGTACTTGAATGAGGTAGAAAAGAACAACAGGGATCAGTACGTGACGGCGTGTATGACGGTGAGTTTATAATCTTTACCCTACCCTACTCTATTACACTTTTCTGACTACAACCACTTTCAAATTTTCAGTTAGTATCCGATATGATCATAGCAAATGGCGTATGGGAGTTGGCCGACACTACAGTACGATTAAACAAAGGAGCACCAACATACTTGTACTCATTTGACTACCATAACCCAGACGGCTTTGGCCTAGCCGGCTTGATATTCCCATTCAAAGCTGCGACACATTGCTCGGAATTACCGTATCTTTTCGGCAAAGGAATTATCGCTTTGTTTAGACCAAGCGAAGCTGACAACAAAATGGTCGATTTCTTCACGACATTGTTCACAAACTTTGCCAAATTTGGGTATGTTGTAAAAAAGGCAGTAATCTTTTTTAAAGAACGTAAAATGGCGAAAACTTTCTTTACAACACATCAAAATTACTAAAAAACCTTCAAACAGACCAAAAAATATAATTTTCTGCTTTTCAGGGTTTTCGTGGTGGGACCCAGAAACATAATCAAATACAATATATTTTCTAATTTCAGTGATCCAAATGGCAAAGGGAATCCTCAAAAACGCTGGGAACCTTTATCCTTGGACGACCCCAACCGCTTCTACCATATTGACGTAGAAGACTCGGAGATGCGGACCGGCTTCTGCGGCGGTCGACCACAAAAATGGCGTCAATTTTTGAAGCCGTGCGATTGTGGCCAACGTGTGTGTTCCAAGGAGAATCTCAAAGGCATGGATGACAATAATAATGACCTTAAAAAGCTGGATAAAACCTTGGCCAGCGACGAAGTGACCCAGTTCACGTTGATCGAAGAGTACGCTGAATAATATGGTAGAAAGTTAGTGTGAAAACCTTTGTAGAAACTTAAATTTTAATGTTTTTACTGTATTATCAGGTTTGTTTTCCGGTTTTATCGTGGGAAAGGGTTTTTAAATAACATTGTAAATAGTCATCTTAATCGAGCCTATATTCGCATAGATAATTTAACTGTAAAACAATTTTTGACAACCTAAACTATATTTTTTATTATTTTAAACTTTTAAAATTGTAAAACACTATATTCCCTTGCATTATTGTACAAAATTTCTATATTACCACAATGCAGTAACTCAAAATATTGTTATTATACATACTCGGTCTTTACTTTCATCACTTCTTACGGTTAGTATTTTGTATATTTTTATGTTTTTAAACATTAACTATCCTAAAAGTGTTTTTTTCTAATGTTAATTGTTATGTAAATAAACATTATGTTAAATCGAGGCTTAATTCGCAGAAAAACGAAAATTCATCGATATTAAGCATGTTCAATATGAATGATAGTTCGTTTTTTGATCATAACTTGAAAAGGAAACAAAACAGCTTGTTGATTTATAAAATTTCAGAATCCTCATGAAATTCTGGCATTGAAAAAGAAGTTATTTTTAAATTTTAAGTTTCAGCTCAATACGCAGCCTGCAATTTTAAAGGGCGCAGTTCGGGATTGCTCCTTTTATCAAAGGTTTTTTTTTCGGTTCGCTGGTACCTTTGGCCAAAACCTTTGGTTCTTTTGATTGATCTTTATGATAACAAATATAGCAATCAATCCAGGTATAATTATATTCATTTATTCTAGATTTAACAATTTATAGACATTTAATTACTTTTTTCAAGCATTTAATCCCGTATATTTGGTTTTTCAGCGCACAAAACTGATATAGATGTAAGTATTCTGAACAACTATGACTGTAAATTACGGTGATGGCACTGGGAGGTATTTAAGTAATGATTTCTGATTGTAATTTTCTTAATTTAGGAACGATGCTTTACTAAATCCTGTAATTTACCAGGGAGATCATGAATAACATCGTGGACATTTTGGTTTTAGGTATAAAATACTTTTTTGAATGTAAAATTAGTGAAAAATAGATTTTAAATGATTTCAAAATAAGATTCCAATCAAAAAATATTACTTTCAAAGGCAATTGAGGCTTGAATTTCGAAAAATTTCAATTTTTCGGGGGTGGACCCTGAAAAAACCGAATTTAATCGAAAAGAAGTGAGATTCTGGAGAAAACCAATAGAAAACTTGACAAACTTCAATATTTAAATATTTTTACAATAAATATGGACATGTTCGGGTTTTCGGAGCAAACATCAGATTGAGGCAAACAAAGTTATAAATGAAACGTTAGTGGTTTGGGTAACAAAATCGAAAATATTAAGATTTTCAGGTAACAAACGAAGATTGTTAGGTAACAAACGTTATGATAAAGATATAAAGGCATTTTAAGCCTAATAACTATAAGTATTCTATTCCTAGGCGTATTCTATATACATGACTGTCCTTTGCGGTCGTTTCCATCAAGGAAAATGGCATGGTCAAGGTTTTGTTTAGTGTTCTTCGTAGTTGACGAGTATTATATTCGGGTTTCTCAGGAAAAATCGTGGCAAATGACGTTTTTTTGGCTAGACGGACCTTGTTTTAGGTAACAACATCTACTTCAGTTTTGTCAACAGTTTACTGGAGAGATGGCAAAGTCTTTCATCATCAGAGTAGTCTAAAACAACATTAGTTAGCTTGAAAAAACTAAATTTTATTTGTTAAAAACGTAAATCTATAGCTTGGTATCGATTTTTTAAATATTTATGTATATTATCCTTATAAATTTAGGTATAAAACCCTTACCTTCAACGTCGCTAAACTGCGGCGTAGCGGTTTCAACAGCAAATGGATTCAAGCTGGTCGACGGTGCCGGATTCTCGGCTTTTTTCGGTTCTGGAGGAGGCTGTAGCGCCTTGATCTTGATTCTGGGTATCTTCTCCGGCCGTTCGTTTTCATCAGAAGGTGATCGTGATCTTTGTCTCTTGTGCTTCTTGTGTTTCTTCTTCTTTTTTCTTGGTTCATCTTCGTCTTCTGGAGGCGAGGGCTCCTTTCTGCTTAGTTTTAGAGTTAATTTTGGTACTTTTTGGGCTTCTAGCTCTGGTGGTCCTTCTTCTTCCAGGTCCGGTAGTTTTTCGGGCTTTGGAAGCTTGATCTTCATCTTCAACGGCTTGATTGGTTCTTCTTTTGACATGTTCAGGCCAGACATATTCGTCAAGTTTACTCCAGTTGTCGTTGAATTGCCATGTGAAAAATTCTGTGAAGGTGCAGTCTTATTTAGTCCAGACATGTTTAACTTCAATTTTAGGCCTTCTGTCTTTGGCTTATCCACCTGTTGACTCAAATTCAAGGTTGACTTGGCTTCTGGCTCGAAAATGTTCCTTGGCTGGGTTCCACCAAACTTTTGAGGCAAACTGTTTGTACCAAAAGTGGCATTTGTTCCCAAACCAACTGGCTGACTTTGTGAAACCATAGCAGGCTGATTCATTCCACTTTCATTAGCTGGCGTTTCAGTTTTTGGGCCGAAACGTATCTTCAACTTCAGCCCGTTAGCCTGAACTGGGGTGATTGCTCTTCCCTGACTACCGTCCCAATTCGAAGGTCCTGGTTGATTTCCAGAATCCTCGTATTCTGGCTCCATTCCATAGTCGTCCTTCTTTTTCTTCTTCTTTGATTTCTTTTCTTCCTTGTGCTTCTTTTTCTCTTCTTTCTTTTGTTTCTTCTTCTCTTTTCTTTCGGCATCTTCGTCCTTTTTGGGTATTGGAATCTTGAGCTTCAGAGAGAGTTTGGGGAGTTCTGGAGCTTTGACTGGGCTTGGGGTGACGGCTGGTAGGGCTGCACCGGTTCTTTCTCGCTTCATACGCCATTTTAGAGGCATTTGTGAGGTTGAGCTCTGGAAATAGAAAGTTTTAGGCTTGTTTTTATATTATTATAGCTATTTTTTCATAAAGGCTTTAAATATTTTATAATTTCAGTTTAAAAATTAAAAAAATCACTCGAAAACTTACCGTGGTACTTTCATTAACTTCGCTTTTTGGCTCTACTCTACTAGGATCAGAAGCCCTCGGAACGCTAGGTTGTGCCGTGTTCTTCTCCAAATTGGCCGAAAACTTGTTCTTATCGGCCGTACCAACTGGTTGATTTCTAACATAGCCAAGCGATGACATTTCGACAGTAGGCGCGGTGCTCTTGCGCATCCCTTCGACTGCCGTTTTAAGTTTACTGTTGGTCATAGGAATGTTCAGTGGGTTCGTATCTTGTGGTTTTGAAGGTTGAGTGATCTTTGGAATCTTCCTCAATATATCAATATTGGCGGTTTGGAGTCTTGGAGATTTGGGTGGTTCTTGCTTCTGCTGGCTAGCTGGTACTAACTTGAGGCCTTTAATGCTGGTCTGTCTGGTATCTTTCTGCTCCTTGTCATTGACGTTAGCTTTCAGATGTTGTTGTAGAGCGGCGAAACTGGCTTGGGCTTGAGTTTGTTGATTACCAAAGATATCGGCCGGTTTTTGGGCCTTCGTCATTGGGTTTGATGACAAATTCAAAGCTGACTGTCCAATGCCCATATGTTGGCCTAGCTTGTTTGACGATGAATTTTTGCGAGATTCTTGGTTTAAACTAGCTGAATCTTTGGCCTGGTTTAGCCCTTGACCAAGTTGTTTTCTAGCCTGCTCCAAATCTTGCTGCTTCTTCAAAAAGTTGGCTTGGAATTCATTTAGCTGCGCTGTGTTGACATTGTTCAGAAAGTTTACTAGTCCTGAATTGGCTCCCATTTGGCTAGCTAATTGTTCCATCATCTTATTATTGTTCTGGTTAGCTAACTGTTCCATCATTTTGTTATTATTCTGGCTAGCTAATTGTTCCATGACTTTGTTATTACCAAACATGCTCATGCCAAGTTTATCGCCCAAACCAAAGCTGTCTTTCTTGCCTATCTGACCTAGATCCTTCTTCGAATCCAGCAAGCCAGCCATTGGATTCACGTTTTGTAGCCGTTGCTTCTGAACGTTCTCTAAGCGTTTAGACTGGTTCAGGAGATCACGAGGCAGCTGTTCTTCCTTTTTCGCTTCAGCTAGACGTTGTTGTTCGGCTTGAAGTCGTTGGAGCATCTGCCAATTCATATTCGGGTTTATTAAGCCGCCTTGGCTAGCCATGGAACTGATCATGTTGGTGTAGCTGTTCAGGCGTTCCATTTCCGACTTTTGTTTTGAAAGACGGTCTTGTTCGGCCTTTTGGCTAGCCATTTTTTCCATTTCTTTTTGGCGTTCCATTTCCAGCTTTTGCTTAGCCAAACGTTCCATTTCGGATTTTTGCTGGACTAGCCTTTCCATTTCGGCCTTTTGTGCCATTCTGTCGATCTCGGCTTGCTTTGCCATTCGTTCCATCTCCGCTTTTTGTGTTATTCTCTCCATTTCAGCCTTTTGATGTGCCATTCTTTCTTTCTCCGCCTTTTCCTTGGCCAAAGCTTCGGCTTTGTCTCGCGCAATTCGGTCGGCTTCTGCTTTTTGGCTAGCCAATGCTGCTTCTTGCTTCCGCTTTTCTGCTTCTTTCAATCGAGCTTGTACCAGCTGCTTTTTCAGAAACTGATCATGAGCTTGTTGACGTTTCTCTTGCTCTAACTGAGCTTGTAGTTTCTCCTGCTCCAACTTGGCACGTTTCTCGGCTTCTTGACGTTGCTGAAGTGCTAATTGATTCTGAAGTTGTTGATTTCGTTCGAACGAGCCGTTTTGGTCCATTAATGGGCCTGAATCGAAGAATGTCTCAATGTTCATAAGGTCATCTGGAACGTCGGGGAAGTTTCGCCGTTTTTGGAATGGTTGGTTCTGAGATTGGCTTAGGTTCTGGTTCAATCCTTGATTTAAGCCTTGGTTTAACGATGAGTTTTGTTGATCCATACCAATATTTTGGCTTAGATTCTCGCCTAGTTGGCCGCTCATTTGCATCCTATTCATACTGTCATTCATTCCAAAGCTTTGATTGGATTGATTCATCGAATTTTGGCTCGACTGACTGTTAAAACTGTCATTTGGTCTTGACTTCAACTGGCTAGGATGATGAAGTTGGCCAGGCCTTCCATGTTGACTTTGATTCATTTGAGATATATGATTCTGATGCTGTGAGCTCTGAGATATATGGGGCTGATGTTGAGATGCCGGTTGTCCCATGTGCATACCTACTCCGCTCATGATTCCCATTTGATTGTTCATACTCATTTGACTGGTTGGTACATTCATTTGGTTCATAGAGCTCATTCCCATGTGAGTTTGCATTCCTGCGCCCATTAGTTGTCCTGAATGAGACATCTGGTTCATATGTGATGCCATTTGGCCTGCTGATCCCAGTTGACCTATCTGACTTGTACCGATTTGAGTCATTTGAGATTGTCCTAGTTGGTTTTGTCCTATCTGTCCCATTTGGCCAGCTAGATTCACCGATCCTGGTCGGTTGATTTGACTCATGTGGCCAACACTAGATGGATACCCTTGACTGGCTGATCCAGGCTTTCCAACGGATAATGGATAGTGTGCTAAACCAGAAGAACCAGGCGGGGTATTAACATTTTGGCTTCCTGGAGTTTTGATATGACTTCTACTGGGCGGTGTAGGAGCATGAATTGAATGCTGGCTAAGTGGGTGCTGATTCTGAGTGCTCAGAGGATGCTGATTCTGAGAGCTCAGCGGATGCTGATTTAACTGGGCTAGATTTGGTGATGGATGGAATGGCTGAGCAAATTGGCTTTCCATTTGCTTAATCTCTTCGATTTCACGTTGAACATGTGCCAATTGTTCGTGGTCGGCTTGGAGCTCAGCTTGAAGTTGATTATTGGGAATCGAACTTGTTTGCTGATTCATTTGTCCAAACTGTACCATTTCCGGGACTGGAATCTGGTTTTGGGACATGAATTGTTGGGTACCAAAGTCCATTTCAGGTGGATTTTCCATTTCATTCGCAAATGGGTAAGTGGTATCGTCTGAAAATAAAAAAATATTTATTTGCCAATTATAAAATTTTTAAAACTCAATTTTTATGCATATTTTTTCAAATTTTACTAAAATCTTACCGTTTCCACTCTTATCCAAGTCATCACCCCCAATGATCTCAACATCTCTCTGTTTCGCTCCCATATTAACCATGCCGTCATCCTTCGTCTCAAAATCAGAAGTTTGATCTTCAGATTCGTCCGAACTTGAAGCCGCATTCTGTTGGGTTTCTTCTTCTGATTCAGAATCTTCGTCCTCATCATCGTCGTCCGAATCGTATCCGTAGCCAAATTGTGATCGTTTCGGCCGTTTTTCCGATTTTTTCTTCTCAATCTTTGGCGTCGGCGAGCGCGTTGGCGGATGAACAAAAGCGTTTTCATCAAACTCATTGTACTCGTACTGATTTGGAGTTTTGTACTCGGATTTGCGAGCTTCAAACGCCTTTTTCTTCTCAATAATCTCGTCCAAATCTGCCCCAGAGAAGACGACTTCTGATTCTCGAAGAAAACCTTCTAAATCACGTTTGGCTTCTTGTTTATCGTTCTCAAACAGCCGTCGTTCGTATTCTGAATCCAAGTACAGCAGCATGTTAATCTCATTACTGTGTTCCTTGTCTCCCAACGCTTCATTCATCAAGATTGTCCTCATTTTGTCTTCAATCCTCTTCATACCATTGTGCATGTAGGTATCGTGACGAAGCAGCTCTCGATCCACCTTTTCCAGATGCTCTTTGCTATGTTCCGGTTCATCTACTAGAGTAAATGGCAGTAATCGGTCCATAATATCCGGTAAGTCCTTGAATGGAGTAATATAGTCTGTTTCGTTCAAACTTTTCCTCATCAGATTGAAGAATCTTGTCACTCTGAAAATGATGTATATATAACACTGTAAATCAAAACTATAACTACAGCTCTTTAGAAACAACATTAAGCCTTCTAACAGAGACAATAACATACTTGTTCTTCCGTTGATCCATCTTCTTTTTGACCATAGCAGCCAGTTCCTTGGGGCTTGGCAAAACAACGGGCGGTGCCTTAATTGGCGATGGCTGAGCCGGTAGCGGCATGCCTGGAGGTGGACCCTGACCTGGATAGTATTGGAAGACCATTTGCTGCCCATTCTGGGCATACATTTGACCTGAAATTTTAAAAAAATTGTTTGATAACATTAAATTATACCTAAAAGTAAATGTTTAATACATTTTGCATTATTTTTTGTCTTTAGGCTTAAAAATAAAAGTAATATAATAGTTTTAAATAATAAAAACTGTAATATTTTATAACCGAGCTAATATAAAACCTTACCTTGTGGATTTTGGACGACATAAACCGGCCGACCTTGTGAATCATGCTGTAGCTGTTGTTGACGTTCCAGCTCTTGCTGCTGCTTTTTGGTCAATCGTTTTGATCGAGGCTTCTTTCCAGCATTCTAAAAGTCTGCATATTATTCAAAAAAACTTCAAAAATAATTTTTAATTGGGACATCTGTTACAAAGTAAAACTTGACACTTCCAAACAAAATTTTTTCTCCAAATTTTATGGAAATTAGGTAAAACTTGATGTTCCTTTGGCTCCAGAAGCAGAGTCATATACTTTTTTGACCAAAATTACAATAATATTCACTACATTATGTTATAGATCCAATTTAACTCACCTGCTGCTGTGGCTGTTGGATTTGTTGAGGGAATGGAGGTTGAGATTGATAATGAACATCTTGACGCTGAATTTGCCGTTGAATTGGCTGCGAATTCGACGGACCGGCTTGATATTGTACTTGCTGAGGCTGCTGTTGCTTTGGTGGAGGCTTCTTTCGAGGCGGTTTTGGCTTCGGTTCCTTACTCTTCTGCTGTTGAGACTTGGAATCTGCCGTTTCTTTCTCAGCTTGGGCAATCAATGCGTCCAAACGATTCGAAACCTCGATCAGCTTCTCTGGAGCGGCATTCTAAAATTTTGGTTTGTTTTTATTATTTTTTAAAATTTTAGGTAACACTCGATACAAAATGGTATGTTTTTAACCGTTTTTTGGAATTTAGGTAACAACGGATCATTTTACGACTGTTTTTTCATTCAAAAAGGTAAACCTTTATATATTTCTTCTTAATTTAGATAATAAACAACTTACATCAGGTAGACCAACAATCTCTGTCATAACAGATCCAAATTCAGATGATTGCTCAGGCGTGCTAAACCGAACTGACGTCAACGACATCATCTTCAACATGATATCGTCTTTGGTCGGCACTACAATCTGTTGAATCATTTGCTGAGGCATCATTTGAACCTGTTGATGAACAACTTGACCACCAGGGTATTGTTGTACAACTTGTGGGCCTTGCTGAGTTACCACAACTTGTCGTTGACCTTGTTGATTTATCACCATCTGTCCTCCCATTTGGCCTTGCTGTATGACCTGGCCTTGTTGAATGACTTGACCTGACTGGCTGACCATCATTTGACCTGGTGGACCAGACTGGCTAACGATAACTTGTCCACTCGGTTGAATGATTTGTCGTTGGTTGGGCCGACGATTTTTGTTTGGTGACATACCGCCTTGCATTGGTGCTTGTTGTCGTATCACCATGGGCTGTTGGTACTGATTTTGAACGTGACCTTGGACTACTTGGCCAGGTTGGCCTTGGATTACTTGACCTGGCTGTCCTTGGATTACCTGGCCTGGTTGACCTTGTACGACTTGACTCATTCCTTGCTGATTCGCCTGGAATTGATTTTGCTGTTGACCCTGCTGCTTTTTCGTCGGCTTTTTAGGCTTCGGCTTTTGTTTGTTTGGCGTTTCAGGCTTCTACAATGAAAAAAAATAATTTAGAGTTAAAAAATTGTAATAAAACTATGTTTTTGTTAACAAGTTAGTTACCAAGCGAAAAAATAGTAATTAAGCGACAAAACTTAGTTAGCAAGCTATTTATCTTACCGATTGGGTTCCAGACTGATCTCCTTGTTCACCAGGATTCTGTTGAACTATCCTCAAAGGCTGTTGTTGCCCATTCTTCACCATAACCACATTCTGACCTTGCATTTGAGCATTCGATGTGGCAATTTGTTGTTGTATGAATTGACCAGTCGGTTGTTGTGGATCTTGGTTCTGTGTTAAAACTAGTACCACTTTTCCGTCTGGCATGACTAGCTGTTGTGCTACTTGACCGGGAGGAATTTGACCTTGTTGCTGCATCTGCTGTACCTGTTGGCCTGAAAATTTTAGTTTGTTACCTAATTTTGGAAAATTACTATATTTTTCTCTTATTTACTGAAATTATCATTTATTTTTTAATTAGCATTAAAAAATTGACTCACCTTGATTTACCCGTATATTGTTCATGTACTGACCCTGTTGCCCTGGCTGGCGCACCGGTTCGCCTTGATTTGACTGTTCGTCGAGGTATTGAACTTGATATGAGCCCTGCTGATCCCATTGTTGATCGAACTGACCTTGCTGATAATACTGGACCTGGCCTTGGTCCGGACCCGTGTATTGTTGTGATGAGACTGGTTGTTGAATATATTGCACACCGTTCACTTCGTAACTCTGTTGATTCGAGGTGGACGGCTGACTTTGATGGATAATATTGTCGTGAGGTGGTTCATAACTCCCCGACTGATTGTAGCGTTGACCGCTGACACTGCCACATTCGGCTTCGACCGGCACGACCAAGTCGAATTCGCCTTGCTCGCTGGGAGGAACGTTGAGTTGGCCGCCGTTCTGGTATCCGGGCTGGGCGAACGGGTCCTCCTGGAACATGTGGTGTGACGGTGAAGCCTTGGGGATTTCATCGTCGTCATCGTTGAACCAGTCTCTGAAATAGGGTTTTTGATATAGGTATTGTATGGGTATAAGTTAGTGTTAGATTAGGCATTCTAAGTCTGACATAAGTAATATTTAAAACAAAACTTTGGTCAATGATAACTGAGAAGTTACTGCTTTTTTGAGTTTTAACTGTCTATGCGGGGTTTCATAAACCAAACCAGATCGATATATTATCATAATGTTCGAAAATGGTGAATCAAACTAAATTTAAGGGAAATTTCGTTTCGAATTCGGAATTCAATTTGTGAATCAACTTTAAAGGTCTTTGTGCTATTTTGAGTATTAGTCTCAACGATATGATGCGATATAGTGTTACCGCTTGGCTTATAGGGTCTTTCATATTGCGCTTTTTTATTTTTTAAAATTTTTTAAAATTTTAAAATTTAAACTTTTTCTGTAAATATTGAAAATTCAGTTTTATAACCATGTTTGATGTGTTTTGTGTTGGAGTCTAAATCAATTAGAGGTAAAAAATGCAAATTATATTAATTTATGCAAAAAATCAGGGCCATTGCGCTTCTCTTTAACGTCATTTTGTGATTCTTCTTTGTTTTTCAAATATCAGTCTTTATCATTATATTATGTGTGTCAGCCTTTCGTTTTTGTCCTGTACTCATTATATTATACTACTTACTTTAGGCTTTGGTATATAGTTTTAGGCTTAAGAGCATAGTTTAGGCTTAGGTACAAATTTTAGGCTTATGCGTCTCCTTCAGGCTTAGACACATAATATTAGGCTTAGGTACATAATTTTAGGCTTAAGCACATATTTTAGCCTTAGAAACGTAATTTTAGGCTTATGCATCTCCTTTAGGCTTAGTTACAAATATTTTGGCGATGTTGTTTTTTTGTCATAAACTATTGTGTCATAAACTTTTGTCATTATTCTGGCACCCTAAATTTTTTTTCTTTTTTTCCTACTCATTTCTGCTTTCATTGTTGCTTTTCTACTCCTCCTTACTGTTTCTACACCCTCGCCTCGCTCATGTTGCTAGTCTTTTTTTTGCGAAACCCATTCGGGAATCCAAACTCCGCCCATCGCATGTTTTTATAATAAATAATGCCTTGTCATGTATTCGATGCGAGTGCTCTCATTTTGTCCCCATTAGTTCAACGTCTGCTGGGGACTTGCGCCCCTTGTCGGTGGGGGATTTTGTTCTCCCCGCCCCACTTTGCCATAAGGCGATAGAAAAATGCGTTGAAGGAACGTAGGAAGAGTGAGGAACGGATTTTTAGGGAATTAAAAATGCAAAAAATATTTGGTGGAAAAAATAATTTTTGGTTATAAAAAGTGGTGACAAAGGATGGAAATGACGACAAAACTAACAAGTCTAATATAAAATTGAAAAGAAGACTAAAATCAAGTTAAAAATACTTAAAACATTAGGGTTGAACATTCACTTAATCAGAAATAACAAAGGCAACCGATATATTGAAAAATCAAAAATTACAGTGCAAAAAGCTATCAAACTACTATAATATAGAACAAATTGCTAGACAACTACAAAATATAAGGCAAATTGATAGAGGTTCAAAATATCGAGAAAATAGATAGAGACCAACAAAATACAAGGCAAAATCGAGAGAGGGCAAAGCACAAACAGAACGTCAAACGTCCAAAGAACAATGAACCCATAGACAATCGTCATTGAGAGCGTGATGCGTGCGAACAGCGCGACAAGAGTCCAACGGTCAACAACACGGCGGCGTGGAGGTCGTGCACAATAGCAACAGTTGTAGACGTCGAGATTCTGTAGACATAAGATATTGTGTAGACATAACGATATTCCGTAGATATCATGCACAAATCAAGATGTGGCGCTGAGAAGAAAAGATAGGAACTGAAATACTTTACGGACATGAAGACAATACGTTTGATAGACTACAGTAAACAGCATAAAAAGAAAAGAGAGTACAGTAAAGAAGATGGAAAGAAAAAAGACACTAAAGTAAACGAGATAAAAGGAAATCCGCTACAGTTAGGCAGACACAAAGAAGAAAACATACAGTCAACGAGACCCAAAGAAGCAGAACACAACGTTAAAGCACAAGCATACACTTGTAATATCGAGAGGGAGGAGCTAGAGATTGTAGTGTTTACTCAGTTTGTTTGGTTGTGAAACAAATTCCCCGCCGCTTTCCACCCTGCCTAAAACCGTCCGGCTTTTGCCCTCTATCTCACGGCGGTGTGATGTTTGTTGTCTCCCGAATCCACGCCCTCTTTCCAACGTTCTCTCCAATCCGCACGCTCTCTTCGTTGTCGCTTAACGCACGGGAAGAAGGAAAATTGAGGGGACGAGACGGGACGCGATGGCCACGCCCAACGCAACTGACTACAAGCCGTGGTGGAATGGCGGGGATTGTTGAAGCCGGTATACGGGGAGGGGGAGGGTTGATGGAAGGCCGAAAACCCCGCCCCGTTTTCGAAAAACCCTCCCACCCTCCGTATAACGTCGTCGTAGAATTTGAGAGAGCTGGGTGGAGAACAGAATGCTGGTCTGTTGTGTTCAGGGTGTGGTTGCTGTTTGCCTAGACTAGGACTTTTAGTTGGCTAGCCGACGGGGCCGCGCCAACTCGCTCGAAAAACGGTAGGAACGTAGGGAATTTTGCGATTTTTTCACTTTTTCGCCGGTTTTTTAGGTCTTTCGCTTGGTTTTTCAGGGTTTTAGGCTAGCTGGCGGGGCTTTGGACTGGACTGGATGCTTTTAAAAGGTTTATTATATGTTATTGTACTGTTATAAGCTTAGACGTCATTTTTAAAAAGTTGCAAAGTCTTATTTTCGAATTTTGGCGTGCTTTCAAGCCAAAAATGGTCTTTTGTCGCTACTTTGGTACTAAATATCTAATTCTTAACCATTTTGAGATTGTATACTCTAGGTAATTCTATTTTTTGCTAGATCATAGTAGTATCTACTCGAAAATGGGTTCTAATCCTGTCTTTTTCCTTTGTCATCATCCGCTTTATTTTAGTCATTCTTTCTTACAAATCTTTGTTAAATAAGCGTACGCTGTCATTTAGGACTACAACTTTTGGGACAAAACGAAAGTTGGGACAATAAAACGAGGTTCCTTTAGTGTATTGCCCTCATTTTCGGTTTACTGTATTCTTTTTAAAATTTTAGCCCTAATCCCTCTAAAATTTTCCATAACTGACCTTATTTTTTATATTAGTCCCTACTTTACCCCTGCCAATGATAAAAAAATTAAAATAACTGTCTTTCAAGTCTCCAAATTACTAATTCTAAACCAAACTTCCACCTACCGATTAAGTGTTTCGTCGAAATCATCGGCCATATCGACCGGGAATGCAGTTGTTCGCGTTACAGTCGACAATGTCGCACCGTTCTCCTTATCCGCATGCTTTTGTCGTTGATTTGAACGCCCAACACACGCGACCTTCTTCCTTCAGTTCAAAGTTGAGCGACGCTAATCGGCTTAAATTAACGTGGCCTAAAAATAGGGGATTAGTTAGGGAGGAAATCAAAGAATATTAACATTAGCGTACCCGTATAAGCGTGAACATTGAATGAGATTTGCTAGCGATTTGGAAAGGGTTTTGGCTAGCTTTGGGTAGCGAGGCGCCGGGGTAGAGAAAGGGGGGGTTGATGTAAGGTATAATAAGAGGGAAATGTTTAAAAATTGTTTTTTTAGCCCCAAAGTACCCATATGACCTTTTTTTAGTGCCAAAGTCCCGATGTAACCTTTAGCCCCAAAGTGCCTGTAGCTAAGCGCTCATTAGTATTTTGGACCCATATTACATTACTTTTTAATAAAAAAAAGCATCTTTTACAACCTGTAATTACCATTAATAGTAGGCTACTCTCAACTCTAATTATAGCCAAACAAGCCTATATTTTCATTCAATATTAGCTACAAAAATTTAAATTCTATGATATTAAGTTGTTCACTTACTTCTGCGCTCCCTCTCAAAGCTAATTTGCGGGGTTAGGGAGCGCTGAATTATGTGAACAACTTAATACATAAAATAGAATGAAAAGATTGGGATACCATATTATAGTACATCAAATAACCTTTTTTTCTGCAAAAACGTTTTTTTCAAAAATTTTGGAAATTTTTTTAAAAAATTATGCTAGAAATGCCATTTTTACCCATAAGACCCCATTTTTTGTAAAATTTTACACAATCTTATACCTAAAAATCTATTTTTCTTATTTTCAACTAAAATCTATTAAGAACACTATTTTTTCTTTCTTTTTCCATCAACTTATACCTAAAAATCAAATTTTTGACTCATTTTTCAAAATCTAATTTCATTTTGACCAATAACAAAAGTAAAAATAAATAATTATCGATCAATAAACAAAGAATTCAACCCAATTTTTCTTTCGAATCCAATCGTAAAATGTGTGTAAATTGTAGAGAAAAAGTTGTTTCGAGGTGAAGAAGGGGAAAGCAATTCCTTGGAAAGCTAAAAAAAGACAGAGAAAAGCCACTAGTGCGCGCGATCGTATGGCGTCACCAATCGATATTATAGTAGGTTCTTGGTGGAAATCAACGAAAAAATGCTTTGAGACTTAAAAAAGGGATCAACTGACTTTGGAAAATTACCATAAAACCTTAAAAAAGGTTTTAAAATTAAATTTAGGTTGAATTTTTAGGCACATTGCTTTATATTACAGCTTAAGTCTACCTTAAGTCTAAAATATCTTCATTAGCCCAGTTTAAACCTAAAATCTCTTCGTTAACCCAGTGTAAGCCTTATATCCTCAGCATAGTCCATGATAAGCCTAATATCTTTATTTCATACCATTTAAAGCCTAATACCTTTACGTAACAGGATAAGCCTAACATTTGTTTATGACTAGCCTAAAATCGTCACATGAGTCCAGCACAAGCTTAAAATCTTCATTTTCATTAGCCAAACCTAAAAATTCACTCCAAATTCCTTAACAATCGTTATTACAATATGCGAGTTACTCTGAAGTTATCATTGACATTGGTTAAGCATGTTTTGCGAATTATGCGGGTTTCGTGAAAGTCGGCTACCTTTATCAGCCTCTGCACTGCATTTTCGGAGAACAAAATTGCTGGGTTTGCAAATTGCTGGGATTTTGCTGGTTGCCCTAGAGCGCGGGAGGGGAGGGGAGGAAAAAAGAAGGAGGACCCCGGGAATTGCATTAAACAAACGCCACTGTGAAAAATATGACAAAACGTCGTCCCGCAGCGCCCCGGTTCCACTCTTTTTTTCGCTTTCTCTCCGCTCCCTAGCCGTCGGTCGCTATATTGCAGTAGGTAAAGGGAAGACGAGTCTCTCCGCTCTCTAACGGCCTACGACTCTAGTGGCTGGGCGCACTGCCTCCACGGCTACGGCAAGCTTCCTGGCGTCGGTGTGTGTTCGATTACAGCGCCGCTGCCTGCCGGCTGCTTTCTTGGCTGGCTGCTTTTTGTTTCGCAGGGAGTCATGTTATAAATAGAAGAGACTCGTGTTGATCAGGAGATTGTTCGGTTTCAGCCCGAAAGACGCCACTTTCTCGGGCGCACTTGATGAGCAGCGGGGTGGCATGAACGCACCTGGTGTGGACGTAGATGGATGTGTAGGCGCACTTTCTTTGACTTTAATGAAACTTTTGATGCATTACTGATAAAGAAACTGGCATTTATGATTCATGTGATGCAAAATCAGGGTTTTTTTCAAAAAAAAAAATTTTTTTTAAAAAACAAGTTTTTTTTTAAATTAAAAAAAGCTGATATTTTGTATTGTTCGAGACCGGCTTTGTAAGCATAGACATGCATTTTCATTCAAATTTTTCGGTTATTTAAGCACAATGACCATTTATTTTGTATTTTCTTCCAGCTATTATGGAAATTCAAATGATTTCCCACAAGCCTCAAATTTAAATTTTTTGAACTTTTAAAGCCTAATAAAGGGCATATCAGCTCATTTTTAGGTTTCAAACTTGGTTTTTCATTGTAAATACCGGACCAAACCCTCAATTTTAAGTTTGGTAAACTAAAATAACCTTTAATTAGTTATGGATAAATTAATGTAAAATCATACACACACACATAAATAAAAGCATTTAAAGCTGACCTTTTAACCACAAAGAATTGTTTTTCAAAAACCACTTTGATTTCAGGAGACGATAAGAGAAGACAGACGAAAACGTATCAATTCTGAAGCATGACAAGAGAAAATGATAAAAAAAGCAAGTAAAAACAAAAAAATATAAAACATGTAATGAAATAGCATCCAAAACGACAATAAAATCAAAAATTCAAATTATGAGAAAAAGCAAAATAAAAAAAATTAAAATTGCATTAAAATTCAAAATTTATTAATACTAAAACCACTTGAAAGTAAAGTTACACCCCAATACATAATACAAATTACAATAGAAAAAAAACGGGTTGTAAAAACACAACAAAAAAGATAAACTATAAACAAGAGAATACAGATTCGAAAAGATAATAAAAGCCTTTAAGGACCATTAGAGAGCCCCCCTAACTTAATTAGGTATAAAAAACACGTCGTCATTCGGGAAAGCCAGAACAACATCCGCACCCTTATTGCTTGTTGTTGCAAAAGACCACGCGGATCGATGAAAGCGATGACGAACAGAAAAAGTCTCCAAAAGAGCCGTAGAGACTTGGGGTATTGGAGAGAGTGGCCATAGAAACAACGGGTTTAGAGAAAACATTAGAGATCGTTGAAAAAGAAGAAAGAGGGCGAGAAAGGCATAGAAAAGCCGCTTTTCGAAGAGAGAGCGAAATATTGTTCGGTTTTAAGAGAGCGAGCGGGCAGAAAAAGTCATACAAAAGGCCGCTTTTTCGAAGAGAGAGCGAAACATTGCTTAATTTGAAGAGGGCGGGCAGAGAAAAACTGGCTGACATGAGCTGCCAGCCAGTTCTTTTGAAGAGCAAGCGAAAGACTGTTTCACTTTACGAGAACGGCCAGAGGTTCTATCGGTCATAGAGATTACAAAAAACATTGAATAAAAAGCCCCTCAGACTAGTAGAAACGAAATAGCACATAATTAAAGAGACACTGGACAACGAGATAAAATAAACGACAGCCGGCTGTCTTCACACAATGCAGCTGAATACGACCCCACTTTGCAGCTATTTTTATGGTAGAAGAAATGAATGTAAAAGTTGTAGTTTAGGGAGAAGATATAAAGTAAGGGTAGTTGATAATACTGTAGTGTTGAAAAATGGCGATAACTTCCTTTACCGAGTTAAAATTGCTATAGAATTCATTACAAAACCTAAAGTGGAAAAGCTGTTTTTACAAAAAAGGCAATAACTTTCTTTACAACACATAAAACGGCAAAAACTTTCTTTAAGGAACATACGACAGCAATAACTTTCTTTACAAAGCAATACATCTATATATAAGTACCTATACGTAACCATTATGTAAAAAAGTAATGGACGTAATTAAAAACCGCTTAAGAAGGTGTAACCGTGAACACAATGGCCCATCTTCATTTAAAGTGTAAAAGAAAATTATGACTTTGAGTGTTAATTTTGTACTTGTGCTTTTTGTACTATATAGCACTTTAAGTTTGATAATTTCATTTTAAAATGTATAAATATACCTGAGTGCTTTGTCCCGTTTATATTAGGTGCCGACATAAAGAACCCACCATTTTTTACAAAAAATTACAGAAAAAGTATGGCGGGTTCTTTATGTCGGCACCAAATACATCTTTTAGGACTTGATACTTAAAGCACGTAATTTTATGATGACAAGACTAAAAACAATTTTTTTATTTTTTCAAATTAACAATTCCAATAGAGTATGTCAGTCAGCTCAAAGGCCTTTGCTCTTTGTTTACAATTGGTTCGGCGATTCATTTTCTTTTATTTTTCTGATAATGGAACGAATTTTTGCACTTTTAAATTTTGAAAGATTGTTTTTTCAGCTTGGTCTCATGCTTTTTTGCTTCAAATGGTTTAATATTTAAAAAATTTAAATAATCTTATTAATTTTTTTTAAAAATCTAAGTGAACTAAACTTATTAAGCATAAGCAACTAAATCTAAGAAGCTAAGCCTAAGCCTAAGCAACTAAGTCTAAAAAGCTAAGCCTAAGACGCTTAATAAGCATAAACCTACTAAACCTAATTTTAAGCTTACCCTAGCATCAAGCTTATACCTAAAAATAAGCTCAAGTCCAAGTCTAAGTCTTAGCCTAAGTTTGAGCTTAAGCCTACGTTTTTATGTTTTAGATGCATCTCCGAAAGAGCAAAATTCAACCGAAACATAAGAAATGCGGCTAATAAGTCGTGACATTTATTGTTTTTCGCCTTGTCACCCGTACTATTTCTCGTCAGTGAAACACAATTTAAGGCCGAACAGTCAATACGGCCAACTTTATTAAAATTCCTTTTAAATTTGCAAGAAAATGAAAAAAAAAGTTGTATGGAGTTTTAAAAATTTTTCAATTTGCTTAATTCAGAAATGGCAATTTTTGAAAAAAGATTTTTAGCTTATGATAGTTTTGATCTATTAGTTTTTCGGAATCAACATATAATACTTTTTTTGTAAGTAAATGACTGTATAATCAAATTTGAATGTTTGGCATGTTAATGTTTTACTGTTAATTTAATTTTAAATACTCTAGTTTTCTAATTCAATCAAGTTTGTGCAGTTCTAATTACATATATACAAAATCAACCCCAATTTAGATTTTATTACGCTTCAGGTGAAAGAAAGTTCTTGCCATCTTATGCTTTGTAAAGAAAGTTCTTTCCATTTTACGTTTTGTAAAGAAAGTTCTTGCCATTTTAGGTTTTGTAAAGAAAGTTCTTGCCATTTTTTGCTTTGTAAAGAAAGTTCTAGCCATTTTCTGTTTTGTAAAGAAAGTTCTTGCCATTTTCTGTTTTGTAAAGAAAGTTCTCGCAATTTTAAAATAAAGTGAATATAGCGAACATTGGTCCCCATTGCTGCACTTATGTTTTATTCAATGCAACTGCGGTGTTTGAAAGAGAATAATTGTTGGTTTTAGGAATTAATTGAAAGGTTGCCATTAGTAACAACATAATTTCATATATGTTTCCAATAATGTTGATAATGTGCATCTGGACGAAGCTGGGGGTATTAAAGAATGCAAAACTAGTTTTGACATTTAATAGGGTTTAAAAGTTTAAGCTTATATATTAAAACTAAAAGCTTAGTACATATGTTGAGTCGAAGCCTGCTAAGCCTCAAACTAAGCTTGCTAAGCCTAAGAATAAACCTAAGCGTAGTAAGCATGAACTTATTTAACCCCAGCCTACTAAACCAAAGCCTGCAAAGATTAAGCATCATAAGCCTAAGCCTAAGCTTAAGCCTCAGCCTAAGCCCAAGCCTAAGCCTAAGCCTAAGCCTAAGCCTAAGCCTAAGCCTAAGCCTAAGCCTAAGCCTAAGCCTAAGCCTAAGCCTAAGCCTAAGCCTAAGCCTAAGCCTAAGCCTAAGCCTAAGCCTAAGCCTAAACCTAAGCCTAAGCCTAAGATTAAGCCTAAGCCTAAGCCTAAGTCTAAGCCTAAGCCTAATCCTAAGCCCAAGCCTAAGCCTAAGCTTAAGCCTAAACCTAATCCTAAACTTTTTGCTATTTTACGTCCAATCAAAAAATTATTGCCATTTTGCGGAAAGGTCCCTAAAAACCGTATGACGTCCTAAAATAACCCCCAGACCAAATCATAACATTAAGGCCGGTGAAACACCACATGTTGCGTGTTATGTTTGCAAACCGAACGTGTTTGAGTAATAAAAATGTATTCGTGTCAAGGCCCGTTGATTTTCGATACAATAAGGCGAGAAGCACGAGAGCGGAAGCAAAACTTCGGAAGGATGACAATTCCGGAACAACGACAATTTGGGAATGTAATGTTGTAAGGGTAAGGGGCTGAGTCTAAAGTTGACAAGCCTAAGTGGTTAAGAATAAGCGGTTATGAATAAGGGAGCTAAGCCTAATTGGACCGAGGCTAAGGGAAATCTAATTGGCTAAACCTAAGTTAAAACTAAGCAACTATGTTTAAGCGAGCTAAGCCTAATCGAAATAAGCCTACGTATGAACGACTAAGCAACTTAATTCAGAATTTTCGCGAATTTCGGAATTTTCAGGGCACGAAAAGTTCCGTCTCTTTTCAAAAATCCCTTTTTTCGAGATTTCAAGAGTCCAAAAAAGTCGTTAAAAGTCGTTTTGAATGAGTTCAATGTCAAGTTATAATAGAATGAGGTCAATCTATAAGGATTGAAACCAGAGTTTTACAATTCATCTAAAAATAAAACTAGGCTTATATCGGCCTAAAATTGACCTCTAGGACTGCTTTGAAAGGCAATTTTTAATATCAGGTGCTGACATAAAGAACTCACCATTTTTTCCAGGAAAGTACAAGAAAAGTATGGAGGATTCTTTATGTCGGCACTTAACATTATATATACCAAACTAACACCATTTTTTTAAATTTTCTAAATAAATCATATTGCAAATGAAAACACTAAACATACCATAATACAAAGCTACAACGTCACATAATCTATGATAACAATGAAACACACCTTCAAAATTAAAAGTTGTTCTATTTTATCAACGATAACATAAGTTTCTTTGATCTATCTCTAAAGGAGTGGCCGGAAACGTTTTAAACTTACACTATATAAGCAAATGCACATATTGAAAAAGTTATTTGGAAAAATAATCACTTCTTTTTGTTTCTGTTTATCTTTTATTTCAAAAAGTGATACAAACTATGTTGTACAGTATTTTATTGCCATTTTGATAACTATAGTACTATATATAATTACAAATTTTAATATCACACTATGTTTTCAAATCTACTTTTCACATTTCTACTATCACAAGCTACCCTAATATCATGCTATGACTTTCACATAAACATTACAATTCCTACCATACCTAACGGTCATCGTACTTTCATAGTAGACACACTACACACATTTAGTCACATGTTAAATGAAGACTCGTTTAAAGATATTGTAGGCAGTGACAATACCTTCAATCCAAGCAAATCCTACGCTTTTAAAAATAAATCAAGACCTTCTGGACTGACATACGATGTACCAAAGTATTTAACGGTAAAAGGCTATCTTGCCGAAGATGCTTTTGAAATATTGCCTAATAAAGGAGTTAGACATGAATTTGTACTGGGTAACACAGTAAATAATAATGAAGCGCTCAAGAGTTCGGATGGAAAGTATCATACTGGTCGACTGGGATTTGCTAGCGCTAGTCAATGGCGGTCGTCGGTGTTATATCAATGGTGGAGATATTTTGAAAATGAAAATGTTTGTTTGCATGTCACTGAAGACAAAGATAAGAAGTATGTTTTGAACATTGTCAAACTTATAAATCTCAATTTCAATCATAGTAGGCTAACCTCATTAAGTTTAGGTTTAGTAGGCTTAGGGGTAGAAGATTTAGTAGTAATAGGCTTAGGCTTAGTGTGCTTAGGCTTAGAATAGTTAGTAAGTAAAAATTTTATGGCTCATTATGTAAAATAACAACATATAAAAAACAGTCGCTCGCGAGAAAATAGAATGAGATTGCCGTACTCGCAGTAATTTATTGGGTCGTTTTACACCGAGGCAAATATTACATAAATCCATAAATGTTACATAATAAACATTGCGCAACAAAATTTCTTGCAATTTCTCTAAAGCTATCTTTTATATCGTCAACATTGAGTAACACCGCACAGATTTTGTGTCATTTTCTTTATAATGCGTAACATCGCTTGCATATAACAAAGTGGGTAGAGTAAGGTGGATTAAAGCAGGATAAAATAATATTTTTTGTTACTTTATCCTAGCTAAGGCATTAAATAAAGTAAACTAAATTTCAGTGTAAAGCAATCAGTGGTAGCGATAGGAGTAACACCCCCAAAAAATCGACTATTTCTTTCTTACAAAAATCCTCGAAACTCCGATTGGAACCGTGCTTACATAAGCGATTTCACCGTAGAGAGTAAGCCTACAAGATGGGCTAGCTCACAACTTATGATCGACTCAGCTAGCGACAAAATACGCGTGCCACGTTGGACGTTCGACCGCGCAGTAGAATTGTTTAACGCACAGTACGACAACATTACAGCCGAATACTATGTGCAATGTAACAAAGCCAAGTCACTTGGGTTCCAAATTTCTAATGCTACAATCGAAATTCCGTTTGAAAATTTAGTAGAAAAGCTACACGGTGACAGTAGATTCTGTAGATTATTAATTGGAAAAGTGGACTGGGATTTGATCTATCTTGGCATGCCATTCTTTATTAATCGAGGTGTTTGTATGGACCATTCTAAAGACAATGTACTCAGCTTGTACGATGCTGGATATAGGGAAAATAATGTCATATTTGATAATGCTGAAGAAAATGGAGCTTATGTCTGGCGACATGACTACTGACCTTTCAATATAAAATTTGGTAATAAAAAGTATATCATTGTATGTGTACAACCAACTGAAAAAAAGTAAAGTACCTATTAAAACATTTGACAATTTATTGTCAGCGAATTAATTCAAACTCCAGCGCAACAATAAAAACCCATAAGAATCCATTGATATATACTGTAACAACTCAATTTGCCATACTAAACGCCAAACCCATTACAATATTCACCATCCTCCATGATGACCATGTCCATCATGATGCCCGTAATGTCCGTGCCCAGCATGACCGTGCTCGTCGCCATGAGCATAACCATGATCGTGGCCGTGGTCGTCACCAGCCTCTTGACCGTAGTTCGAGTGCCATTCGTCGCCAGAAACATGGGCCTTGTGGCCGCCGTAATCCAAGCGAGCCCAGTCGGATTCGTCTCCTTTGTTGAAGCCGTGTTTACCGTGATGATCGTGGGAATGATCTCCGTCCCAGCCATGAGCATCATGGTTGTCGTGGTGCCAGTCCGAACCGTGACCGTGATGTTCATGGTCGTGATCATCGTGGTGGTGGGGTTCCCAGCCGTGGTGACCATCAAAGAAACCTGAGAAAGATTGATAAAAATGTCAAAAATTTGTCTTTGTTTTTTAAATTACATATAAATACATATAATACATATAAAAAATGATTTCCTTACCAGAAGCCGAAGCAAGACCCGCTCCAACAATGGCAACGAATACAAGTGTTGTAGAAGACACCATGACGATATGATGACATTTCAGCAGCAATCAACAGTTTATATACAAGAGAAGTATACGACATAATCAAGTAGGTCATAATGATGTTGTAGTCGTACATAATGCATATTTAAATCTAGTCATTAAGAAGCAATAACTACGCTATTAAAATTGCGCAACCGTGTCGCCAGACCTCGTGTAACTACAGTTTTTTAGTACTTGTCATAACATGTTGTAGATAAACCATGACCTGGTGTATGGTGATTCAAATTTACTACCGTAAAATGTATATTACTATTGTCTAAACATAAGTCTTCAACGCTATAAAAACATCATTATAACCTACGTGATTATTACGTATACTTCTCTTGTATATAAACTGTCGATTGATGCATAAATGTTATCATATCGTCATGGTGTCATCTACAACCCTTGTCTTCGTTGCCATTGTTGGAGCTGGTCTTGCTTCAGCTTCTGGTAAAACTTTTTTAAATTTTTTTTCAAATTCGTAAAATATTTTTGTCATGTTTTATCATACTCTTGCAGGTTTCTTCGACGGGCATCACGGATGGGAACCCCATCACCACGATGAACACGACCATGAACATCACGGTCATGGTTCGGACTGGCACCACGACAACCATGATGCTCATGGCTGGGACGGAGACCATTCCCACGATCACCACGGTAAACACGGCTTCAACAAAGGAGACGAATCCGACTGGGCTCGTTTGGATTACGGCGGCCACAAGGCCCATGCTTCTGGCGACGAATGGCACTCGAACTACGGTCACGAGGCTGGTGACGATCATGGCCACGATCATGGGTATGCTCATGGAGGTGAGCATGGTCATGCTGGTTACGGACATTACGGACATCATGACGGACATGGTCATCATGGAGGATGGTGAATATTGTAATGTGTTTGGCGTTTAGTATGGCAAATTGAGTTGTTACAGTATATATCAATGGATTCTTATGGGTTTTTTATTGTTGCGCTGATGTTTGAACTAATTCGCTAACAATAAAATTTTCAAACTTAAAATTTTCTAGTTTTTGAAGCTTTAAATACTCAAAGTTTCTACTTTTAAACCGTCTAAAATAATTTTATTTACTGGCAATATTCGAATACTGTTGGCGATAAACATTTTTGACATATAATTAAATTAGAGATCATTCACTTGATGGTTTTCACAGTCCATTTACACTAGTTTTCCTCAAATATTACACTACATTAGCATCATATGCGTACGCTGCCTTGTTGTGCATGATTAAATGATCATCCACAAAGTAGAAACTGTCCGATCGAGTTTCGAACGGATTGTCGATCATTTGTTTCACTAGAAATTTTTGAATTTTAAAAATTTTACTGGTAAGAAGTGGCATTTTGTATGACAAAGCGTGCTCATGCACATTTGATCATATACAATGTAACCTTTTAAATTTTAAAAGCTTAAAAATCTTTTCGCTTGCAAATTTCGCAATTTTTTCATTAAATTATCCAAAAAAAAATTTTTTTTAATTTGAACTTACTCATGTCATCGCCCAACTGTGGTATGTGATAAATATGTTCGCAAGTGTTCTTCGAATGCGGAATACAAAATCCAAATTCGAAATCGAACGATTTGAGCAGTTTTTCCTTGAAATAATGTCGTTCGATCATACGAAACTTATGGACCGGTTTGTCGCCCACAATAAACTCCATTGTCGCGCCCACGTTTTTGAGTTGTAAAAACGATGACTTAAAGTAATATCGGATGAATCGCGGTGAGAATGGTGGTTCCTCATCCGTTGTTTCCTCATCTGTGGCTTTCTCATCCGTCGTTTCTTCTTCCTCTTCTTCTTGTTCAATGTTGTTTAACTCTTCGGCTGTGGGTTTATTCACTTCAAACAATATCGTGTCTGTGTCAATGTCACGAATCTTGAATTTCGTGAATTCTATATCGTACACGTTGTCTTCTGAACGACAGAGGAACCCTGAAAAATGTAATCTTCATTTTCTGAACAATAATAACAAAGGGCCATGTGACTACTAAACGTCAGCCTACTTTGACTTTAGCCTAAGCATACTAAATTTAAACCTAAGCCCAGCAAACCTAATTTCATTAGCTTTACCTCATTTAAACAATTTTTTAACCTACACCTTCAACGTCAAATAAAAAAAATACCAAAAAGCCAAGAACCATACCTTCTGTAATCTGTCGCAGCCTCAGAACATCATCTGGAGTTATGTTATCCTTCTTCTTCAACTGCTCTTCCGTTATTGGTTCCCCGACCGGTGCTGTGGTGATTTTGGCAGTCCGTTGCTGGGGCTGCGATTGAGGTGAAGTGGACATCATTTATGGCTTGAAATTATGACAATATTTACGTTATATTACGGTAAGATGTTATGAGCGTCGTATCAGCATAGTAGGAATGTTGGTCTGTAAATATGTCGTATAATATATTAATTATAAAAGTGCAAAATCGCGTTAAATAATAAAAATAATCAATAGACAATATATAATAAGGCATTTTATGTCATTAAAAGTCCTACAATAAAAGATATTGTCACTTTAAGTTCTGTAAACAAAATTGTTGTCATTGACAGCTATGTTAAGAAACATCTTGCCATTTATCGTTCTGTAAAGAAAGTTCTAGATCAAAACATCATTTAAAAAACAAAAAATTTATATTTAACCCTTAACAAGTATAATATGCGACATTAAGCCCTTTGAAAAGCCGTTTTCAAAATAAGAAGACAACATGCCCTTCTTACATATGTATGGCTTCTAGATAAAAAAGATAAATGCACGAAATTTGTTGTAACAAGCAGATTACATCGTGAATTTAACCCATAAATAACAAAAAAAATAATTAAGCCATTTTCCTGGTTAGAAATTAAGATTTTGACTTTAAAAAATAGCAAAAATTTAGTTTACAAGAAATAAAATAGCAAAAACTTTCTTTACAGAACATAAAATGGCCAAAAAATCTATTAGATTAAAAAGCCCACAACAAGCCTACTTCACAATTAAAAAAATGCTTTTTTTTACTCATGAAACATCAGTGAAGAACGTCCCTAAAACCCGAACACAAACAAGACCAGCTCAAAAAAACCCGCGAATTTCGTAACCAAATAGTCTGACTAACACAACCGGCTGACAATACGACTTAATCGTGTTAGAATATTTGTAGTAACAAAAACAAATTTCTCGATATAAACAAGAAATCCCCGCTCATGAAGAGTTAAATTATAGTAGGGCTTCGAATAACAGGGTTGGAGGCTTTAATTATAACGTGATGTTTGGTAGTGGAAATTGTATGTTGAAAAAACATGATTGTAGTACGGTTATTTTCATGTGATATACCATAACAGACTTATATTCGTACAAAAAAAAATCTTAAAAATTGGAATTGTCAACATGACTAAAATTCCAAAAAGCGGTTTAAAAGTTTAGTAGTTCTCCAATGTTTTACAAATTAAACGTCAATTTAAAAAATTAAATTCTTAGAGATTCCAAGAAAGCCGTTTTAAAAATAGAAGACACTAAAAGTACGTCAAAAACCTAAAAAATACACCTAACAACGCACAATTCAAGCCTAAACCTCCGAAGCCAAAGCTATTAAACCTACGCCGTCTAAGCCTACTAAACATAAGCCTACTAAGGCTAAGTCTAACCACCTAAGCCTGAGACTAAAAGTCGAGAAAGTATGATTTAAATCGACCGAAAAATCATAATAAGTTCATACTCTCTTAAAATTTTTTTTAAAAACTCAATTTCCCTCAAGGATGCCGGGAAAAGTCGAAAGAAATTGAATTGAAAGTTATCTTTAAAAGCCCAAAAACCATTTTGTTTCATGGCAAGAGGACTTAAACCGGCCGAAGAAAACACTTGTTGAAAAAGGCAAAAAGTAGACAGCTTATGACGTTTCACATTGATATTTCCTTTTTTCCTATTCATAGATTTGAGAAATCAACCTCAATCTTGGCCAAAACAATTAAAAATCTTCTTTTTTACAAAATTCGTTTTTCAAAATTTTAAATTTTTGACATTTAACGTCACAAAATGCCAAAAATTAAAGAAGAAACGTCGCGGAAATGGCAGTTCGAAGCAATTTCTAGTCAAATTAGAAACGTTTTCCTTAAATTAAAGCTCGCATACGACTTTCAATTACGAATTGAAAGGGAATGTCTTCCTTAAATCGTTCTAAAGATGTTTTGCAAAGTTACTCCTGTTCCAAAACAACATCTTCCACTAATCATGTGTAAGCTCAATTTTCTTTACAAAACGTAAGATGACCAAAACATTTTTATAAGACCTAAAATGACAATAAATTTTTTTACAGTATGTGAAATGACAATAACATTCTTTACAAAACCTAAAACTACGCAAAAATCAAATTCAACCCCAGATATAGCCTCATATTACACACAAATCCTAATATACAAATCAAAAAGTTTAACAAAAACACGCTGTAATAATCAGATAGTTTGTTAAATTCCTGTTAAACCTAAACCATATAATTACTTCAACGACATTTACCTACAAAAGACTATAATTAACAACCAAATGACCCCCTCGTACGTAGCGCGAAATTTAAAGTCGAAGCCAAACAAGAAAATCTGCGTTCGTTTCTCCATGGCAACGTGCTGCCGAGAATACTTATGTACGTACTTGGCATCAAATGTTATTTTAACAAACGTTCTCCGAAAAAAACGATGGTCATTAGAAAGGGAGAGTGATTAAAAATGATGGAGAGGATTTTGTTGCTAAATTAGACATCAGAGTATGATCAAAATTCAATTAGTAAGAGCCCCATGAAGCAGTTTTTCCCCAGAGGGACTGTATAAGCACAGGTGAAGAAGTAAAATATAAATTCTTTTAAAAGATTTTAGATTACAGATCTTGAGATATAAAATTCTACTTCAAAATTACAATGGTTATTTAAAAAAATCCAACCAAGTTTGTTTATAAAATTCGTTCATACCACCCAAAAATACTTGTACACAACAAACCAAAGCCGAATGACCAGAAAACACAAGTTTTTATTTTTGTGCATGCAAAAATTCAATTATAAGAGTCAACAAACAAAACGCGGTCAAAAAACGAGTTCTTTTAACGAGTAAACACTCACAATTTAACATGAGGTATGATTAACAGGTAACGTGAGGTATGAGTAAAATGTAAACATAAGATATTGCTTTAATAATGGGGTAAAAACAGGTGAAAACAAGGCTTTGGCCGATGGTCTTGTTTCATTTATTGTTGAAGGATATTTGGCCGTTTTAGTAAAACAAACAACCTTTTGACAAGATTTTAGGTAACAATAAATTGTTCATTTAACACCTTTTTTCAGTAAAAAACTGGCGTCATAGTTACCTAAACCTCAAACAAAAAAAACAAAAACATACCAATGTCAATATATTTCTGAACTGAAGTGGTATAAGATGCCTAAATTTTAAATACCAACATCCGCAGATATCCATTTTTTGAAAGACGCCTAAAGACAATTAAACAAACAGATAAACAATCACTCAAAAGAATACAATAAAAATATACAATTATATGTATTTTTGGACAAAAATATTGTTATTTGTTCTCTAAACAGAAAGTTTTACTTAAAATTTCAGGCAAAAAATCGAACTTTTGTCCATTTTGAGTGAAAGTCCCCCGTTTTCCCTTCATTTTTCAGGTGTAACCCATAAAAATCTATAAGATTAGACATTTAAAAGTAAACTAAAAACAATACCCTTCAGATTCTTACGCATTCTTTGCAGTTTCGACCACAATTTATGCGCGAAATTTGAGGAATCTCGCTTCGAAAAATCTGCGCAAAATTTATTTTTCCCAATTCATGGTTTCCGCTTTTTCTTTTTTCTCTCCTCGAAAGCCTTATTCGGGTCGAAAAACATTTTCGGGGATTATTCTATTCGTAAATAGCCGTTTCGTGCAAAATTGGATATGAGTTCGAACTTTGGTATCGTTTACATAGGAATTTGATTCATTGAAATGGCGGTACTGGTGAGTCTTAGGTAAAACTAAACTTTAATAATGCTCAGTTTTACAATGATGCATCCATCACATTGTTCAAACAACAATTTTTTTACAAACAAAATTTAAAGGGTAAGTAAACTGTGCTATAGTGAAAATTTTAAAACCTTACCGTTTTCAAAATGCCGCTGGCAATTCCTTTGGCTTTATTATATTGCAGTTTACCTGTACCAATAAACATATAAAAACTAAATTTTTACACTTTATTAGCAATTTCGAGAACACAAAATAAAAATAGTGGCCATGAAGAGGGCTGTAAGAAATCAGGGTTGGGCTCTGAAGAGGGCCTTTTGAAACCTTGCTTCAGAAAGACGGATTATTCCAGATCGGCATCAGAAATCGATAAGATCAAAAAATGTAAAAATTGAAAACAGTATTGGGCAGCGATTTTGAAAATTGTGTGGTCAATTATGAATATCATGATCCCGTAAATGATGACATCCTGCCACCAAGGCCGTTCCGCCTCGAGAAACGTGTTGACCATCTTCACTTTAGACCAACAGTATTCAAAGAATTGTTTGCACATTGTCCTTGTTCTTAAAATAAGCAAGTGGATAGAATTCATATTAGCAAAAACCACAAAAAATAAAAACACTTACCGGTACCACTTTAATGGTCCAACAACAACAATTTGATTTAAAGCTTCAGGCTGTTCTCCGGGACGTTCTTGTTGGACAGAATGCAAAGGCAATTCGTGGCTCGGTTGACCCATTTTTACGCTAAGACAATATGATTAGTTTTAGAAGAAAAGTTGATAATTCAAATTTTATACCGCGATATAAAGTCTGAAATTAGCGTTAAATATAGATAATTAAATAAAGAGTATTTTAATATTTATTTTTACCAGAAAGAAACAATCGAATATCAAAATCAAGGTCTAAACATAAGTTTCTAATGTAGCGGGCAGTTTAGCCTTTCCCGATTCTTTTCTAGAGCAGTCCAAACTAATACAAAGCCAAACATCACATATAACACTTTATTGAGGAGACGCCTATAGTAAAAGCAACCGACCTCTATACGACGATATCGGGCTTGTTCGCATTTTCGGGCAGCACATTTTTTTGCTCTCCTTACACTAGGTATCAGTTTCCGATCAAAAATCCATCCCTATATAAATCCAAAATTATATAAACAAAGTTAAAGCCTATTCTTATCGTTGCTTATAACACCACGGAGAGCTTGCGATCAGCACGTTTGGTCCACTTTTAACAAAAAAGGAACTCAGAATGGCGGTCTGCGTCTATAAGACTTACCAGACCAACGGGGGCCCCCTTATGGCCTAGTCACTGCATGCTCTATAGAGCCCATTTATAGCAGTTTGAAATTTTTTGTGCTACTGGAATTCGATTCGGCTCCACTGTTATAAAAAAATATTTTAATAAAAACAGGTATTTATGCTTTTATTCTCCTTTAAAAACTGGCGGTCGTTTTTCGGAAAATGCTGCCAATCCTTCCAGACGATCTTTTGTATTGATGACTTGGGCATAACATTGTTGTTCAATGACCAATCCAGTCCGCAGATCAGTTTCAATTCCTTTGTCGATCGCTGTTTTGGCTACACGAATGGCTACTGGGCCCTAAAATACGAATATTTAAGAAATTATAAACGAAAAAGTAAAAAAAACTTTGATTTTAAAATTTCAATATTTAAAATTCATACCGTTTTCAAAATGTCGCTGGCAATTTCCTTGGCTTTATTATACGGTTCGTCTACACAATGATTAGCTAGGCCTAACTTCACAGCCTCGGGTCCAGTTACAATTCGACCGGTAAAAATCAGTTCTTTGGCCAATGCAGGGCCAACGAGTCTTGGCAATCTCTGAGATCCACCGGCTCCCGGGATAATGGCGATTTTGGTTTCTACTAGGCCGATTTTTGATCTTGGGGCTGAAACAGGGATACTGTAAACGAAAAACTAGATAAAAACACGAGACCTCATAGGCCAAATCAGCCAAAATGCTCCAAATACCTGAATACAACATCTAAAACGTGATTGTCAGCCGAAACTACTAAGTGACTTACATACAACCCTAATGTCGCAAGCCAAAGCCAATTCGAAGCCACCGCCCAATGCGAATCCATCGACCGCAGCGATGACAGGTAACGGTAAGGCACTGACTTCATCAAAGGCCGATCGAATCCCATCCACGAATTTCGGAACTTCATGTTCAGGCATTGTTTTTCGCTCCTTCAGGTCTGCACCAGTACAAAAGGCACCATCAACATCGGACTTGATTATGAGTACTCGGGCGGATTTGTCAAATTTTAGTTCAGCCACTGCTTCACGAAACTGAAAACAAATTATCATTACATTTTGTCGCCCAAACTTCATTTTTACCTTTGATAACATCAGTTTGGACAGAGCATTTTTGGTGTCGGGCTTATGTAATCGAATCACTCTGATGCCTACAACAATATTATTATACAAATAATCGAAAAATAGGAAATTACCTTCATACTTTCCATCCAATTTATCAACAGTCAACGGAGAAACACCGCTTGAATACCATCTACTTGTACATGTTGGAAATCTGACGACTTTAGGAAAAAGCAGAAGTCTTGTCGCCATAAGGAGAGTACAGCTTAAAAAATTAGTTTAAATCACCAAGTGTTAACACTAATAGTATTTAGTGATCAGTACCTAACACTGATAGTATTTAGTGATTAGTACCGCTGATAGAAACAGCGATAACAAACGCCAAAATAATGAAAAAACCAAAAGATAATTAAATAACTTTTATTATCTCACCGGTTTTGTTAAAATTAATATAACACAATAAATTATTTCGAATATGAACAATAATGAATAAAACATCACAATAATAAACCTAAAAATCTATATGAATTAATATGTTCAATGAGTTTCCTATTTTGTATTGTTAAATTAAAAAAAATATTCCAAATAAAATAGAAAAACTCTGCAATAACGTAATATCATATATAAACAGCCTATATTACTAAGATCACCCCTAATATATACCATTTTCATGAAGATTTAAGTGTAACTAATATCTCAGCAGCTTCTATTGTCGTACACTGACTGTCTTTGCTTTTTGATCTTTCACCCCGACCAGTAGAAATATTTTTCTCATCTACTTCAACATTTGATATCGTCCTTTCATCTACTTCATCAATCGATATTGTTTTGTCACCGCCTTCACTATTTGACAATGTTTTTTCATCCACATCCATTTGTGACACAGTTTTCTCACCTACAGCCGTACTCTTTGAGGCTAGATCAGTTTCAGTTTCATAATCAGCATCATAGACCATGTCGTTTGTATCAATGGTTTCAGAATCCTCATCCATCGTGTCGAATGAACTTTCCAACGGTCCTTCCGACTCCAATGCCAATTTCAGTGCACATCTGCGTAAAACCTCATATTGGTCCACGTTGTGGTCGATAGAGCCGTACTTTTGGTACATTTTGGTTCGTTCTACTAAGGATTGCGTTTTTACAAACTTTCGGTCCTGAAAATTTTAAATTTAATTAAGTTTAAACTGTTTGAATTTGCTAATGTTACTAATTCTACTATAAATACTGAGAAGCTATTACATCTAAGCCTAAGCTTAAGTCAAACTTTTACTCAATGTAAGCCTTTTATGTTTAAAACTTCACATTTTCAAAACTTACAATAAAATTTTCAACATGGCAGGGACATCGCCATGCATATATCCTCCTAGCCGCTTCTGGCTCCAACTGACAATCCAGATGGACAACCAATGGACAGAAATAGCACTTATTGTAGTATGGAAATATCACTGGTCTGAAAATAATTAAAATTAGCACATTATTAGGCCCATATCCTTGACTTCACAGCCAAAAAACAAGTTAGCCGAAGCGCAATGGTTTTAAAATTTAAATTACCCTAATGTTTACCTTCTACAAACATAACAATCGTTTTCTTGGTCCGGTCGTTTTTTGCGGGTATTCACCAGCTGATCACCTGGCCAAATCTTTGGTATCTTGATAACTTGGTCTGTGACACTTTTCGGTAACGTAAATGGTTGTTCTTTTACCGTCAACATTTTTACACACATTTCGTGGAAGAACTTAGGTATTGATTCGTCATTTTCTTCGCTCCTCTAAAAAACTTATGTTTAATCAAAAACGACAAGACTTCAAATTTGAATTCAAACAAAAATACGTTATTGCTTTAAAACCTTTAAAAGCATACCTGTTTATACTTGAATCCTTCCGAATCATTGGCCAAATTTTGTAAAATTTTGCATTTTCGACAAAAAAACGCTTCTTTTTTGTTACCCTGGATCCTTGGCCAATGGCATGTAGCATGAAATACTGATGGACAACCATCACAACAGTATATTAGACCGCCTTGACCACAAGTCTCACATTTGTTTCGATTTCGACGATTCGTGCGCTTCTCACCGGATTCCGCCGTTGGTGATAAAAATTTAAGATTCCACTGAAATTACATAAACAATTTGTAGGTCATATGAATTAGGCTTAAAAATTATCATTACCAATAAAATTGATTCAGCTTATAAATGCCTTTATGCTATTCCCCAGATAACTTTGCTTTTAGTGTAAAAAACCTTCAAGTAGACCAAAGAACATCCACTCTTAGTAAACAACACGTTTTGACATCTACTTATTACCCAAAAATTTTAACAAATCTTCCATTTTTTCACTTTTTAAATTAAAATCCTGCACTTACATCATCACTTTTGTCCTTTTTGAAAAACTTATTTTGTTTCGGAATGGCTCGATCTTTTCTCAGCACAGGCATGTTAATATCTTCTTCATCCTCCAGTTCGAATATGAAATCTTTCAAAGTTCCTTCGCTTGATGATGGTCGAGGATTGTCATCGATCGTTGTTGGCGTATTCTCCGATGGTGATTTTGACTCGGAACTCTTCATTATAACCTATTAAAACACCATTTTTTAACTTTTTTTTCAAATTTAAAAGAATTTTTGTTTTTAAATGCCTTTGACCACATCCATATATTTATGTTGGACAATAACCACTAAAGCCGTACCAACAAGTCAATTTTTATACATTTATCATTAAATTTACTGTACATGAAGATCACCAACAACAAACGTTAGTAAACATTAAACCTTAACAATTATAATTTTTACCAATTTTAAAATAAAACTATAAAAATTAGTCCAAGCAGATAATATCGGAATCTGAATCCGAATCGTGAGTTGGTAAAGGTCGACTGCCATGTTCTTCATCGACATCATCATCTTCCTCATCATATACGTCTTCATCAATTTCTTCTTCGTCATCAACTGGTTGTTCATCATCAACTGATTGTTCGTCGTCTACCTCTTCATTCTCTTTTTGCTTATACTCAAGTTCTTCTTCATCATCAAATGATTGTTCATCATCTACCTCTTCATTATGTTTTTGATCATCATCAACGGATTGTTCATCATCTACCTCGTCATCTTCTTCTTGTTCGTCATCTTGCCGTTCGTTCTCGTCGCCAGAATCCTGTTCGTAAAATCTTCTATGCTTCCGCCTTTGAACATCCAGATCTTCATCTTCATAGCCACCCTTTTCATCCTTATATTCAGCATCTTCATCGCCAAAAACCATGATATGTTGTTGATCACCCTGAGCAGCATCATTGAGTTGTGGTGGTTGAATAGGTTTAACGTCTATTTCTCCATCATTCTCATTCTTAATATTCTGCAAACCCAATTCTAAATTTGCGCTTCCTTCCTTTGAATTTTCGTCCTGATCAGAATCGCTTAACATTACTACAGAATCGGAAGACTCATCAGCGTATGCTTGTGCTGGCGGAGGAGATAATGAAACATTGACTTCATTTTTTAACAAATCTTCATCAATAATCAATTGTTGATCTATATCATCCTGAATAAAATTTGGAGATAATTCAATATCATTTCCACCTAATACACTGTGATTTTCTGTGACGACTTCTTCAACTTCAATGTTAACTTTCTGGCGTTTCTTTGGTATATCATCTTCTTCACCTAGTTTTTGTTCTTTAAATTTCTGTAACTTTCTCTTTAGTACAACAGCAGTCTCTTTACAAATTATAGGGGGTGGTACGTTGAATTCGACACGTTTTCGCTGTTCTAAATCTTCTTCATCCACAAAATAATCCGATATTTCAGAGTCCGAACAAACGTCTAATTCTTGTATAGAAGATGATAGTTCTGATTCTTTTGTCGTTCCCTAAAGTTTATAATGTACATTATATATATTAAAAAAATGTAAACAATAAACAAATGTGCTTTAAAATTTCAAAAATTATCAAATTCTTTAAAAAATTTATACTTCTATTTTAACCAAGTTTCCTTCATACCTAAAAATTAAAAAAATAACAAAGAAAACACTTACCTCTGCAGTAACATCATGAGAAGCATCAGCCGACAAACCCTTAAGCATATTTAATAACAAATCTCTATTAATATAGCTAGCTATGGCCTTTAAATTCCAATCCGAAACCTTTCACGTAGTTTTCTTGGTAAAAAAATAAAGAAGAATAAATAATTTTTTGCGCAAACTGCGAACCTCGGCCGCAGATTGGGAAATTTCGTTCTTGTTTTTTATTTTTTCTTCACTCCTTATATTATATGATCATAAAATTGGTTTTGAATAAGTAAATCATAATTTTAGTAATATTTGTAAATTGTGGGCAAACACCAGGAAATTCAACCCATTCACACCAATATTGTTTTGATAGGTGAACAGAGCCCAATCTCCTGTGTTTGGCCAGCATTTTACAGCACTACTTGCAGTATGGCGTATGTATTTTAAAACTGACAAAGTAGACTATGTCTGAAACGACAACTGGAATATACAAAAAATTGATGATTACCACTTTCGGTGTTTAAATAGTAAGTTTATTGTAATAGTGGGGTTTTGTCGCTTTTGGTCCTCTGACTCATAACCTCAATACGATAATGGTGATTATAAACTTCCAACGGCCGGAAACGTGCATAATAAGCGAAGTTGTTTTAATTTTTAACAGGAATACTTGAAATCAAAGTTCTCAATTAAGAGACAACTTAAAATAACGTTTATATAAAGCTTATTCATCACTCAATAAAAAATAAAAGTATTGTTATATTTGTGGGATAATGGTACAATGCCTTTAAGTGAACATTATTTATTCAAAATTTAATTTATTTATTCATCAAATTATCAAAAAAATTAAAATTATTGTTATTTAGACTGGTGGAACAATAGTAAAACCAGCAAGCCTTAAACAAGGTTTCTTCTCTACATAGATAGTTTTTACTCCAGTAGAATTACCACAAGATGCATCATAAGTTGTAAGCAGTTCATGATTGGCAATTACGTCAAAGAGGAAGTTTTTGCGAAATTTAAAAATTAGTTCGATTGGGGGTCCTATGAAAAATGTACTGTTTAGAGGGCTTGAATGGTGGTTACAATCCTTGGTTGAATTAATCGGCGTCATATAGTAAATATAATTGTCACTAATTGCAAAGTGTAGTGCTGCAACGCCTCGTTCGTTAAAAAAATCTATTCTAAGGTGATCAGCATTTAGTTTAATGTAAAATACTACCTTTGAACCTGAAAAAATTGTGATTATTGATTCTGAAAAAAATAATTTATTTGCAAAAACCCAACCCACCCCCTCCCCTTTTTTTCCCGCCATGTAACGTTTTACATACCAAACGGAAGGTACTCTTTCAATGTCAAGTTAATCGGCAAATCTATATCGAAGCTAGACTCTTGTACTGTCAATACTAGTTGCCAAAGAATAAGTACATAAAAAAAATTCTTCATAGTAGCTTCTTGAAAGTTGTGTGTAAAAATGATTTATTTCTGCTTTATAAAACAAAAATTTTCTCAGAACACGTTACTTTTATGGTAATTTATATTCACATTTGTCTTTATGGTAATGTTTTTCGACAAAATTTTTTAATAATAATTTTATAAATATATTTATGTGAACATGAAAATTTGTATATTTCGTTTATTTATTACAAAATTTAGTAAAAAGCAAATTGTTATATTGGTGGAACAAAAGTAGAACCAGCAAGCCTTAAATTAGTACTATACTATTCACAAGTTTGATGTGTTGTATTCTTGTAAACTTAGTACATGACACTTTATGAAAATACGCCAATATCAAAATTTTTGCAAAATTTGAAAATTTGATCTCTTTTTATGAGTGGAGGGTCTATAGGCTTTTATCATATATCGGGTGGAGCAAAAACAGTTCAATAGTAGGTATAACTCTTATAAAATTTGAATTTAAATTGTGCAAAGCTTCGTTCATCGAAAAACCTTACCTCAAGTTCATCATTAGTTTTGGCGTTGGATACTTAAAACTTGTATAAAGTCACTCAAGATAAAACATACGATTCCTCATTTAAACCTTTGTTTCTTCTAAAAAAAATTGTATTGACTAAAACGGAGGAATAATTGTAACGCCGACGATTCTAGTGTAGTATTTGTTCTTATACCCAAAGGCTCTCAAAATCAAAATGCTGATATAGTTGTTACAGGATGCGTCGTGTTGATGTAAAAAACCTTGATTTAAAAATATATCAAAGAGTTTGTTGTCCTTTACATTGACCATCAATTCGTTTGATCCGTCTGGGATAACACTACTTGAATCCATTGGGTATGTATCAGATTTGCACGGTTTGCCAGCACTGTCAAACGTCCTGATTCCTATGGTTTTCAATTCTTTAGAAAATATTATTTGAAATGCTGGCTTGCCATTTTCTTCTACGAATTCAATTTGGACAAACTGGTGAATATCAACGTATATGATGACCGATGACCCTGAAGTGTAGTTGTTAATATCACATGGGTCAGGAATTTTATTTTTTTTAATTATAAGACTTTGATGTTCTTACCTATTGCAAGCCCATCTCCAAGTTCTTTTTCATATATAAGGTCTTTTTTCTGGCATTGGACACTGTTTATAACACAATAAAGTAGTAAATAATATAGTTGAAACATTTTTCAACAAATTTTATAAAGCTATTATATTTACTTTTATATAATACTGACTTATCATTAATATGCAGTTTTTTAATTATGGGAACAAAAGCAAAAACATTTGATCGTATAAAATGTCACACGCGGCCAGCAAAACCAGAAAAACGGAGGGAAAAGGGAGAAACTCTGCTCGCGGGGAAAAGTATTTTATATGTAACAGTTTTGTACTGCATTTCGCTGCCCACATGCTAGGTGTTTTAGCTTTACACTTTTAATTTTTGCATTACTACGTATATTAGCTTAATATTTATTGTTGAGTTTTATTGATAAAAGCTTTTATATTAGTATATGTCCAAGTAAGGATGCCGAATCAGCAAGCACCTCAAAAGCGTCCTATACCTGCACATTTGGCACAACCAAGTAGTTCACAATCAAGTTTAGCTGCTCCAGCGCCTGCTACAGCTCTACATTCTCCGAGGGTAAGGTTTTCTTTTTTGTTTTATTTTTAGGTAACAGTTTTTTAAATTGGAAGGAATGAAAATGTAGAGCTAAAGTAAAGTATATATTTTAGTTTCAAAACAGAGATACCTTTAAGTATCCGGTAGACGAGAAGGGGATCAGAGATTTCAAGACAGTTCGAGAGTTTAAGGATAACACAGATCATATCAACAGTCTCAATTACAGTAGTGATGGTAAATTTCTGGCGACTTCATCTAACGACGATTCTATATTGGTTTATGATTGTAGCAAAGGATGTCGTGTGCAAACAGTAAGTGTTATTGTTTACGTCTGGGTTCTAGCTAGCAATGATGTTTATAAAATAAAAAATGAAAAAACTGACAGTAAGGTCAAGAGGCGGTTTAGAGAAGGAACAATGTATTAAACTTTCTTTAATATTCTTTTATAACCTTATTTTAGGTGAATTCTAAGAAGTATGGTGCTACTTTTGTGGAATTTTTGTTCACTAACGAAACATCATCTTATAGTGTTGTGCATGCTTCTTCGAAAGTTGATAGTAAGTTTTTAATGGAAGAAACAGCGATAAATAACATATCTTCTGTTATAGTAAACTTGCCATTGCATATTCTATAACCTTTTTAATTTTTTTTTGTTACTTATTATAACACAAATATTTTTAACAATTTTTTTTCAGACACCTTAAAATATTTGAGAACGGATAACAAGCAGTATATTCGGTATTACAATGGACATACTCAAGAAGTGACCTCTGTAAGCGCGTCAAAGAATATGCCTATCTTCATGTCTGGCTCTAAGGATAAGACTGTAAAAATTTGGAGTATTAACTCATCTGCAGCTACTGTAAGAATTATAAAACGTTCTGAAGTGTAAATTTCGAAAATTTTAATTTTAAGGTTGGCTTTTTAGACTTGAATTTAATTTTTTATGCTTAAAATCAAACTTTAAATTTGAAAACTTAATATTTCAGAACACATTGGAATTCGACTCGACACCAGTGGTCGCCTTTGACAACCTAACTATTACATTCGCGGTCGGCGTAGGTAACAAGATCAAAATGTACGATGTCAGATCAAAAAAAAGTTTTGGCGCAATCAACGTTCCGACTAGGCTGCCATTTTCACACTTACTGTTTACTCCAAACAACAAGTATATAATAGCGTCCACATTTGGAAATGACTTGTTTTGCTTGGACGCTTTTACTGGTCTTGTAAAACACAATTGGAAGGTCAAGAACTTCCCGAAAAAAGTGGGTTAGAGTGTAATATCCTATTTTTTGGAAAAGATAGGCTTGTTTTTTCGGGTTTATAAATCTAAACATATTTTTATATTTACATAGTTTTAGTAATTATGGTTTGTTTCAGCCAATCCGTCTGCGTCCAGCGGTAGCTCCAGGTTCGGGATACCTATTTTGTGGCACGTCGGACGGAAAAGTGCATAGCTGGTCATTGGAAACGGGAAAAATGGTTCACAGTTTAGGGAAAGTGCATGATGGCCCAGTCGAGAACGTTGGATTCCATCCTCGCTACTACACGATGGCTTCAACATCAAAGGACATGAGATGGTGGATGCCAGCCTTTGATGATTTTGGCACAAAATCAACAAACAAAGAGCGCAGAACTTCGGAAGCCGGTCAGCATCGTCGAGATGTGGAAGCGGGCCAACATCGTCAAGATACTAGTCATAGAGCTGGACAACATCACGATAGACCAGGACCAAGTCAGGCTAAGGATTTAGACTTGAAGAAGCTGCACGTTTCAGCTGAAGGTCACGACAAGAAGTTGGTGTCACCAAAGCCGAGCCCAAGCTCTGTTCTACCGCAACCTCCTGCGCCACCAGGACAACTCACGGTGAAATTAGGTACGTTCGAAGAACGCTTAACTACACCGTCGGAAATTGCCGCCAATTTATCGGAGTTTACTAGGACAGCGCAAAATATGGCTATGGCACAGCATAATATGGCAAATTTACAAGCTTCGCATAATATGACTGCTTCTCACGGCTTGCGACACAATTCGCATACGCATTTTGATTTTAGTTTGGCTAATAATCTATTAGGGCACAGGAATTCAACCGATGTGGATGTTGGACAACATGGTTCGACCAATTTAGCTTATCACAGTAATTTTAATAATGCAGCTTCAACGCATCAAAATGGCGGTAATTCAGCTTACGTACTTGACCAAAATGAACTCGAGAAAGCGTTGAACAGTCATGTTGCTTTAGTTCATGCTAACGCAGCTTATAGTGCTACGAATAGCGGTGGAAATTCAGCCGATCATGAAGAACGTCCACAAGAACACGCTAATGTATTAGACAATGTTTCAAGATTTGAGCACGGTGCTGCTTCAAATTTACCGCTTTTAAGTTCTGCTTTATCTAACCCAACTCATCAAACCGCCGCAGGTCATGCGACTGATTTGTCTGACCATAATAATTCTAACGCTAATTTACCTACCCAAAGTACCGCTTCTAATACTCAACATTCTGCTTCTAACGCATCTTCTACCGCTTTGCATAATCCAACTGCTTCTAAAGAACGTAGCCAAGATCATGGGTCAGGGCGTGGGCATGATCGTTCTAATTTAACTTCTCATGGCCATGGTAATTCATCTGGTCATCACTCGAGAAATTCTGATTTATCTACCCATTCAAAGCATGCTGATTTGCCTACCCATACTTATTCAAAGCATAATGAAAATAGCCATAGCCACTCAAGGCACGCCGATTTACCCACTCATTCTCATTCCCACTCGTCGAGAAAATCGACCGATTATAAATCGTTTGATCCGCTTAATGAAATTCTTAAAGGTATGACCAAGGAACTGGGACTAATTGGCCAAACCACACCTTCATCTCAACACAGTTCGGGATCAACGTCCGGTACCCAAGGCTTGGCTTTAAATCCATCCGTGACGCCAAGAAGTGACCGGGATCGAGACCGTGAGAGGGAACGAGAAAGAGACAGAGAGCACAGAGAACGAGACCGTGAGTATCGAGAGCACCGAGATCACAGGGATAGAGATAGAGACAGGAGAGACCAAAGAAGTAGAGAAAGGGATAGAGAACATAGAAGTTGAAGCAGTAGTGAAGTTTACACTTAACATGGTGATATAGTTTTTAATTTTGCTTTACATTTTTTAGCTGTCATTCGAAATTACATAGTATCATATCTATTTATTATTTCAGCATCTCATATTGTATATTTTAACACTACTTTTTGACTTTGTCATATATTCTTAATTTATAATATATAAAATTTTTTCTTGTAATGGGTTTATGCAACATTAGTATATGTTACTTGGCTGGTTATCTTCCGTTATACATTTGACTTGACAGTCGTGTTATGTGTAAATTTAGAGATTTTTATTTAAAAACTTTTTTATGATTACAAATCTTCATAACTTAATTAATTTATGAATGAATGTCCTCATTTTGTACATGTAAGCAACTTTATGGTGTATATTAACGAAATGATATCAAAATCACAAGCAAATGTCTCTCAACTCACATAAAAAATCTCAATAAACTTTGTAAATTTAGCGATAACAGTAAAAAACTGTTTTGTTGGGCGCAAATTTAATAAAAACATGTTACATTAAAAAAGCGTTTTTTAATTTTTTACCCAATTAAGGGTTTTTTCGTTTTTCTAATCCATTCCCCGTTTGAACGCTTAACCCAAATTTATTTAATTGTCAAAAAAAGTTTTTTAAAAGTAATTTTATTTAATGAATTTTGTTAATGTTGTCGGATGTTTGTTTCTGTGTAGGCTGAAACGAATGTTTTAGTGGTTAGTTTTGGGTTTCTAAAGTTGTTTTTTCTTCAAAAAAAGTTCTTTCTCGGTTTTTAAATTTTGCATAGTAATAGCATAGAATTTTAAGGCTAAGGCTTAGTAGGTTTAGGCTTGATAAGATTAGGGTTAGGTTTAATAGGCTTATAAGCTTGGGCTAGGAATTTTTTGGCACATTTTGTAAGACAAAAGCAATTTAAAAACGATACTTTGCAGAAATCTGGAAGGGCAGACGATAATTTACAGAAATCTGGAAGAGTAAACGATACTTCGCAGAAATCTGGAGGGCAGGGTAGCTTAATGTGCGGCAGAGTAGGACAGATCCGACAGGGTTTCATTACAGCGTCGTACAACTTTTTTGGTTTGTACCAGCACGAGACAAACCCTCCAAACATATACCGACTTTAATGTTTCCGACCGTCAAATTAACTTTACTTTTGCAGTCCTTAATTAAACCGAAAGTTATTATTTTAAAATAAACTTCAATTAAATGAAGGGGAATTGACACATTAAACTGAATTTTTAATTACTTTTCTTCGCTGATAATTAGGCTCTCACGCAATTTCAAAGTACCAAAGTTAATATAATATCGTCTGTTTATTATTTTATGAGATTTTAAGGCAGTTTCGCTCGTGTTTCAAGGTATTAGAGGTGGGATTTTAAGTTTAATAAGGGATAAAGTAACTTTAAAAAAAATTTTTTTTAAAGTTTACTCGTTTTGTGTACTGTAAAGAAAGCTGTAGCTAAATAAGGTTAATTAAGGAACATTTATGCCATTTTACGGATTATAAAAAGTTTCTTCAAGAGATCTTGCTATTGTCAAAAAAAAACTCTTTATTTGCTAAAAACTTTTGTCAGAAAGACACTTAAAAATTGATTATTAATCGTTTTGTTTGTAAAATAATGAGTTGAAAAGTTGTTTTCGAAGAGAAATCAAACAATCTCTTCATATTTTTATAAATTATAATCAATTTTAATCCGTTTTGAAGAATGTCAGTTTGAAGTGATTGCTCAAAATTTTTGTTTTTCGTTGATTTTTTATTTGATAGTAAGATAGGTTTCTAAACTTAATAAATAGAGTAGGTTTTGGTAGGGTAGGGCAGGATATGGTAGGGTAAAATAGGGTAGGGTAGGGTAGGGTAGAGTAGGGTAGGGTAGGGTAGGGTAGGGTAGGGTAGGGTAGGGTAGGGTAGGGTAGGTTAGGGTACGGTAGGTTAGGGTAGGGTAGGGTAGGGTAGGGTAGCGTAGGGTAGGGTAGGGTAGGGTAGGGTAGGGTAGGGTAGGGCAGGGTAGGGTAGGGTAGGGTAGGGTAGGGTTCCTAGTAGGAATTAAACTAGTACTAAAATTACTGTCAAGACTTTACTCAAAATGCTTTATTTAAATTTATATTTAAAGTTAAGTATTAGGTTGAGCCAAAAGTAGCGGGACATTTTTCATTATTTTTCAACTAAAAAGTGTCTCGCTACTTTTGGTTGAACCTAATATTTTAATTTTCTATATCTTACTGTATAACACGGTTAAAATCCCAACGTAACGCATGTTTGAACGTTTTATTAATGCTCATAATCATCTAATCTTTAATTTATGTTACAATTAGTAGTTAAATTACATTTGAAACACATGACTTTTTTCAACATAATAATAAATAACAAGTATGTGTATTAGTTCATATGATTTACATTATACTTCACAATTTAAGACAAGAAAGTCTTTTTAAATCTACGTTAAGTTTTTGATTTGTTTGAAGAGTTTAAAAATTTATTATTTCTATTGCTTTCGAGTGGCAAACCAAACGTTTTTGTATAAGTTTAGGATTATTTTTATAATTTTCGCGGGCAAAACAACACTTTTGGGTTTGTTTTTTAATATTAATTTGATGTTGGTGTCGACATAAAGAAGCTGCCATTTTTTACAGGAAATTACAGGAAAAGTATGGCGGGTTCTTTATGTCGGCACCTAGTGATATGTTTAAAATGGAAAAACGCTTTTATTAGTAAGCCTAATTCGACCAAGTTTTAAACTATTAAGCCTAAACCTAAGAAGGATAATATAATAAATTTAAGCCTACTAAATCTAAGCCCACTAATTACGCTTAAAAAGTTTAACTTTTTTCAATATATTAGGCTGAACCAAAAGTATCGGGACATTTTAGCTGAAAAATAAATGAAAATTGTCCCGCTACTTTTGATTTATCCTTATATCTAAAATCTTTAATTTATATCACAAAAAAAGGCTTATTCACTTGTAGATAAGCCTAGAAAATAAACTTTCGTTTTATCAAGCAGAGTCTAGTAAGACAAAAAACAATTTTTCGAAAAGAAAAAAAATGTGACTATTCGAAATGCATGCCCTCTTAAAAAAATATTGACAAATAACGTTTTTATATCTTTTTATGTTTTTCATATACACAAACACATGTATTTGCAAGATTACTCATTCTGTTTTTATCTTACAATACTCGTCTTAATGATATAAAAACGCATTTTTGATTTTTAAATTTGTTTTTTTCGTGAATAATAACTTGTTTATGCGGTAAATGAAATATCTTCATAATGTTGTAAATAACTTTTACTTTCTAGTATTTGAATTTGATTAGTTTGGTATTCTTTGGTTTTTTTTTTATTTTAAAAGTGATTTGAATGGTTTTAAAATAACAGGTTTGTTGTTAGGCTTAGTCTTAGAAAGCTTAGTTTAAAGCTTCATTTTTAGTAGGTTTAGGCTTACTAGGCTTAGGCTGCAAAATTTTAGGCTTACAAGAAAATACTCACTTGCTTCGCTGATTCACTTCAAACGTTTGATACAGATATATCATGTAAATTTAAGACCTTCAGCAAAGTACTAAATCGCGCTTCTCAGGAAATATCGAGAAAACCGAGATCAAAACAACGCGTTTTGAATTTTCCACCAAATTGGCATTGTGTTTCAAACTTATAACTTTAGCATTTTTTGATTTTTAATAATTTTTCTTTGACTTACAACTAGAAAACCTTGAAACAGACATAAATTTTTAATTTCTAAGTATATTTTGTGTGGAAAGTCGAAAAAAAAGTGCGTGAAACACAATGCCAAAATCTGTGGGAGACCAAAAAAATTTAAATTTCAAACTCAAAAGTGCAAACTGAAGTGTTTTATGGGTAATATTGGTAGTAAAAAATTCACGAAAAAAATGTTCAGTAGGCTCAGGCTTAGCAATTTTAGACGTAGCAGGACTAAGCGTAGAATTTGGAAACACTTTGAATTCAGGGACGTCGCTACAGATTTTCTCCGGGGGAGGGGGAGGCCGAAAAATTTTTTTTTGTCCACAGGTGGACCGATTTTCCAAAATTTTTTTTTCGTTTTTTTTGCGTACGGGAGTACAGATTTTTCGGATCGGCTCTGGGGGAGGGGGGTATCCCCCCCCTCCTCCAAACGACGTCCCGGTTTGAATTATAGTTTGTAACAAGAGTATCGTTAGTTATTAAAACGTATGTCAATAGCCATTCATCTTAATTTTAATATTATACATGCCACTTGTTACTCATATACGGCCTGACATTTTGTTTAAACTGCGTTTACGACAAATAATATGTCTTTCGGACTCATAAAACATTGAAAATTGGCTATATTATTACATATTTTGCTCTGAAGGGGATGAAAATGTTTTTAAAGTTTACTTTTAAAGTTTTAAATAAGTATGGCTTAGAAAGCTTAGGCATAGTAGGTTTAGGCTGTGGGGGCAGGCTTTTAGTAGGCCAACAGGTTTTAGGTGTATGATTATTAGGACTAGGCTTTTTAGGTTTAGGCTTGGGCTTAGGCTTAGGTTTAGGCATAGGCTTAGCCTATTTCGAATATTGGTATGCGTTTTCACTTGATAATATACTAAACTGTAGTAGATTTAGCAATTTTACAAATTTTAGGTGTAAAATGGAAAGTGAAGAAGTTTGGGGCTTTCTTAAAAAACTGTCCGAAATGGCCCCGGAAAAGCTTAACAGTTTAATATTGGATCAAAATGAGGATGGTAATAAGAACGGCCAAGATTGTGGTAGGTTTTTTGATATTTTTTGAGGTATGGGGGGGATTCTGTACAAAAAAGTTTTTGCCCTTTTTATTAGGTGTCGACATAGAGAACCCGCCATACTTTTCCTGTAATTTTCTGTAAAACATGGCGGATTCTTTGTGTCGGCACCTAATACGTGCTGAAAAAAAGACAGTCATTTTAAGCTTTGTAAAATTTTTGCCAATTTTTGTAAAAAAAGTTATTGCTCTTTGAAGTTTCCAACCTTGTTCGTGCCAAAACTGTCATTATTTGCC